CCATAAGACTAATGAGAATTTTTTTTTTGTTATTATACTTTCTCTTCACTCATTTTACATTTTTTTTCTATGCTGCATTTTTTAATTAAAAATTGTGAACAATGACAAAGTCGACGGCTTTGAGCTGTTTGACGATGAATATTAAATTAAATAATTCCATTAAAGTTTCACTCTCTTAATTAAAGGTGCCGTTTTCATCAACTTTTTTATGCTCGATCCTTTTGTGTGTTTGAGGTTTCATTCACTTTACTTAATTGCGGTTTAATGTAATTATGGATTTTAGTAATTTTTATGATGGAGAATTAAAATAATGCCATTGCCTTTAGTTTTTCCATTTGTTTTATGAATTTTATGAAATATTGTGAATGTTACTTACAGTTTGCATTGACCAATGTCGGCACCTATCTCAATTGTATGCAATGCATATTGTTGAAATATTTGTGAAGATCCATTAAATATTCTCCAAGGAAATAAATAAGAATAATCTTTGTCAAACTGCATTAAGAAAATTATTATGAATTATACAAAATATTTTTTGAGATGAGGTAAGCTTACATGGATTCATTTACATAATTTTTTTTTAACCAAATAGAATACAGGAGGTCGTCAATTATTACATAACTCAAAAAATGAAAAACAAAATGTGCGCTTTGTTTTTGCGTCCTAGCTCCGATTAGCTAATCAAGCTGTAAAAACTGGTCTTAACGTTCATTTGAGATTTAAATAATATTTATTGTAGCATAGTTGTTTGCCCCGTTTCATACAAATCAATATTTCATTATAATTCGGACAATAAACAAAATATTTGTATGGGGTCGTTTTTTTCTTGCTGACCCCCCCCCCCCCCCCCCTCTTGACGTCATATGTGAACTGCCTTTCTTAATTCTAAGAAACTTTCTTAGTTCCGAATGATACAAAAGTACAATTAGGGGCCGTTCACTTATTACGCAAAAAACGACTTTTTTCAACACCCCCCTCCCCCCCTTGTTATAATATGTTACAACTCACAACCCCCCCCCCCCCCCTCCCTGCACGTTCATAATTTATTTTATTTTGATAATTTTTCATAAATCATTAAAAAGGTGGAAAATTTATTGAACGGCCCCTTATACACGAAATGATTTGAGTAAACAGAACAGTACAAAAGCACTCGAGTCTTATTAGACGGCTCCTAGAATTAAAATAAAAAAAATTCACGTAGATAAATATTGCTACTTTAGTTTTTCTGGAAATGATGAAGTCTGCCTCGTGCTAAATTGGTAAACATTTATAAGATATGAACCGCTCTAGAATACAACAGTGTTTACATATAAAAAAAACTGTTTTTAAAAAATATTGCCAAAAAATATCAAAAGTCAACTTTGTCGCTTGAGACTTCCTGCTTTCACTCCTGTATATAAAAATTCTAATATTAAAATCTCTTAAAACATTCAAAGAAATATTTTCATTTATCATCGACAATGTTTTGTTTATCACAAAAACATCCAGCATCCTTAAAACATTGCATTATCAAGTCAATTGTGCTTACACAAATTTTTTAAATTTAATTTTTTCGAAGATTTAAGCCAATTTATAGTCATTAAAATGGATTATTACTTACTTTTAACATTATGTTTTGCGATAAACATGAAATCAGGTAAGTCATGTGGATATCCGTGACAATTTTTAATCTTTTAATGAAATTTTCAACGTTCTAAATCAGAAAGCTTCAAAACATTCATTTTGATTCTATAAATAGAATATTCGTTGATTCCTTCTTCTATTTTTATTGCTTCATTAAAACAGTAACTGCCGATTTGCCAAATGTAGGTGCTTCAAGCATCGAAAATGGAAAGTCTTTGATGAATGGAATGAATAATAATGGAGATTGTCGAGATTATACAGGAAGATCTGTTCAGCATGGGATGCATTTTGTTCCACCGGGTGCAGATATATGTAAGCTTTGCGTTTGCGACAATGGACAAGCGAAGGTGAAAGGTCAATTGCCTTTAAAACTTTCTATTTTAATGCCAAACTTCTTTATCTAATTTAGAGTTGCCGTTCGGTTTTATGTACCCCACCATCGGATTGTAAATCCTTTCAAATGGGTACAACTTGCTGTGAATTCTTTTGTCTTGATTCAGTTGAGTCTCCCAGTGCTATATCATCATACTTTCAACATGTCGATCGCACCTGATTGATTGTTCTAGGAGCAGCTACAACTCCATTGCTCATTATCATATGCTGTTTTGTTAGGTGCTGCTATAGAAAGCATCGACGTGCCAATCGTCCAATTGAAACTGAACAGGATACGCTTGAACGTGATGGACTTGTTCATTTCAATGCTTTCCTTAAAATTTGCGATAAAGCCGGCAAGAAGCTTGGCGCTGGTGAAATAGGAGAAATTTACATGAAATTTGAATTTGGATTCCTTCGATGCTATAATGATCTGCCTGAAGCTATGCGGAATACAATGGATGATGAAGGATATTACAGGACTGGAGACATTGGGTACATGAAAAAAGGAGTTGTCTACATTTTGGATAAAAATCGTTATATTAGCGATAGAAGGAACTCTAATGTAAGTTTTAAGTCATTTAAATTTAAATGTCTTGATAATATGCTTGATTCCTTTTAGATACGTTGCTCACGATTTTAATAATAAACATGCACAACAATTATCAAAGTCCATTGTGAATTGAAACTGTAGAAAATTTTATTTGCGACCAATTAAGGATGTGATTACAGCCTATAATGTGAAATAATTTGGCACAAAGTGCAAAAGAATATATTTTCTGACAAAAAAATCTTTAGGATCTAGTTGTACTCTTAATCTTATCTATTTTTTGGACATTACTGATCAATTAATTATACTTTATGGATGTTAGTCTGATAGACAAATTATGGAAATAAGTCAAATTGAGTTTTATGAATAAAATTCAAACGTATTAATAAAATCGCAGTTCTGACTTGAAATAAGCTATCCTTAACGGATCTCAAAAATTCCAAATTTTTAATAAACTTTCATTCTTATATTTTAAACAGTGCGCATGATAAAGGTCCCAACGGAAAAATTCAAAAATGCTTTTGTCGCATCATGTTAAGAAAGCACAGCACAAAATCATTCATAAATACATGGTTAAGAGAAAAATTAATTTTTAGTGTCTAGAACAAAAGAATTTAGAGCTTAAAGTAGTAAAATAATCTACAAAATGATTAGCAAAAGCTATTGGATATCGTTAATGCTTTCGCTTATTGTGGGTTTTCTTGATATTTGTCAAGGTAAGATTGTCAGCTGAAACTATTAAAGTTATTTTCATACAAAAGGGAATTTACAGGAGGAAAAAATTCAATTTTTTTAAAAAATAAAATTTTTAATATTTTCCATATTTTCTAAATCTTTAAACAATTATAGGAAGCTCCAATCTAAGTGAATCATCGTTATCAACACAGTCAACTTTTCTAAGTATCCCAAATGACAGTAGTACTGAAAGTAATCTTGAATGTCGCAATACGAAAGGACAATTAGTTCAAAATGGAATAGAGTTCGTACCGAAAGGTGTAGATCCTTGCAGACTCTGTATTTGTGAGGATAATCTTGCAAAGGTATGTAAGGAGAATAAGAAAGAAATCATAATTTGATAATTAAATCATTTTTTAAAAACAGAACTGTCATCGTGTCTTATGTACTCCACCACCCTGTGATCATATTCAAATAGGCCGCAATTGCTGTGAATTTACATGTTTGGATGAATTTGGAAACTCTGTTGACGAAAATAGCAGCCCTGTTAACAACAATAGTAACACTCTAAAAGTCTCATTGACATTCATATCCTTAGTAACTTCCTTTCAGATTTTTTCCTCGATAATTCAAATTTAAACGTGATTGATAAACTTTAATTCAATTTTTCAATTCTCTTTTTGATTAAATCGTAATTTTGACTTAACTTTGTGTCACTTTTTAGAACTGTGGATCTCAAACTTGTTAATCTGTTCCCAGTCTTCCATTAATTTTCTGGAAAGCATAGTTTAAGAAACGCTGATCTAGAATGTGATAAAATTTGGTGCTAAAAGCAAAACATAATAATATTTTCTAGTATATTCCGAAAATTCTTTAAGATCTTTTTGTAATCGTAGCAAAATCAACTAATGATCAATTGCATATCACTCAAAAATGTAATTTGATGTTTATTAATTAATAAATTTCGAATATATCAATTAAACAGTATTTTTGGGATTGACAGCAAGGGTTGGGAAACTGATAAATCGGATGTTGATAAGTTCTACATCCTTCATTGGGATTTCATTAATCCTCTAGATTTCAAGTAAATACGAATTATCTTTACTAAACTATAAAATTTATGTAGATTTTACTCCTTTAAGTTCCATCAATTATTACTGAGAAGTTTTCAAATTAAGTAGGATTCGAACGCATGTCTCGATGTAGTAATTAGATTTAGATATCTAATCATTTGCCAAACGACTTAATTTTACAGAAATATCTATAAATGGGGATAACAACGTGGTGGAATTAATTTCAATGGAAACTACAGTCGTTAACCAGATAAGCGGTATGATTACGTATGGATTGCTCTGTAAATGGTGACTCATGATACTTCAACGGAGCTCAAAGTAGGGTTTACTTGAACCGTATCAACTTCGAGCACTGCAATCAAGCAACATCTTAAGTGTCGATTACTGATAACCAATGTTTTAATGTCGAGGGGGGGGGGGGAGGGGGGGGGGGGGAAAGATCTACCCTGAAGTGCACGAATAAACTAAAATTAATGTTGTTTAAAATCCCAAATCTAAACCTAACGTCTTTAAAGATTTCAAATTCCGCTCATGTGTATATTTGTCCTTATTCCATACAGTGCGCATGATAAAGGATCATAACGGAAAAATTCAAAATGCTTTTTTACTCATAACATTGCAAAAGCACAGCACAAAACCGTACAATATTGTATGATTCACGAATGAAAAAAGGAAGAGAAGAGAGAAAAAAAGAAAAAATTTGGTGAAAAAATCTGAAATGGAAAAAAAATAATTTTTCGTGTCTAGAATAAAACAATTTAGTGCTCAATTGTGCAAAATATTTAACAAAATGATCCACAAAAACTATTGGATATCGTTCATAACATGGTTCATTGCTGATTTTCTTGATATGTCTCAAGGTAAGATTATCAGCTGAAAAAATTTTCTTCTCATACAAAAAAGGGACTTCCCAAGAAGAAAAATGTTCGCCCCGAAAAAAAAACTTTTTTTTTGATGTGTAGGTTTAAAATAATTTTTCCTCTTGTTTTAATGAGCTTGTTTATTGAGGCAAATGAAGCGAAAAAAATTGAGACATTCCAATTTTTTTGCTATCGAAACTTCTTCCGTCACCTTTATTAATTTTTTTTCTCAAATTGTTATTTTCTTCTCACTTTTTGCGATGATAAAAAAAAATTTTTTTCCATCATTGCGACCCCCCAACCCCATTTCTCCTGCTGCTTCTTCTCCTCAACATTTCAATTCATAACATAAACTTTGATATTTTCATCTTCTTTTTTTTTATTTTTAATTTTTTAAAAAAAAATTAACATTACAGGAAGTTATGGATCAAGCGGATCATCATCATCAGCACAAACTAGTTTATCAAGTGCTCCGAATGGGAATAGTAATGGAAATAATGGTGAATGTCGCGATTATACAGGACGAGCAATTCAGCATGCGATGCATTTCGTACCACCGGGTGTTGATATGTGCAAGCTCTGCATTTGTGAAAATGGTCATGCAAAAGTAAGACAATCAAAAATATTAAAATCCTTTATGGCAATTTAAATGCATTTCATTCTAAATTATAACAGAGTTGCCGTGCTGTTTTGTGTACGCCACCACCCGACTGTAAGTCCTTTCAAATGGGGACCTCATGCTGTGAATTTATATGCTTAGATGACCACTTAGGCAGCGCATCAACAACATCTGACATAGGAATTTGACTAATCGCCACTGGCATTACTGCCACAGTCTCACTTACATTATTATTCTTCGTCATTAATCGCTTTCGACAGCGAAAGAGCCAAATGAGACATCAGAATCAAAATAATCAGGATGATCAACGAAGCATCGGAAGTATTGGATATATTGGCAGTAATATTGGCTATATGGGGTCAATGACAATGGAATATCCATACGAGCATCAAAATTCACATTTTCAATTGTGGAAGCCATTCTTCCCACGCGGTGAAGCACCACCGCCCTATGAAGAAGCAATTTCAATGGCACAAAATGAATCGCTTAATACGCAAGCTGCATGTACGGTCAGTGTAGCAACATCACACCGCACACTTCCAATGAATGTTTGCAATAATACAACGACAGATAATTCAGATTTATCATCAGCTATGCCAGTTAATAATAATCCAATTACATCAAATACGACAAATTTAATTAACATCAATATTAATAATGCTGGAAATATTACAGCAGTTGCAACTGGGGAGAATCACTTGATACAGAGTAATGGAAATTATTTGAGGTAAGAGATATACACATACACTTATGGGAAATTATTGTTGATTCTTATGTTCCTTTCTTTCTTCTTGTCAACTGCTTGTAATTGCAGTGCAACTCCCAACAATACACTACCTAGAAATGCAAGTAATGCAATTACAGAACAAGATTTAGTGAATCGTGCAGGAAGTATTACATTTACACCGGCCATAAACAATTGTAGTAATTCCGATTTGACTGTTAATTCGTCATCAATGCGCGACATACCGTGTACATTACAAAATTGTGACTTAAATACGAGTTGCAGTCTAATTCGCTCATCATCGTCATTATCTTCAACTGGCGGAACTATAATTGGTTCCGGTGGTTGCTACTCGGCACCGTCAACAATGAAGATGAATCAACAGAATCAGACTTCAAATCAGAGCTTAGCACAAATACTTGCAACAAATCAGAGTACACAGAATTTATACGAGCATTGGAATAGCATTGATTGCATTGGAAGTGGACAAGTTTCGCAAACAATCTTGCCACCACCACTGTTCGATACGAATTGTACGACAACAGGCAATTTTAATCAATGCTATGAAATACAGAATCATCCGGGTAATTATTGTACATTGTCTGCCATAGAAATGCCAAAAATGCCGTCGTCATCAAAGCGACTTCATAGGACAATTCCAAAGCATTTTACGATGTCATCGCCCTCTTCTTCTGCTGTATTAAGTAATGAGATATCGCAAAGCTCTATTAGGAGTAATAGCAGTAGTATTAATAATAATAGTAATACATCTAATAATGAGCAAAACAAAAAGCCATCATGTCAATGTCCCGTTCAGCATGTTCCAATGACTTATATGCAATTCTCGTCAGCACAAGTAGCACAAACGCCTCCCCAACCTTCCCATCAGATGCAAGAACTCCAACAATCGCATCAATCTCAGCAACAACAAAGCCATCATCATCAGCAGCAGCAACAACAACAACAAACTTCGTCATATACACAACAACAAAGGCATCAGCATTCAATTTACATGTCGGGAAGTAAAAAGAACAATGTAATTAAGTCGACAACATTTCCATCTGCAATGAATGTACAGAACATGTCGACAAGTGCGGGTGGAAAAATTCAAACAATAACGAATGCTAGTGAATTATTAGGGATTGGTACGGAGGTACTGCAAACAACAGCTACAACACACATTGATATGAGTGCAAGTATAATAGCAGCAAGTAACAGTGGAACATTGAGGAGATCATCACATAAATCGCTTAGTAACGCGTCATCAATGGCCGGAAGTAGCAACATCAATGTCATGCCAACTACTCCCAATAAAAAGTCAATTGCTACTATTTCCGTTGCACAAAGTCCATTACAGCAAGCAGCAGTTGGAGCTGGGGGATATTTCTCTACGACCGCACCGCAACAGATGACGAAAATTGATGGAAAAACTCAACAAATTCACTCGATTTTGAAGAATAAAAATGCGACAAGCTGTCATATTAATGTAATTAATGTTACGGACGGTTGCAGTATCGAACAGAATCCAATTTTACCACCGAAAATGTATAAAACTAATAGTGGAAAGTATAGCATAACACCGACAAATTCTGGACCACCAACACCAGGTAGCTCAAAGCAAATTCACACAATAACAAGGCCAAATGAATTGACATCGACTGCATCTCAATTCACTTTACTTTCTATAAATGGAAGCGGTAGCGGTGGTGGTAATTCACAAAAGTATCAACAGCAATCTCCGCAATACCATCAACAACCAACACAATTACGCACAAATATACAGGTAAGCTCAATTCTTTTTTACTGAGGGATTTTCTGAGAATTTCAAAGCTTTTAAAGTATAAAATTTCTTATGTTCTGGAATAATTGAAGATGCTCTTGGAAAACGAATTACTGTGTGTACAGAAATAGGTCAATAAAAGAGCAATTAAATTCCCCGAAGTGTCTAATAACGAACTGGAAATGAAATTTATTGCAATCAATCATTTATGCTGATTTCTTTGAAATTAAACTAAGTACATATTGATGTAGGAGCAATAAGAAGTTTAAAATGACATTGTTTATCTTCGTCTGCTAATTTTGAATTCTAAAATTAACTGACGTCAAGGATTGAGCAGGGAAGGAATACCTTTAAGGGGAGAACAAAAAAATTGATTTTCCAAACGTCTTTCAATATATTTTACTGTAAGTTGTTTTCCCCCTGAATAAGAGCTTACTATTGACAAATAAGCTTCACTGAGGGTCATTAACTTATGACGTCCATCAAACACCCACTGATGCCATGATTTTCAAGAATTTTATAAAAACAATTTTGTTGACGTCATGACACACTTTACTCACATTCAGGATACAGATAATTTATTTGACTAAAGTCAACTGTTTTGAATGAAAGTAAGTTCGAACTATTCTCCATTTTTCTGTCTCCTTATTTTATTGATCACAAAAATATTTCCTAGTAAATGAAATTCAAATCTCAGATTGATTCCGTCTGAGACGTAGAATGAAATAGGAAGAAGCAATTCAATGATGAACCTTATTCTATGACATTGAAACCTTCATCAAAATTTAATTTGAGATTTCTTCTAATTCCTTTTTGTTCTATATCTGTTTTATGGCTCGCAGGGAACATTGTACAATACAAAATCATTACCGCGTGTTGCAGCACATGGCTGTGAAAATGAAAAAACTCGATTGAGCTATTCAAGTTCAAATTCTAGTAATCGTGGTGGAGGTGATCAGCAACAGCAATCGTCACACCAACAACAACAGTTACAGCAACAACAACAACAATCAACTTCCAATTATTCAACAAATACACTGCCAAAAAATCATCATCAACAACAGTCCGCCTCACAGCAAGTTTATGGTAAAGTGACAAATCCATCACGTAGCGTATTGAATGATGTCGTGAATAAAGTTCCATCGGTAATAATGCTTCCATGCTTACCTACCCAGCAACAATCATTACCACAATCTGCCAATAATCAGATGAAGGTCGTAGGCAGCAATGTCAATAGTAGTGGAAGCGGCTGTGGAGTATCAATATCAATGCTAAAGACATCGTCATCAAAGGATAATTTATGTGACAGCGGCAGTAATAATGATGATAGAATGCTGAGGGAAACAGTCGTAGGAAGTGTGTGTCACAGTCAAAATAGTACATTAAAGCGTAGCAAATCGAAAAAGGAAGCTCATAATGCTAATGAGAAAGTGATTTCATCGAAAGGTTCCGTATCATCGTCAGTAGCAGCATCACATCATGACAAAATAGTTGGAAGCTGTACCGGTAATATGAGTTGCATGTCATCGAATCAGAAGTGCATTGATAAACCACTTCCGGTGCTGACAACATCCACAAATTGCACAAATCCAAAGGAACATTTTCTTCCAAACGAGACGAGTCTCGATGATGATTATTTAAGTGAATGTGAAAATTGTAAAACAGCTGGAACGGGATCAAGATATTATTTAGATGATGAGGAAATTGATGAGCCAATAGAGACGATGACATTACAGAGGAAACTAATGAATGAAAATGATGAAAACGATCAACAAAATTATTATCGTGTGTCATCGACATTGCCAACAAATACGAATAAGAAAACTCCGTGAGTATAATGACATACATTTTATATCCTCATCCTTCTCGTCCTCGAATTCTCTTTTCTTTCCATTCTCGTTCCTTTCTTTCCTTCTTTATTATTTATTATGTTGATTCGTAGAGTTCGCTTATATGGATGTACATAGTGAAAGTTTCTCCTAACGATGCTTAGAGGATTTACACAAAAAAAAATGAAATGATGAAATAAGAAATTATAAAAGCGAAGTTACTTAAAGAATTTTTCAAATTAAATTATCGAGATGAAAAGAAACGAAGGTTGGAGGAAGAACTTGACAGATTTTCGTCTTCTTCTTGTTTTGTTTCTTTGTGGATTATCCTGATGAGATTCAGGGTTGGAACCATTAAAGTGATTTTTCTGTTTGTGGTTAGTCTAGTACCAATTCTTCTTTCATATAAGATTGAACTCAGATTGAAAAGTAATAACACATGCGTGGATGCAACTATAAAACTAGCTCTCTCTTCGAACAGCTTCTACTGACTTCCTCCTATCCATCTGTTGAATGTAAATTCTTAGGGTGGCTTTAACTTGACTCAATTATAAAATAATTTTTTTATATGTTCAAAACTATATCCATGACTTAGTAGAAATTACTAGTATAGCACTATGGGCCAGAAATCGAAAACTTTTCCGAAAATTATTTTTTTGGTTTAAATGATAGCTCTTTCATTCCCATTTATGACAATACTTACAAAAGTGGCCAATTCAGCTTAAGTTCCGAGTTATGGCTTTTCAAATTTTTGATTAAGAGCATTTTCTTGCCCCACAAAAATTGTCACTACTTTTCATTTGATTGATGAAACTCTTTCAATTTTTTTTTTATTTGGTAGCTTAAAATAAGAGCTTTATTTTAGAACAGTTAACATTTAAGTATGCATCTTTTAACTTTATGAATTTTAAGGTTTTTCAAAAAATCACGTGTTCAGTATGATTACGTTCGTCTAGGACTTCACTCTTAAAATAAATGATGCTGAATCTTTTTTTATATTGTAGATATAAACAAGATCTATAACTTTTATTAAGATACTATAAAGTTTTAGTAGAGTTTTGCTGATGAAATTAAGTCTTTTCTTCAAAAAAACTGCAATTTTTTGACATAAATTCCCATAACTTTTCAGGATAGCCCAAAGGAGTGGAATTTTTTTACATGTCTGAAAGCTCTTTGGATATACTATCAGAATATACAATCAGCTTGAGTTTGGTTACTGAGACAATCTCGAGCAATTTGACTTTGAAGTGTGACCAGAAATACATTTCAAAACATAAAAATTGAAAATAAATTTTGTATGTTTTTCAAAATTTTAGTTTTTTTGCTTTAGATCAATAGATCTCATCAAGGCGCATATTTTGAGTATAAATATGTCATAGTTTGAACAATTTTTATACTCAAATTTTAACAAAATCATTTTTATATATTTTTTCAACAAATTTTACTTATTTTTCAATTATTTTAAATCAAAACTTATTTTAAATCTTCTGATTTTGATATTTTTTGAAATTTCTATGTTTTTATGTTAAAATGTCACTCCTAGAGCAACAATTCATAAAAATTTTTTACTTTAAGGAAATTTTTTTATAATTTTTTGCAAATTACACTCATTTTTCTTATCTTTTTTTATCAAATTTTATTTTATAATAATTCTAAATATTGAAATTTAATGTAATATGCGTAATATGCATAAAAATACTCTTAAATATTTAAAAATCATATTTTATCCAATTAACGTTTGAATAAAGCTGGAATGAGCAAAGCTATGATATGTTCCTTTAATCTGAAGGTAATTGTGCTGAAACGTGCTTAACAAAAGGCACGAAAGAACGCTGAAATTTCAAAACTCGATGAAAAATGTCTAATTCCGCTTTTCTCGATATTTATTTTCAATGCCTTAAACGGCTGACGTTTCTCTGTTGAAACAAACAAATATAAAATTAATGAACAATTTAAATTAATTAAAATTGCTCTTACAAAATTTTGTGCCTTTCACACACTTTCACACTTCGATTCCAAAAGAAAGTTCTGGATACGAGGAGTATGAAAAGTATCTAAGAATTGTCTGATGGGCTTAAAATGAGAGAAGATTCGAATTTGTCAGTTACAAATTCGCGTAAATGACAAAGAAGGAAAGAAAAATTTAAATTTTATAACTAATTCAATTTAATAAAATTCAACTTTAAATTCAAAATATTGCTCGTCACTTTCAAATAGTGACAGTAATTCTCCTTTCGATTCAGAACATATAAGCATCCAATCAACTATTTTTAATAAATTTCGGTATATATACTTATTTCCATGCAATTGTAAAGCGTAAACTATCACCACGAATTATTAAAATTAAGGACCTATAATGAAAATAGTTTTTTAAAAGGAAAACGCTATCAACCATTTTCCAGTCTATCAAATGTATTGTGACAATTTTTATCCAATGTTGAATGGTTCTTTTTAGTTTTTTTTACCATATTTCATTGATTTTTCGAATTTTTGTCTTTGCATATACTTTTTTTACTGATCTGTGGGCGCAACGTGATACATTTCAGATCCGTTCTGACAATTTATCATTATAAGGTAATCTTGTAGCTCTCGTTCTTATTTCTCCCGCTACACTTCAAGTTCCTCATGCGTTCCTTAATCCAACGTTGCCAAATATCTCATGGCTTGATCTCGTACATTAAGCAGTCGAAGTATCTAAACTACTGAAAAAGAACAAATTTGGAAGTGACTTTCTTATTTGACCAGCGAGGCACTTAAATCCTTATACATAGACAAAAATAGATTCAAGAACCATCATTTAGTTTTGATAAATTTCGAAACGATGCAAACTTTTCAAACTTTTGTACAGTAGCGTGCAAAAGTGAGTGGACAGAACAAATTTTTTAATAATTTCGTTCAAAAAGTATCTTCCACTAAACGAAATCACTTGAAATTTTCACAGTATATCTAATTTTTGATGAGATTTCGTATGAAAAATAAATTTTGTACTATAATTAAGGAATTTGAAAATACCGTTAAATATTCGAAATCGATAACGTGCAAAAGTGAGTGGACAGTTTTCAATGACAAAAAAAATGTGTTAATAAGTGTGTTATGGTAACTTTTTAAGATGTTACCGATTTTCTTTATTAACGTTCAAAAATTTTCCACCAAAACCACGTGTTTTCTCGATTTTTCTTAAATTCAAAATGGCTACTATTTTTAATGACTTTTAAGCAAATATGTCATATGATTCAATCTTAATTAACTTAGACTTTACTGATTTATTTAGTATTTTTAATAAGCTTTCAGAATATATACAGTTTATTATAGTAAAAGTTGATATTATGCAAAAAAATTATAGAAATATTTTTTTCATTGGCGATTTTTTCACAGTAAAGAACATTAAATTGAGGAAAACTTGATAAATACTTTGCATATATAAGACTTTTTGGTATTAATTTATTGCATTTTATTCGTACAACATTATTTATGCAGTTTAAGTTAGCTAAAAAAATTATCCATCAAGAAACAAGCTGTCAAATAGTATGTCAATTGAGCTTCTCAAATAATGAAAAATAAATTTTTGCAAAATTAACTTTCTGTCGTGAAAAATTTATAGGTTTTGATTTTTAACGCATAATTATGTTAAATTTAACATTTAAAAATTAATTTCTGCAACAGATATTCATTTTAAACAAATTTTGCAAAAATTTATTTTTCATTATTTGAGAAGCTCAATTGACATACCATTTGACAGCTTGTTTCTTGATGGATAATTTTTTTAGCTAACTTAAACTGCATAAATAATGTTGTACGAATAAAATGCAATAAATTAATACCAAAAAGTCTTATATATGCAAAGTATTTATCAAGTTTTCCTCAATTTAATGTTCTTTACTGTGAAAAAATCGCCAATGAAAAAAATATTTCTATAATTTTTTTGCATAATATCAACTTTTACTATAATAAACTGTATATATTCTGAAAGCTTATTAAAAATACTAAATAAATCAGTAAAGTCTAAGTTAATTAAGATTGAATCATATGACATATTTGCTTAAAAGTCATTAAAAATAGTAGCCATTTTGAATTTAAGAAAAATCGAGAAAACACGTGGTTTTGGTGGAAAATTTTTGAACGTTAATAAAGAAAATCGTCTAAGCTTCAGATTTCCATCTTAAAAAGTTACCATAACACACTTATTAACACATTTTTTTTGTCATTGAAAACTGTCCACTCACTTTTGCACGTTATCGATTTCGAATATTTAACGGTATTTTCAAATTCCTTAATTATAGTACAAAATTTATTTTTCATACGAAATCTCATCAAAAATTAGATATACTGTGAAAATTTCAAGTGATTTCGTTTAGTGGAAGATACTTTTTGAACGAAATTATTAAAAAATTTGTTCTGTCCACTCACTTTTGCACGCTACTGTATATATACTTTATATATTTCATACTGGTAAATTCCAGTCACCATTAGTGAGTCCAGTCAGATTATAAATATTGAGCTTTCAACTTCCGGACCTGGAAGGCAATAAAATAAGACATCATTGAAATAGTGACATGGGTCAGCAAAAACGAGTTTCAGGTGATAGTTTACGCTTTACAATTGCATGGAAATAAGTATATATACCGAAATTTATTAAAAATAGTTGATTGGATGCTTATATGTTCTGAATCGAAAGGAGAATTACCTTCAGATTAAAGGAACATATCATAGCTTTGCTCATTCCAGCTTTATTCAAACGTTAATTGGATAAAATATGATTTTTAAATATTTAAGAGTATTTTTATGCATATTACGCATATTACATTAAATTTCAATATTTAGAATTATTATAAAATAAAATTTGATAAAAAAAGATAAGAAAAATGAGTGTAATTTGCAAAAAATTATAAAAAAATTACCTTAAAGTAAAAAATTTTTATGAATTGTTGCTCTAGGAGTGACATTTTAACATAAAAACATAGAAATTTAAAAAAATATCAAAATCAGAAGATTTAAAATAAGTTTTGATTTAAAATAATTGAAAAATAAGTAAAATTTGTTGAAAAAATATATAAAAATGATTTTGTTAAAATTTGAGTATAAAAATTGTTCAAACTATGACATATTTATACTCAAAATATGCGCCTTGATGAGATCTATTGATCTAAAGCAAAAAAACTAAAATTTTGAAAAACGTACAAAATTTATTTTCAATTTTTATGTTTTGAAATGTATTTCTGGTCACACTTCAAAGTCAAATTGCTCGAGATTGTCTCAGTAACCGAACTCAAGCTGATTGTATAATCTGATAGTATATCCAAAGAGCTTTCAAAGCATGTAAAAAAATTCCACTCCTTTGGGCTATCCTGAAAAGTTATGGGAATTTATGTCAAAAAATTGCAGTTTTTTTGAAGAAAAGACTTAATTTCATCAGCAAAACTCTACTAAAACTTTATAGTATTTTAATAAAAGTTATAGATCTTGTTTATATCTACAATATAAAAAAAGATTCAGCATCATTTATTTTAAGAGTGAAGTCCTAGACGAACGTAATCATACTGAACACGTGATTTTTTGAAAAAACCTTAAAATTCATAAAGTTAAAAGATGCATACTTAAATGTTTACTATGCTAAAATAAAGCTCTTATTTTAAGCTACCAAATAAAAAAAAATTGAAAGAGTTTCATCAATCAAATGAAAAGTAGTGACAATTTTTGTGGGGCGAGAAAATGCTCTTAATCAAAAATTTGAAAAGCCATAACTCGGAACTTAGGCTGAATTGGCCACTTTTGTAAGGTGTTTTTGTAAAAAAATTTTCTTAAATGGGAATGAAAGAGCTATCATTTAAACCAAAAAAATAATTTTCGGAAAAGTTTTCGATTTCTGGCCCATGAGTGAATTTTTTTTTCTCAACTCAATTTTTTGTAAATATTTCGTTAATTAACTTCTTTAAACGCCATGTTTAAGATTTATTTTATGTTTTATTATAGTATTTATACATTTTAGTGCTTAATCTTTTAGTAAAATGTGTTTAACAAAAGATATTTAAAAAGAAAACCTTAATCGGTCAACTTTACGAAAAATTGGTTTTTAAATTTTCATCAATATTTCTTTGAATATACATTGTTGTGTTACAAATCTATGAGAAACACACGTGAAATAGCCTGTGCTTTATAACAATATCTTATTTGTATGTCTTTCTACTGTAATTAAGGAGAAAATTGAAGAAACAACACTTAATCGGTCAACTTTTCAACCCATTATTGCGAAACACATCACATATTTTTGTCAAAATGCAGCATAATTAAGACGATTAAATGCTAATAACACATGAATTGATGAATAATAAGTCTTATTTCATTAAAAGATATGTTGAAATATGTTTATTTAAGCATAAAAAGCTAAAAAAGTTTATTAATAAAAAATTTTCAGTTCCATTTACTCATGGAATCGCCCTATAGTCAAAGGTAAAATTAAACTCCTCGCTCCCGAAAATATTTTAGTACTGATCTAGTGTAAAGTTTCTCGTGGTACTTTTTTCACATACTCCTACACAAAGGTATACACGAGCTGAATCACATTTCCTCCAGCTTAAAAAGCTGAGCCTTCTCCATGCATTTTTTTTTTTTTTTGAGATTAGTTCTTCCTATCTTTGTTGATTAAGGACTGACATTTTGTTCCTAAGACGGACAAAATCTTGCTATGTATCTTGCATGTAACCCACTTAACATAGTAAAAAGCAGATTTTAACGTCACTAGCTTCTTTTGCATCTTTTAATTCTTGAGAAAATGGGGTAAAATGCCACAGCATACTTTCAATTTATTGCATTATTACATTTATCAAGATTACATCATATCGTAAATTCTGTACAGCATAATCTTATTTTCTTTCTATTCCTTTTTTTTTTGAATGAAAGATTGCATTAACCAACAAAAAATTAAATTTTTTTTATCTTCTCTTTCTTTTTTGTATGACAGAGTAATTAAAAATCGCGAGCCTTGGTTTACCACAATTCCAGCATCATCATCGTCAGATGAGGAAACCTTAGCTGAATGAGATTTAAGTAACTTAATTTAAAGATATGAAAAAAATTTCTTTATCATTACCGAATGAAGCATTGATGAATAACGCAAAAAGATGATGGGAAAAATGCGAAGCACAAGAAACTTTTTTCATTCTTTAAATTTTTTTTTTTTCATTATTTTGTTTGACTTTTCTCTTCCCAAACAATTATTCCTTGCTCTTTTGTGAGAGGAATGAAAAGGAAGAGGAAAACATTAAGAAACTTTCTAATCATTAAATGGTCGTAAGAATTTACGTTTAAATTATGAAATCATCATGGGATAACAATCTTCTTCTTTATACAAGGAAAGTATTTACTTATGTAGTAAGTTTATCTATGTAGTCTTAATCTCAAGAAACAAACGAATCGTATTATTGCATTGAATTTTTTTCCTTTAACATAAAAGAAAATTTCTTCATTTCCGCTGACGAGAGTACAAATTTTTATTTTAGATGGATATAAAAACATCCAGCCTATCATAGCATACTGAGATCCTTTTTCATTTCTTAACCTTTTTTGGCTCTTTTTGTTTAAGTTTGACCTTAATTACAGTTCTTTTTTGCAATTTCTATAGAATTTCTCAGCATGAGATCTTATCATGAAAATACAGTTCAGTCTATACACAGTTTAGATGATTCAATCAATTGATGTTCAATTTTCAAGGTTAAAATTCATTTTTTGAAGTTAAACTCTAGATTTATCCAAAAAATGTACTCAAATGCTTTATTGAGATTTAAGGCTATTTGATTAGTCTGCTTTTTACCTTAGTTTCTTAAATTTTAAAAAACTTTAATGCAAATCTTCCAAAAATTCAAAAAAAAAACTTTGTTCACAATATTTTAGCTGAATAGTGCTGAATTCTTTAAAAATATCGAACCAAATGCTATAAAAAGTAGTCTAATCAGCAAAAATAATTAAATATCATTTGCGCAACGATAAAAAACACTAAGCTCAAAAAACATTGATCCACATAGACTGTAATTCGTCCTTAAATCACATTCATTATCGCAAAAAAAAAAGAAACGATAGAAAAATTCGCATATACGCTCTATTTTTCTTTTCTTGTTGACTTGTGAGATAAATTTATTCACTTAAAAGTCATGAAACCAACAACCTATAATATTTTCATTTGAAGTAGATAAGCAAAGATCTATAAAAGCTTATAAATAGGTGCACACACTCATACACTAAACCTGTTATCTAGCGGCATGTGTAAATATTTTCCAATTTGTCGAAGAGATGTGTACAGGAACGAAAGAAAAGTGAAAGTAAAAGATCACAGAGAGAAAAAGGTTCAGTCTTTTATTTTTCTTAAACTTTCTTTCTTTTAGAGGAAGGAAGAAAAAATTAATTTGCCAAAAAAAAAAGATTCTATATTGTGGAATTCTTCTTGTTCCCATGCATCACCCCTCTCTGAATCTTCAATTTATTCCTCCTCATTTATAAAAAAAATGCGAGAAAATCACATAAAAAAGTATCTATTCTTCCATTTAAATGTCTCAAAATGACGGTGAAATTAATTTAATTTAATGATTTTTTTTATTCTTGGAAGTTTTTGCGTCATGGTTTTTATTGCTAATTTGACTTATTTTTGAATATTTTTAAAAATAAATTTGTTTTTTTTTTCACTGTAACACTAAGTTTTTGTGTCATTTTACAACAGTTTATATACAATTGTAAATTCTGCATCATTTTGCGTCAATTTTAATTAGTGTTGCGTCTTTTTATATCAATTTTGCGTCTTTTCTCCTAATTTTGCGTCTTTTCAAACTAATTTGTATAAATTTTGCCTATTCTGCATCAATGTTTTGTTTCTGCATCTCATGATGCCAAGTTTCGTGTAGTTTTATTATAGTTTCGCATCTTTTGATCAAATTTTAATCATTTTAGATTAAAATTTTGAATCTTTTTCATGATTTTTTTTTTTGAAAGAACATTTTAACTAAATCCAAATCTAAGTCAAAGAGCATCCAAACCCCGACGATTGAAACTTTAATCTAGGAAATTTATGTATTTATTCTCAAAACAAATGCAGATATGATAAAACGATTGCACAAACAAAGAATATAAAGAAGAAATGAGATAGATAAAATTAAACGAATGATAAAGAAGATGAATTAAGCATAAATAAATATAAAAAAAAACAGCATAAATATTTAATGACATTGCCAAAAAAAATAGTTGAATAGAATATAATATGACATCGTACATAATAAAGAAAATGAGTAATAGTTTTTCATGAAAAATTAAAGAATAATATTGACAAATTTTTCTGTCAGCAAAATGAAAATAAAACTTTTTTTTTTCGCGAAAATAAAAATTGATAAATAAAACTTTCGTGCAAGCGCGTATGAAAGAGAGCAAAAGTATATGACACGATATAATTTTTAGATCGATGGTAAATACTTTTTAAATGTAAAATGTAATGAACTTAATTGGATATATATTAATTAACTATGGGATAATAATGATAACAATTATGGAAGATGGCAAATTTTCAATTTGTAAAATATAGACACGTGTTTTTCTTCCAAATCCATCCCACCCCATCCCACCTTCAGTCATTACCATACGATACACCAATCCTCCATATATGAAGAAAGAAAATCATTAGCAACGACATCCCAAACATACTTTTGAATCTATCTCTTTATATATAAATCTATATCTATCTATCAATTATTCTTTTCTAAATTAAAGTAATTAATTAATGAATTAATTAAATGATTAATCCGTAGTTAATTAAAATTTTTTGATGATGATTACAATGAACATGACGATGAAGATGTGGATAAATATGAGAGTAATGAAATTATATATACATAAACTAATTATGCGATTAAAAAAATGAGACGTAAGTAATTAAGTAAAACTGATGCTAATTGATATAAAACAAAAATATGAAATCTTTCGTTGTGATAACCTTACGGAGGTTTGTCTCAATGATACCCAACTTTTGAGGATACCACCAAAAAACAGTTGAATCTTGATAATTTATTAATAAATAATGTAATGGGGTGTCTTATTGAGTTTGGTGTGGAAATTTAGATAAAATGATGAAAGAAGGTTCATTAGTGATTTATATTAGCTTAGGTAAAACATTTCAAAGAAACAAAAATCAAGCAAATGGTTTAATTTAGCTTAAGATACCATTTAAACTACCCTTAAATAGCCTGGGCTACAATAGACCCTTCAACTAAGATCCTCATTTAAGATAACCTTAAAATCTTCACGAATTATTGAAAATTTGATATTCTATTCAATTAAGTGTCAACAATGATGAGTAGTCCAGTGGTCTAGTGCTTACTGAACCGTTTAAAGCAGTCTAGGACCTACAATCAATTACAAATGGATGCTTAAAGGTACTTGTGTTATATCATGTAAGATACACCCTTGAAATCAGAATAAAGTATCTTAGACAACCTACAAATTTTGAAAAAGTTAAACAAATCTCGATATTAGTTCAAATTCATCAAACTAATCCAAATACCATCTAAATATCCACATCAAATTCAAAGAGAATTCCTTGAATTAATAAGCTCAGAAATTTTATGGATTAAATAGCAATTTTTTTGGTATTGCTACTTCCAAAAGTAAAAATGTCGTTGAGAACGCCAACCGAACCAGTGAAAAAATGTAAAAAAAAAAACAATTTTCTTTCTCATTGTTGATATTTTTGTGTCAGACGAACATAGAGAGACTTTTATAGTGATTAAGTTCCACTTCTCCCGTTCTTTTAAAGAACATTGAAAGAAACGAAAACAAATAGAAGAAGTTTATAAAACTCTATGACTATTATAGTAAATGAAAAAAAAAAAAAACTAAATTAAATTAATGAACGTGTTTAAATTCAAAGATCGAAAGGATTTTTCTCTCTGTCTTGTTTGACGATGGAGAAAAAAATGAAGTAACTGCATTTAAAAACTAAACTGTGTTCCCAGCAAATAAGATGATTAATAATAAGTATGATTAAATGAGTCTACATGACTTTAATGCATTTTTGTTATGAGCTGCAATCAGTAAATTAATTCAAGTTATTGCAATATTAAGAAGAAAGATGGTTATAGCAAGGGAGACTTACAATCTATCTAAGAATTTAAGCTCAATTCATGAACTTTAAGGAATATACTGCAACATACACATTAAACTAATAACCCCAATCTAATCTATCCTTGTGACTTAGATCATATTCGATATCTTTAAAGAATCTGCAAACATGATCGAAAAGTACAGACTATGAAACCTAATGCAAATTTAACGTTTGCACAATATCTCATTATTGTGTGAAACAGACTCTATCTTTTGTAAGCTTCCAACAGTTCGAGATGTTCAGGACCAAAGCTCGAAGACTAGTTCATTTGACTTGAACTTTACATACAAAGTCGTCAAAAACCGTATCGATTTCTCGGCTCTTTTAAGAATCTTGTCTCCTATTCCCGTGATCATTCTAAAACTAAGTGACTCTTCTTTTGTGAACTATAAATTAACAAAATTTTAAAGATGTTGCTAATGACTACCGTGAAATCTTCAAAACAATCGTAGTTTTCAAATTATTGCAAGCCAGTCAGTCAAAGTATAAGATCCTTACAAAAATGCATAGCAAATGTACCAAGTAGCATTTCAATTTATGTAAAGACATACCGTGTACATACTACATAAGACATAAAAAAGAATTTTCAACGTTCAAGTATTATTTAAGTTAACAAAAAAAAAAAATGTGAAGAGATTAAAAAAGAACCCAAAATTTATATCCTTAATTAAATTAACCGTGAATGTGTAAAAGAAAAATTTTGAATTTTTCTTAAAAAATTAATTTTTTACTGCTCAATTACAATGAAGAAATGTTGAGAATAATCAAAAAATAATAAGTTACGACGATTGAATAATTTTAATGTGATACTATATGTTACCATAAAAAATGTTCTTTTCTATTTGATAATAAGGTGATGTTTATGTCAAGAAGCCAATGAATCACAATGAAAATTGGATTTCTTATTCTTATTTTCTCTCGTTTTTCAATTTAACCTTTTTTATAAATACAAATCGAAAGAAAATTGTTGAATTAAATTTTTCTCATTTTTCATGTAGGCCTAATTTTCCGATCAAGCCCAATCCTCAAAGAAATAAGAAAAATCGAAAAAAATAAATGGAAATCTCCTTAAAAATGAAGAAATCTTATAAACGCGATTTAATGAATTAAAAATTGGATGAAATATTTAAATTAAAAACTATCTAAAAATGAATGAAATTAAGTAAGAACATAGATGATAAATGTAATGCATAAATTGACTAACGAGTCATGAAAAAATGAGAAAAATAAAGAAAAAATAATAAATTAAAGTGTTTTACTTTTGAAAAACATATCTTTAACATTTGTAGATTTATATAACCGTTAAGGGCCGTTCACTTATTACGTTACGCAAAAAAACTTTTTCACCCCCCTCCCCCCCTTGTTACAATATGTTACAACTCACAACCCCCCCTGAACGTTCATAATTTATTTTATTTTGATAATTTTTTATTCTAAAAAGACTGTTAAATTTCTTTTGTATTTTTTTTCTTAAACATCAAAATACTGTCCATCTAAATAGGTCATGTTTTGATTGATACTATTAGTATCCTCATGAATTATTGGATTGAGATATAAAGCAAAAATTTGTTTTTTTTTTGAAGAAGAAGAAAATTCAAAAATGTCATGAAAAATATTATGCCCGATCGAATTTTGGAAAATTCAATCAACTATAAATGTAAATATCACAATTATGGGATCATTTTTTTTTTTATTATTATTATTATCATTATTTATTGCTCTCGTTTTTCTTTCCTTTCACACAGAGGAAAAGCCTCCTTAAACAGTACTTAAACTATTTAAAGCGGCATAAAAACCTCTGCATTAACATTCAATAAAATAAAATATAAAAGAAGTTTCAATGTAACAGGTACCTTAAAGAAACTTAAAATTAAACATACAGATATTAACGGTCATTCTTAATTTGAAAAATACGATTTTAACTGACACAAACAAAACATTTCGTAAATATGAAAATTTCATCATCTCAGAACTAAAAGTGTAAGAAATAAATAAATAAAGTGAGTTTGTGTAATTAATTTAGCATTAAGTTGTGACAAAAAGTGATAAAAGTGACAAAACAATTGGAAATGGACTTAAATGACGCTATGTAGATCGGAATTTGATTTTTTGCATGAACTGGACATAAGATTAGTTTTTAAATTTTTCGTTCCATTAATTCAGTTTTGTTAATGAGACAAATCTTTTCAGATTCCATTTTAGACTCAATCATGCATATTTAGACAGGAATTCGCCACAAAAACAGCTATCAATGAACACTGGATCGTTAAGATGTCTCCTAAGTGACCATTTTAGAGCATGAACATGTCTGGATTCCCTAATTTCTTTTGGAAGGCTATTGAAAATCTTTGGTCCAATATTAATCATCATATGAATGACAGATTTTGAGAGATTTACTTTTGAAAATTTCCACAAATTATGATTGTATTTTAAAGTCTGTAGAGAGAGTAGCGAAGCTTTGAAAGTGAAGCGGAGCTTAAAAGGGGAGTCTCATATCAAGTCAATAAACACACAGCACATACATTTTGAATAAATTAAATAAATAATAAGTTTTCGATAGTATTAAGAAATAAATTGTGATTAAATATATTGTTTAAGTGTGCTAAAATAAGTTTTAATTCAATAAAGTCTTAAAAAACCGCAAGTTAAACTATAAAAAGTGACTTTTCCATAAATTGTGTCAGTAATATATTTTCGACTTTGTCTATCGATTGTAACGTTATTTACCGATTTTGACTCTCGATTGTGACTTAACTTGCGTCACAGATCTACTATCCTCGATAAAAGAGGGAAATCTGTGCTATTTACCTATTTGGATATTTTCATTATCTTTGGGATCCAGTGTAGCGACTCTATATTATTTTTCATCTTTTCGGCTGTTTGGGTAACAAAATATATTATTTTCATATATTTATTTTTTTTGCTTACCACAAGTCTTGTAAACCAGTTTTCTATTGATTTGTTACTTTATATAACATTAAATTCACAAAAATTGAAAATTTTGTGTGAATATGAAAGGTGGAAAATTTAAAAAAATGTTTTGGTGTGAATTTGTTAACAAATTTTTTTCGTGATCTTTTTTTTAAAAGACAAACGACAGTTAGAACGTTACATTTATCTTGACCCCCCCCCCCCCCCCCCTATGTTACATTTGGTTACAATTTTTCAAACCCCCCCTCCCCCCTAAAATGCGAACGTAATAAGTGAACGGCCCCTTACGAATTACAAATTTACAATATTTATTGAATGTGAATATTACACATTTAAATAAATGCAAAACTTTATGTAGTTCTATTAATCCTTCATCTTATAACAATTATTACATCATATCTAATCTAATCGCATTTAAATAATGAAATTAATGTTAATTGTTTTTTAATGTTTGATTTAATTAACGGTTTTTTGAGATTCAAATTTTATCCTACAAGTTTTTACTATAAAAGTTTTCGTAAAAATGGTTTTTCGTTATTTTGTTTTTCAAGAAAATACAAAACACTCCTTCGACATCTATATTGCTTCCAAAATTGTGTCCCTCGATTAGTTTCATGTCTTTTTAATACTTCAGAAGCTGTATCAATTCGATTCACTTTACACATGGAATGTTTTTCTTGCAATATAATAAATTGATGCAATTTTGGCCATAAGCTGACTATCAAACAACGTTGAAACTATTGCACTTCTACTAATTTGTAATGAATCTCAAAAGTTACTTAAGTAAATTGAAAAAATACTCTTTCAAAAAATTAAATTGCAATCTCACGTTATGTTATGTTATGTTTTGGCATTTGCTCAACATAATTTAATTAATTTCTAAGATTGTAAAATTATAATATTATAATTGGAGCTAAATGTGGAGTACTTACCTGAATTTTAATTACTTTTCCATGATTGAAAACTTCAAATTTAATTTTTTGGTTAACTGAGTTGTTCAGTTAATTTCATGTCATTTCATTTCAGTTCATGTAAAATTCAAAAATTCTGTAACGGTTTTTTATCATTTCGATGAAAGCAATATTAAGTTACACGTGACATTTGAGGACGCTTCAAGAAGCAAAAGGTGCAGCAGTTAAAAATCTTCATTACCGCGAATATCAAAAGAGTCATGGCTAATTTAATAAAACGTATCTTATTGCATCTAGCTGATATATATAGTCAATCAATAAAGTTCAATCACAACATTTCACGATCAATTTAATTGAGAATTACATGAAATAAAAATAAGAGATGTACGTAAAAAATTGACCATGACCTAGAAAATAATAAAGCCTTACGTCTCATGTCCAATACAAAAAGTGAGAAAAAGTTGATAATGAACCCTCGTAAATATGATAGCTAACGATGCGTATTCAAAAATTTCGCGAGAAACACGAAACATTAGAGAGAATTTTTCATTTCCATTTTCAGTAATCACTTGAACACCATCGAAGTATGTGATCACTGCCGAGACTGAATCGTATTCGGTGCGCGGAAAAATACTTAAAAAACATTTAATGTGTGAAAAGCTATGGATAGATTGTTTTTACTTTTAATTGTAGTTATACCTTATGTAGTTTGGTGAGTGTCAGGATTGGAAATAAATATAAAGTGCCATGGATACACATTAAATGATCAAATAGTTGTCAGAGATAAATTTTAAAGTTATTAATTAGTTGAGTCAACATTGATCTTTTGATGCTCGGTTCCTGTAGCTTTTATAGGCATTTGGAGTTAATCTTAAGTGATGTAAAGCTTATTTTATGATAAAAATAAGGGGGGAAGCTTATTTTATGATAAACAAAGGGGGGGGGGGGGGCTCTTTAAAGTCATATTATAAGGTAGTCGCCATTTTTGAACTATACCTAGACCCCCACTTTAAGTTTGTCATAAAAACTTATAATTATACCGAAGAATCGCCGTAAAAAAGCTCAATCATCTGATCTACTTTGAACTTATTAATTAACACCATCAATTAGCATCATATAAATAAACGTCACATGTTATTGTCGACTGGTTGCCAAAATTGATAAAGTAAAGAGACACAAATGCTATTATTTTTATCATTTATGGGAATCTGCTGTGCTTTATCTTATCATACGTTGTTGTGTCTATGATGCTCCATTACTTATTACTGTCTGTTCTCCAAAATTTAATAGCGACAACATCAACATCAAGACATACTATGAAACTGACCTTGATACATCAAACTTTTTTCATGATCACAAAAATCTGACGTATCTGTGTGATAAGCTTGGGGAGTTCTATGAAGAGAAAAATGATCAATTTACATTGCCCAAATGTATTCGCTTCAAATCGACACAAATACTCTATTGTCATGGTGAAATGATCAATTTCCGGAACTATACAAAGTAAATTATATGTCCATTCATGAATACTTAATTTTTTCGGGAGCAGATTATTAAGTCATGGAATAAATTTTTTCTTACAGTAAGCCAAAACTCGAGAGAATTGAGCACTTAGTCATCTGTTATCACAACACGTCAACATTCGATTTAAGTTTGTTGAAATACTTTAAGAAAGTTAGGAATCTTCATATAGGATATAGTTCATTTAATAGGTTTTTAGGAAAGTTTCCTCGATTAGAGCAGCTAACGGTAAGGAAACTTATGATACCGTATTATGTAGGAGCTGGATTGGAACTGAACGAATCTGTCAGTTCGAAAGTAGGGTCGCACTCACTTTGATGAGATGACCTTTTATACAAAAGTAGTAGCAAGCAGCCAGTTTTCCAATTATCAGTTCCACATCGTTTGTATCCTTTCCAAAAACATTATCATTAAACCAATTTCCTTTCTAGTTCATCAATATCACAAGAAGTGAGCTTTTTAGTCTCAAATCAGACGTATTCAGTGATTTACCAGCTATAGAAAAAATTGATTTGAGGTACAATCAGCTACATATCATTGAGAAGCCATCATTCGACAGCGCACGTGAGCAAGTGAAAGTCAAACTATTTGGAAACTTGTGGAATTGCAGTCAAGCAAAAGTAATTAAATGGATTGCTGGAAATGATCCAAAAGTTGATGTTGAGGATAAAAAGTCGCTAAATTGTTCTGATGCGAAATTTCGTGCACGACCATTATTTACTGTAATGAGCTATAAAATTGCACTAGCAAAAGTATGTAAAGAAGATTTAAAGGATATAAGGAACTGTTCATGTCATATAAGCTATTTGAGGTATGAAGAGGAATCACACGACTTTAAACCTGTCATTTCTGTAAATTGTAGTCACAAGGGATTCTTCAACTTTCCAGGACGCCTACCTGAATATACAAATTCACTCTATTTCGACCGTAACAACATTACATCCCTCGATGCTTTATGTTTCAAAAATTCAACATACAACGACGTTCATGACATTTATCTCGACTATAATCAAATTAGAGATGTCTCAGTACTTGATAATTGTCAATGGTTTGAGAACTTTCGTGTGCTTAATCTTAAAGGAAATTTATTAGAGCGTATTCCTGTCTTTGCATTTATTAATAGCTTCGAAAAGAGTCATCATGCCACAAAGTTATATCTCTCAGAAAATAATTGGATCTGCTCGTGTCGCTACATGCCAAGATTACTGAAATTGTGTCAAAAATATGACATAATTATAGACAAAAGGAAATTGCTGTGCCATAATGACAGAAATGATCCAGAACTTAATGGCAGATTAATAATGGAACTGACCAAAAGTGATGTCTGCAAAGCACATAATCTCATACTTAATACATACGAAATAATGTCTATAATATTCTCAATTCTTATTGTACTAATTCTTGTTAATCTCTTATTCGATTATTATCGATATAAGAAAAGTGGAAAGTTGCCATGGATTGTGCTGCATACGCCGCTTTTTTAGAAGTCTATCTTGTAAATGAGAAGTTTCTTTTAAAAAAAATGATTAAAGCTGTCTTAGTGCGGTGTGAGCTGTAGTGCTCTTTATATCGTAGATTTTAGATCAATAAAGTCAGTATTAAATTTTTCCCAAAGTATCTTTTAATTCAACAAAATAAGTTTTTAATAGCCAGCAAAAGGAGAAATCTTGTTCAGCCAATTTGACAAATTAGCTGGCATTCTTTTAAAGTCATTGGCATAAAGTTTCTTCAAGATGCTGCTAACAGCAATATCAGAAATTGAGAGTGATGATGCACTGTTGTAAAATTGATCCTTGCCTAGTCGTTGACTGAGGTGTTGGATGTATTGTTGACGTTCCTTATCCGAGTGCTTCTTTGACAGTTGATAACAAACATCCAGCACTTGATCATGATAATTAGCTTGGAAGTGATCAGTTTCGTAGTAATGCTCACTAGGTCCAACACGATTCAAGTACCTGATAATGTTGATTTCTCCATAAACAGGTATGAATTTTGAAGGACTTGATATGAACTGTGTTGTTTCAACATCCTTCCAGATTATTGTCACTTTTAAGGCTGGCAATTTTTCTACATAGTCTAATTTCTTTGTGATCTTGTCAGTAAAATCTCTTGTAAGATCATTAAAATCAGCATTAGAGATGCTCGAATGAGTAAAAACTTCTACGTCCAAAAAGAGTCTGTCCTTGAACAAATTTCTAAATGCAAGGATGCTGTAAGGGATGTTTTTAGGATGAACATTCACAACTATTTCTGCAAGATTATTGACGTCAATTGGTTTTCTCTGGATTTTCACTTTTGCGGCTTTTTGTTGTTGTTGGTTCTGGATGTTCTGTTGAGCTGGCTTACTACAAACATTTAAATCCCCTCTCATTGAGAGTAATGTCTGCTTTAATTCGTCGAGTTTTTGAAGGATTCTATTCTGCCTATCTTCAAGAAGCTCAACTTCTGATTTTTCCTGAAAAATATTGCAATTTTCTTAATTTTCACGTCATGCACATTTTCTCATTTTCAAGACTTACAGAGTTATTTTTAGAATTACATGAATTCTCAATGATATTTGAATTCACCGGCTTCATTTTATACATGCACGATGGCAAATCAATGTTTTGTTGTGTTAAAATCGGCTTTAATGAGTACATAATTGCTTGAATTACTTTTAATTCCAATAATAAAGATACAGCACTTGAAATTTAGGTACGAAACCCCTTGCAGCAAAAAAAAAACGATAGACTTAATTCAAAAAAATGTTGACCGTTTTTTTATTTCTCAAAAATTATTATTTTAAAGCATAACTTAAATCATTAATTAATCCAAATGCACCTGTTCCAATTTTACAAGGATGTCCAGCTATAAGACAGGCAGATGGTGAATCAATATTATCAATTTTTCCTTGAACTGCTGCAGTTTTTAAGAATTGTAGAGCTGATTCGAACGAAATTTGCTGCATTGGCGATGCTGATGACTCAATTCCTTTTCTATTGAGTGGCTTGAAAGTTCCATCAAATGTCATATAATCTGATATAAGCGACAAATGTCTTGGATCAACAGTAATTCCATAAACTTTAAATACATTCTGAACTTCCTTGACAACGACTCGAGCAGCTGCTTCTATTCCGTAAATATTAGCTACAGCATGTATGTCGTTCGTGTATAGCTTGTTCAAATCCAATATTTTGTCGTACTGTAGCATTGCCTGTAACGAAATAAAAATTCATGAATAGACTGTGAATTATTAGAAATTGCTGTAGTTTTTTACCTCAATATTGATTCCTTCAGTTTTGATGCACAACAAATCATTCTGCTTGAATGTAATTGCACGCTTGATTTTAGGAATCTCCCAAATAACGGCAGTTCTTGCTGCATCTTTAATGACACTCGTCAAATCGATATTCTTGAATTTTATTGGAACTTGGAATTTCACTTTGCACCATCTATGATGCTTTGAGTCTGATGTGAATTCATTTACTGTGATATTGCTACACGTGACATGAGCTTTCTTTGCTAAAGCCTTGGCTACCTCATCATCCTTCACATTTTCTGAATCAGCATCTTCTTTTTCTTCTATTTCCTTCAATTGTTCAAGATCAGCATTTGAATTTTCTAATATAAGTTTCTCTAACTTAGAAACATCCATATCCTCATCAACTTCTAGTTTGACCCTTTCAAGATCGAATTCATCGTCTGATTTATCCGAGTTTGCATCGTTCATCTCATCGTCATTCTCAGGCTCATCGTAGTCCATTTCATCAACCTGTTTAGATTTTCTTTTGTCTGCTGTTGCATCATCGTCGTCCTAAAATGGAAATAAACGTGGTATAATTAAGAATATAGATTTAACGGACTTTTGAAATTTGAAATATTTAACGGATTTATGAAATTTGAATGAAGTGAAATGAAATGAACATAGCTAAGTTGGACTACTGAACGAAAGTTCAAAATTTTCGGAAACTGTTGAAAATTCCAAAAATCAAGGATTTTAAGATTATTAAATAATAGAAAACGAAATATAATCTTACCATAGGAGCATCTCCATCATCATCAGATTCTTCCCCTGCATTTAAATCTTTCACAACATTCTCAACTTGTCCACTTTCCTCGTCTCCATCTTCATTAACTTTTTTGGAGGTCTTTTCCTTCAGTTCCTTTTCAATATAATCACCGCCTGTATCCTTAGACGCTTTTTCAATCAACCTGAATAGCCTTATTAGGAAGGCTTCATGTGTATATTTGACAATCTTTTTTGGCTTGACTATAAACTGCTTTTTGTAAGCAAAACGTGGAAGGAAATTGAATGTAAATTCGTAGTTTCGTGCTCGAGATGGTTTTAAGGATATCCAAGATTTTACATTGACATATTCAAGAACATCCGATAAAGTGACTTGATTCAATCGAATTCTAAACTTTTCAGCAATTTTATCTAAATTATCAGAATTCTGATTAACGAAGGCAATTTCCATTGATGGAGTTTTTATAGCTTTCGATGCCATCATTAAAATTTCTCTTAATCGAGGAATACCCAATGTTACGTTCATGTCACCTCTACCAGCAAAGTGAAAAGTGTTTAATGTCATCTGAGTTGATGGTTCTCCAATAGATTGTGCTGCTAAAAGCCCAACAGCTTCACCTGGTTCCGCTAAGCACTTAATATTCTTTAAATAAAACATTTCACGGACATTCTCTTTATCAACATCATTATTATCTTTAAAGTATTTATCTAGTATGCCTTCAGCACATTCAGAAATGGAACCAAAGTTTTTGTGTGGTGAGAATTCTGAGTTGATTGTTCCTGGACATTTCTTGACTGAATATCCACGTGCTGGTTTTTGTAGCGTATTTCCAAACTTTTTTTTATATGCCTTGATTTTCTTTGCAATTTTTCTCATATTTTCATCTGTTTCTGGTGTGTTCCTTACCATGTCCAACATACTGTCACTTAAAATTGCTTTTTGATTCTCTACTAAAAACGGCATAGTTTTTGATTTTAAAAATTGTGATTTGAGGATATCCATTCCATCTTCACCGTACATAAATTGAACAACACTTTTGTCACTATCGCGTACAGTTCCATCATAATTAACAGTTAAACCTTCTAGATGCTTAATTAGACATCTTTGAAGATATCCAGAACGACTGGTTTTAACAGCAGTATCAATCAAACCTTCACGACCAGCCATACAATGGAAAAAGAATCCTTGAGGTTCAATTCCTGTCATGAAACGTCCATCAATATATCCTCCAGCTTTTGGACTACAATCAGTAAGTAAGAAACTAGGCAATGACTTGCCATTAATCATAACTGGCGGACGTTTTCCTTCCAATTCAATTTGTCCTAAAAGGCATGAAATTTGCATAGTATTAACAGTAGAACCTTTAGCACCAGACGTAACCATCAATTGGAGATTATTTAATGGAAATTTACAGATTAAACCATTTGGCAAGCATGTCTTATTGATGTCATTTGTGTATGAATCTAGTGCTGATTTATACTTTCTATCTAATTGAGTTCTAAACTTTGGATCATTCGCATAAGCTTCCTCTAATTTCTCAGCTAGATCTTCATTATTAATGTTTTCAGGAACATTAAGTACTTGGCATGTAACACTCTTTCCAATATTTCGACTATTTTCAATAATTTCTCTTCTTTTTTTGTCAGCATCGCCGAGAACTAGAATGTCATGAACACCAAGAGTAAATCCTTCCCATTGGAGGAATGTCGTAAAGACTCTTGTTAACGCTGACAGCAATTTCGTAGATACATCACCGCCATAAAGCTCGTACATGCAATGAATTAAACTGTAAGGAGTAGCTCCATAATGATTTTTGTCTAAAACACCAACAAGAAGTTCACCATTACGAATTATCACTTCCGCTTCACTCATATCATTTCCAGTCAATTCAGTTCCGCCAAATTTCCACTTTCGTTTCTTCTCTGTTTGCCATAATCCAGAATTAATTTTAGCTGTTGATGTTATGTTGATTCGTTCCTTATAATCAGGAATTAAATTGATTATAACTGTGGAGAAAATCTGCTTGCCACTCCATAATTTATAAGGCTTCAAGATTGTCGGTGGAAGTAACTTAATTCTTTCCGTTTTTGTACTTAATCCTTGAAAAACTAACTGCTGATAATCTTCTTTACAAAAAAATCGTCCACGCATTGACATCTTTACACCAGAAATCATATGATCTTGAATCAGACCTCCCAAAGGAGTTCCATCTTTTGGAACTAGATAATGATTCTGCACACCAACCAAATTATAAGCCTCACTACGTCCAACTTCGTTCTGTGGGAAATGCGCGTTCATTTCATCACCTAGAAGATTATAAATACATTAATTTATTTATATCTGTAGGAAAAATCAGTTTAAGCTTACCATCAAAATCAGCATTGTAACTTTTACAATTTGAGTAATGGAGCTTGAATGTCTTCTCTCCCTTCAAGATTCTAGCCTTATGGGCCATAATTGATGGTCTATGAAGTGTTGGCTGTCGATTAAGCAGCAATACATCACCATTAAGTAAATGTCTATGAACAAATTTAAGTCCATCATTCTTCTCGGGTTTTAAGAGTGTATTGGCCATAGCTTCTCGCTGATTTGCATCCTTAGGAATTATCTTTTTTGATCCATTTGTTGTTTCAATAAAGCACGCGCCTGGATGTTTATCAGGTCCATTAATGACCATTTTTCGGAGTTGTGTAACATTCCAAGGAGTGACTGCAACCGGATAAGTCAATTTTAATGCAAATGCTTCAGGAATTCCAACAGAATCGACATCAATATATGGATCAGGTGTAATGACAGTTCTTGCTGCATAATTAACTCTTTTTCCCATCATATGCATTCTAATTAATCCTTGCTTCTTCTCAATAATCTGTTTAATTCCAACAGAATTGTCTGCATTATATTTACTGACATTTGCTTGCTTATCAAGTGTCATGTCAATTGCATTTTGAAGCTGTTCCCATTTAAAATATATCTTTTCATTCACAGATGATCCACGAGCCATTTTAAAGACATTTTCAGCTTCTTTAAGCATCTCTGATGAAACATTTGAACTAATTTCAAGTTCTTCCATTTTCTTCTTAGTCGTCAAGATACAGAAAAGTTCATTATTAAATTCAACAATATTTTTATAAGACTTGGTTTGTGGATGTTCTACAAGCATGTCACGGATATGATTTGGTGGTCGCCAAATTGGAGAAATGACAGGCACAATATCCATGAAAAACACATCAAAAGGATTTCCTTTAGCTTTTCCTAAAATTGGAAACATAATTTTCAAAAAATCGCCATCATTTTCCATAATTTCCTTCATGTATTCTCGACATTCATTAGCCATAATAACTTTTGTTGATGATTTCTGAGACATGTCATCTTCATCCATTGTACTGCGATTCTTAATCTCGTCCATCTCATTTTTAGACAATGAAATGACAAACTTCTTAAAATTATATCTGATCTTCTTTAAAGTGCTTTGGCAGTGAATGCATTTACTCTTTGTCGTTGTACTCGATGCAGCACCGACAGCACTGTGCATAATTGAATTTCTAAGTCCTTCAGATGTCTTTGTTTTATCGTATGGATTTTCTGGATGCTCTTCAAGCAATTTACGAAGCTTTTTCATGGTTTTTGTATATGTTTTTTCGCGTTTCTTTTCATTCTTCTCGGCTTCCTCTAGATCATCAAATTTGACTCTTGATGAAATCTTTGACATGTTACAGAATATGATTTTTTGCTCCTCAAGATCAGATGCTTCACTTACAAATCCGGCATCAACAAGCCTCAATTGGAGTTCCACTATTTCCTTCATTCGCTCTAAAATTGACATCTCTTGTTAATATCTTAGTCTATATTATCAAATCTATTGATACTTACCAGTTAGCTGGATTTTTTTACATTTTGTGCATATACATTTGAGTATTGTAGCTGCATATTTCATAAATAGAGGATTATAACAAGTCATGACTAAGTCAATGTGTCCTAAATGTCCTTCGCATGTATTATTATCATTGTTGCATGTCCCACAGAACTCACGTCGAGCACAAGGGCCCATTCTATTGTCATAAAGACCTCCTCTCGTCGAATTTCCAAGAGAATCAAAGGCAATTGGATTTGTGACTTTACAGACACTAATTTGACGAATCTCATCACTGCTGTAGATGCCAAACTCTAGATTCTCAACTTCCAACGTCACAGGACGTTCTCTCGCCAATTGTACAGGCATCTTTATGCTGTAATTTAATATTTATTTCTTCTAGGTTAGTTGCGTTTGGAATATTTTTTTAATTCACAGTTTATCTTACCTTGTTTTGACTAATCTTTAATTTCTAATGATTTAGTTTCACTTTATAGCTTACACAATATACTTTTTATATTGATATTCTTGTTAATTTTCATGTAATTAATTAAATTTGATTTTCATCACACACTTTTGTATTTTTTAATGTTTACAAATGTGACAGTCGAGATTTGAATTTATTTTTACCGTTACGAAATTTCTGTTTCATTTCAAATAAAAACTTAGCAAGTCCATTGATTAAAGTTTTATGGCTCTATTTTTAGCCTAATTGCTAATAAATTGACGATAATATCGCTGACATTTGAAACGGAACGTAAATAGAGTTCATAAATAGCCTGAAATTAAATGACGAGTGCGAGTGTGATTATTAAATAATTTAAAAGCCACAAGCCTATCGATCTGAAAACAAGTATTTCTGGACATTTAAAAGAGGTTTAAGATTGCTTTTATGAGGTTTATGTTTTATTTAGTATCATATATGTTCTTTAAAAAGATTACAATAAATGTCAAACTTTACTTTAATTCAAAATCATCAAAATTATAAACTAGTCGAATATATGTTTTTTTTTTGAAGAAGCATCTATTGAGTGCTACAGAGAAGTTTCAAAAGAACTACGTTAGGTTACTTCTATTGTAAGATAATAATTGTATTCATATGAATATATAATAATATAATATAAATCAAATAGGGGAATATAGTAAGTCATTAAACATGGTTATTAAATATATATTATCTGGATTAGTTATCGGCTGAGAGTTCAGATATACCATCGTTTATCGAAAGCATTTGCGCAACGAAATCACTATCAGCTACAATATCTGCAGAATTCTTTAACGTGTTGATTAATGTTGGAAGTTCCATACGTAATTGCGATGCTAATATGGTAAGATGACACATTAAATTATCAGGAATCTGTGAAAATAAGAAAAAAATTAAGTCATCAGTCGTGGTTTATCACATGACCAAAAGTTGTTAGCAACTCACATTATTAATATCTTTGAATGCAGAAAATTTGACTTTAAGTTTGAAAATTTTGTTGTTAATTCCTTCGTCATAAAAAATCGTAATGTTAGCGTCAGCAGTGTTTGCCAATACGGGGAAATAAATCCCAGCAAATACACGTCCTTTAGCATCTCTCGAAAGTAATGAACGGAACTCATAGACGAGATTTCTTCGTACTGTTACGTCGACAGCACTTCTATAATGACGACCAACATAAATGAGTGAAACTTCATACTTTTGTTGACCATTTCTTGTTGTTCTTTCATTCCAAGAAATAAATTGATCGCTGTTATGTGAGAATGTATACCAATATTCACGTTTACATCCAATCTCATCAGACTGTACAAAAATTCCAGTATGTGGATAATTTTGATCTTTCATTACAGTCACTACACGTGCAACATGATAACCTGGATCTAAAATTAACATTCCTTCACGACCAGCAACAACTATTTTCATGGCAACTAATGCATGCTCTTTCTCAAGGTTCCAAGCTGCTGATTCTATATTTGTTTGTTCGCAGTGTGCGATATATGAAATTGTATCCTCGACAGCTTCCTCACATGACACCAAAAAGAAATGATTTGCAATGTCAGGACGTAAAATTGCAACGCGAGAAACAATTTCCATTGCCAAGCTGACGCACATGTGATTTTGACGATTTATCTTTGGCGAATATCCTTTAAAGAATTCACCCAAGTTCTTGGTACGAGCATTCTTATAGGACTGGTAAAAATCTACGAAATTATTGACAGTATCATAATGTGTCTCTTGTATCATATGCTGTAATGTTGTTTCGATATGTGCCACAATATCTTCATAATCATAGATCTGTGAGCAAATCAAAACAAAACAAATATATTTATTAGATTACGGGTTGTCATGTGCTGCATTTACGCTTATCAGTGGATTACATTCAGTAAAATTCCACTGTCTGGAGTCAGTTTTAAGTTCCAAACAAAAGTGTCAAATATATTTTGACTGTAAATTTTCTTAATTTAAAAATTCATTAATTACCTTTTCAATGACCAAAGCTGGCTTGCTATTTTTGGACCACATTGGAAGTGGTAACGGCAAATCGTTGCTCCACTTGCCGCGGCATTCAAGCTGATCAAACGTTGTCAAATTGTAGCCATTTTTAATTGTCCACGTGCCGTTGCTGTTGTTATTTTTGTGAAGATGTGACAAATAATCATCACTATCATCCTCATCAGCATCGTCTTCTGAGCTTGTGGACTCATCGTCGCTTTCATAGCAGCCATTGCCGCTTGCGAATGATGATTCGCCGTGTTCAACGTCAGTCACATAGGTACAATTAACCTTGTGACATTTAGGGTCAGTCAATCCGTTTCCAATACTAGAACGTTCTTGATCAACTGACCCGGCGCTGTTCTCATCATGTAATACATCTCGGGAAGTAGCGAGTCAACTTGGCCATTCATTTCCATATCTCGAAAAATTGTATAACTCATTATTATTGTTATTACAATTGTCTGACGTGGTAATGGTTAAAAGGTTCAATCCTTGATTCAATAATGTACTTGTTGCATCAGAATGAGTGTAAAGACTCCTTCGGCCCTTTTGATGAACCGTTGGTTCGTCCCCTTTTATTGAAACCTTTTCTTCACGATCTATAAAGGAACAAAATAATGGAAATGTTCAAAGTATTGTTTATTAAGTTCAGCACAAGTCTCCCACATGTACGTAGTCATCAAATCATGCGAAGATCATTAACATCATCTCAAAATGTATACAATTAAACGCGTAAATTCTGCAACTGCGCATGGAATGCTTCTCAATAAACAATTTTATAAATATTGAGGAAGTTTATTTGTTTTATAGATAGCAATAAGTCACGCATTGAACAAATTACATTAAAGGGCATAAAAAATGACGATTCAACTTTTGTGGGTTATGCACATAGCTTATAATGTTTAGTCATTTGTCTGTCTCGCATATAATACATTACAGGATTTTTGACGAATAAATATGAAATGAGAAGGGCGCTTCTAGTCAATTTATTGATGGGAATTCTTACAAAAAGATGAATTTTAATCCAATTTTCCATTTACGTCATTTTCAAGTACTACTGAGTATGAAGTCACAAACATGTTATTGTTGAAACCAGTTGTATGACGGTTTACTTGGAAATAAATCGAGTAAGTATTTATTGAACTTTTGAAAGCAGTCTGTTAATGATTATTGCAAAGGAGTTTCTCATCATTACTGTCAGAGTTAACCAGATTGGCAAGGTCAGTGAACTTAAGTAGACTTCGTAACCAAGAATGGCAAGGGCATGAAGATAAAGACCTAGGAAAAGTCAAAGATTACAGTTCTCGGTTTTGTACAGTTTTTCAAACATAGGACCCCCGTATTTGATCAGAACCTTTCATGTGTAATAACCCTTTTTGTCGGGTTGTTCACTTATTGCATTCGCTTTTTAGCGGGGTGGGGTGGGGGGGGGGGTCTAAAAGTAATTATTTTAAGTAAACAAGACTTAACTATTAAATGATGAAAATTACTTTGCTCTACTTAGAATTATCCTACAAACTTAAAGAACCTAGTCTATAATGTAAAAAATAATGAAGAATTTCAAAATTTAAATATACAAAAGACAATTGTTTCTGATCGACTGATAAGAGAACTTGAAATATTTGCATTCATTATATAAAAAGGGGGAAGTGCTGATAAGGTAATTGCATGACGTCCACGTGTATGTGTGTGGAATTTGTATCTTAGCACAGCAAATGACTATTTCATGAGAAATTGATATAAAAGTTTTTTCCCTTATTTTTACATACGTTGGCAAGGACTACATGTGGGATGTTTTTTTAAAAAAAAAAATACAAAAATAACTCGTGAACCACCAAACATAAATTGTCGATGAGTCATAAGCAATATTAGAGATCCAAGATTTTAATTTTTGCTAGGAAAATGTAGTAAAATTGAAATAATTAAAACCGAAGACCCCAAATCGTTAAGAATGACACTTACCCATACAATATTCTCTTTCCAAAGAAAGAAAGTTACTTTCCGTAGAAAGTTTGATTTGATCTCGTATTCCTTTTGTTGTCGGTTTATGCACTTACTTCTTATGTCCTCAATATAACCGACTCAAAATATGAATCAGGTTTATAAAGAAAACAAAAAAATAATTAACAAAAAAAATGAACTAAAAACTTTGCAGCTATTCCTTAAAATGCCTTGTTTTACTCAAGGTTGAATTTGTTTAACACAATAAATTTGTTATTAATTATTTTTTAGTGTTTTTCTTGTTCACCGTTTTTTCTGATCGCGCAATGCGACTTCACTCGAAGAAGCTTTATGACTTTCTGTTTTTCATTCGTTGCTTTGTATCGAATTTATAGATGTTTCGCTTCAACATATACACTCACACGAAAATTATACTTATTAACTTATCGTCGCGAGAGAGCGGAAAAATTCATTTATGCATTAACAGTGTCTAGTCAGCATCAATTCTCTTTAAATTTGAACATTAGGGCTCATCATTAGGTCATTATTTTGTCTGGATATTCACAATAATTGTCACTAGATCACTTTGATTATCCAAACAGGAAAAGTTGCTCAATAGCTGATGAATGAGATGTAGAAGAAACAACGCAAAAAGAAACCGAAAAACAGCTGTTTTCAGTATTCTGTTGCTTGCATGTATATTATTTTTATGTTCGTACTAGTATTTCAATGAGTCAATATTTGTTCTGATTTTTTTTTCTCCTTTCCTTTACTATTATTATAAACACAACCTTATGAAATATGAAATTGGGATCGAGGAAATACAACTTTTATTTTATACCTGAAAATAGAGCAAAAGAATTCATTAGTTGAGCCCATTTCTTTACAATAAATTAATTATTGTTAAAGGGGGTCATTTTGATATAATGTCTGATTATTTTATGAGTGGGAAATGTCATTTATGATTGGTTATTATAGAAGAAAAATTAATAAAGTTCTAACGTTTTTCAAAAAGTTCAAAATTCTCAACGGTTTTCAAACATTCAAAATGAACTGAATTGAAACGAACTTTTTTGACAGAATGATTTAAATTTGAATTTGTAAACTCAAACTGAAGTGTCAGTCAAACTGAAATGAAATGAAGTTTTTAAATTTAAACCGCTAGAAATAAGAAATTGCTGATAAATCAGTAGGTATAAATAAAAGAACATAATAAGAGAAGCAATATCTTAAAGTTGGCATATTATGTGAACGACCCCAAACATGAACATTTTTGTTTCGAAAAGAAAGCAGAATGAAGGTATGCAAAAATATCCAGGGTCTTTGGTTTCGCTCTTTTTATTTTTGTATTGAACATTTGTACTGCCAAAAATTTCGTTTTCTTTTAAAGGAAGAAAAACAAGAAGATATGGAAAAGTTTTTCTAATGATTTGACATTTCGCGAGCAAATCTCGAAAGATCAATCTGATAACGTAGGCAAATAATAATCACGAAAATGTAATTAATTTTATGGAAATTTCCACATACCTACAACTTATTTATTCTGCGAATGATTATATATTTGTACAAGTTGAAATGAAAATTGTAAAACAAGCTTCTGATAACATGCAAATACGACACTTCTTAATTCTTACTAAATCATACTGAAACAAATATTTATCATTTTCGTCATCACTTGTTGAATGTAAAGAGAATTTTAGATAAATTAGCAGAAACAAAAACTTTTATATGAGTTCCTCTTAAGGAGCATGAGTCACATTTATTTACGTAGAGCCAAAGCATTATTACATCAATACTTGACACGAGCATTATATAAAATAATAATAATGCCTACTCTCTTTTTGTTCATTTGATGGCACGTTAACCATCATATCGTTTTCAAAGTATCTAAGGAAAAATTCTCTTTTTTGCTTTGTAGGTCGGTGCACTCTTTGCGAAATCGCGCACGCTATAATAATCATTTTTTTCTGGTTGATTAGATACGGGGCCGTTCACTTATTACGTTACGGAAAAAAAACAAACAGACAGACGACAGTTAGAACGTTACATAATTCTTGACACCCCCCCCTATGTTACATTTTGTTACAATTTGTCAACCCCCCCTCCCCCCTAAAATGCGAACGTAATAAGTGAACTAAGACTCTAGTGGAAATAACATGAAAACTATCGTGATATAACACAAATTAGTAGACTGATTTTGAAAATATCTATATTTTATTTTGGTTTGGCAGTTACAAATTTGAATTTTGAATTGCTGTCAAAAAATTAATTTACGCTCAGTTAATTTTGAGTTTTTAGAAGCCTTTAAATTTTAGTTCAAACTTTGAGCTTCAACAGCATTTAATTTTAATTTCAGAAGTACGTTAAACTTCAAAAACATAAAATTTAAATTTTTGAAAACCGTTAAAACATAAATTCGCATAATTCAAGATTTAGTCATGACTAGATTGACTGGTTTGTATTAATCATGGTAGATTTGAGCGCTTAAGGCATGTTTTTATAATTAAAAAATTTCTCATTCAGAAAGAAAAACAATCTGCTTGTGCACGAAAACGTGAAGATGAAGATGTTACTAAGGAATGTGAAATTTTCGTTTCTTTTATAGAATTAAAGAAGGAAATCTCATAATTGTCGTATTGTTTTTCTTTATTTTTCCCGACGTATTTAAAAACAATTTTTATGGCTTATAATTCATAAGCACATTTCAGCAACTTGATTTTAATTTAAGAAAATTAAGGACACACAAACATTTTGCGATGTTGGCATATTTTATTTTTGAGAATTTTCCATTGTATTAATTAAACGATGTACTTTTGAGCGCAATAAAGACGAGGAAAATTGTTGGAAAAATCTCAAAAAATTCTTTTTCGTTCCTTAAAAATGAGAAACATTCGTGGCTTGTTATTAGTTAAGTTAAATTGCATATATATTGCCAAAAAAAAATCAGTCGATTGACGACATTAGTTAACAGATGATTGAGGAAAATCTGTCTTATTAAAGGAAACAACCGTTTAATGAGAAATGAAAGACAGACAATTAATCATTTATGTCATGATCATTGAAATGAGGACATCCAGTTACATAAAAATGACAATAAGGTATTGATTATACAGCAACAACAATCTGCGTGGGAAAAATCAATAAAATTTGAATAAAATTTCGACTTACCACAAACAATGGGATTTAAAAGGGTAATTAAAACACACTTATAGCTTATAGCTTAATTATAATTAACATAGATTGAAATAGTTTCTTTAAAATCAATAATTGTTAATTCTGTTTTTCCAGATTTTCTCATCAAATTTTTACAATTTTCTTTATCACTCATTTTTCGAGCTTTTCTATTACAATTTTAATTTTGATTTCACGCTTTTCTCACACAAAAGTGTTTATTTTGATTTAATCATTAGTCTTTTACTCATTAATCACTAGTTTTTGATTTTTTAATTCACAATAAGAAAAAAGAATTTTCACAAAGAAAATAAGTGAAAATCTACACTGTTAAAAATTTCCACGCATTCTACAATACACTGTAAAAACAACATTAAAATGTAAACATTGAATCCAAAAATATCGTGGTTTAAACAAAATTAAAGTTTTATTGCCTTAATTCAACATGTCTCGATTAACTACGTTATCAATTAAACAGGTACTGCAATTAACAACACATTTATCATTAAAACAAGCTATTAATCTTTTAGTTGTCGAGGAAATTTGATGAAAAATCGATTTGTCCAAAAGAATTGACTATAAAAACATTCTCAAGAATTAAGGAAGACAATAAAAAGCTTAATGTATTTACGGCATTAACTGAAGATCATGCGATAAGAAAGGCAGGTGAATCAGCTATGAGAATCAATGATGGGAAGAAGCTGCCACTTGATGGAATATTAGTTTCGGTCAAAGACAATTTCTGCACAAAATCAGTTCCAACAACTTGTGCCTCAAAGTAAGTTAATTAAGCTACATTTATGTATCACAATGTCATCAAATGAATTATTGTAGAATGCTGAAAAATTTCACACCTACATATAATGCAACAGTTTATGATAAATTAGAAAAAGCCGGAGCAATTCTCGTCGGTAAGACGAATTTAGACGAGTTTGGTATGGGATCAGGCTGCATAGATTCAATTTTTGGATCATCGAAGAATTTCTGGAGTGAAGATTATAATAATCCTCGAATTTGTGGTGGATCGTCAGGCGGTTCCGCTACTTCTGTTGCTGCTGGATTTTGTATGGCTTCTCTTGGATCAGATACAGGAGGATCAACAAGAAATCCAGCATCATATTGCGGTGTTGTGGGATTTAAACCAACCTATGGTCTACTGTCAAGGCATGGATTGATTCCATTAGTTAATTCAATGGATGTTCCTGGAATTTTGACAAAATCTGTTGATGACTGCCTTCAAATATTCAATACAATTGCTGGACCTGACAAATTAGATTCCACGACGATTAAAAAGCCATTTAATCCAATTGAATTACTTAAACAAATTGATTTTAAGAACTTGAAAGTTGGAATTCCTAGAGAATACAATTGTGAAGGACTAACTTCAGAAGTGCTTGAAGCATGGACGAAAATGGCTGATTTTCTGGAAGAGAATGGTGCTCAAATTCATGAAATATCAATGCCGTACACAACGTCCTCAATTTTTGTCTATTCTATACTTAATCAATGTGAAGTATCCAGTAACTTCTCTAGATATGATGGAATAGAATATGGACATAGAGCTGATGATGAAACGAGTACCGAGAACCTTTATGCTAAAACTAGAGCTGAAGGATTTAATAATGTAGTTAAAAATAGAATTTTTGCTGGCAATTACTTCCTTTTACGTAAAAACTATGATAAATATTTCCTTAAAGCACTCAAAGTCAGACGATTAGTAAGTGATGATTTCAGCAAGGCATTTAAGAATGTTGACTTGTTACTTACACCGACTACACTTTCTGATGCACCATTATTAAATGAATTTGTTAAGAATCATAATAGAGATCAATGTGCTGTTCAAGATTTTTGTACATGTCCTGCAAATATGGCTGGAATTCCTTCAATTACAATTCCTGTAAAGTTATCATCAAACAAATTGCCAATTAGTCTACAATTAATGGGTCCTAATTTCTCTGAACAGCTTTTATTTAGTACTGCTAAATTTATTGAGGATTCTGTGGACTTCCTTTCTAATTATCATAAAATGTAGGCACTAATTTAGTTATAAAATCATTAATAATAAAGACACTTAATATTTAATTTGATCTGTTTATGTTCAAATGTATGGATTCCAATGGAACCACATGATTGCGAGATTCTCGTCTGATGTTGCTTCCTCAATAATAAACTTTACTTGTCCTTCACTCGATAGAGCTATTCCAGATGATCCTTTATATTTCTTCACGACTCCTTTGAGCTTTTTATCCACATTCTCAAGATTAATCATTGCTGCTGAATCAATTGTCTCACGGTGGTCTGCACTAGACTTTTTAGTGATCATAGGATCGTAGATGAATGGACGTAAATAAGAAATTAAAGTATTTTTCTCTTTTTGCATTAATTGAAGTGCTACTTCACAGCACTTTCTAAACGGTCCTTCAATTCCCAAAGGTCCCATTGCTTCAATCATTGTTTGCGTTAGTCTGAATGGCACTGTTTCCGGATATCTACAAAAATAATTAAAGCGTTGAATGAATAAATGAATGTAAATATACCGATTTTTTGAAATTCAAAAAAATAAACGACTTTCAAAAATTCAAATTGAACTGAACCAAAACGAACTTTTTATTTACTGAACGATTATTTCTCAAATTCAGTGTTGCAAATGTAGATGTCTACACTAGATGAAGAATGTAGATTCTTCAATAGTTTTTGTCTAGCTAAGAAACTTTCTTCATAAAGATCGATTCTATATGGGCGATTCTCCAGATAAAAATTTTCAAAAAACCACCACTAAAATGAATTTTTTATAATTTTTTTCCATTAGAGAGCCTTGAAAGACAAATTAATATTGTACAACTTTTTAAACTCTACAAATCTGTATAATTAAATGCTTTCAATATACTCTAATTAAGGAAATATTTCGATTCTTCGGACGATTTCTCGAAGACAAAATATGGAATTTGGATTTTTATAATCAAAAATTAAGTATTAAAAACTTTTCTTTGACATATGATATAAATACCAATCGATAGAAAACGAACTACTTTATCATATATGACAACAATTTTATTAAGCTTAATACAAATTTCACAAGAAAATTCAATTCTTTTGATGAAAATTTTGTCTTCGAGTAATTTTTAAAGCGCTTGAAACTAATTTGTGAGATTCAAATTTTTCAAATACGTTATAAATTTAAATGGAATATTTTTAAAAGAAACGATGATGATTGAGTGCAATATTAATTATTAATTACCTTTTGTTTAATTAAAACATATAAAAAAATGATTTTTATAAATTAAAACAAAATTTTATTTTTGTAAACAAGTCTTTGTTTACATTTTTCCCAACGCATTTCAAAAATTTAAAAATTTCAAGTAGCAGTGGAATTACAGTTCTGTTTTTAAAAATTCAACCTATCTGGAGAATCGCCCATATGAAGATAGAAAATCTAATCTACACAAAGATTATTTCTACATAAAGATTCTGTCTAGATAAAGATTCGATGTAGATGTCTACAATTCTAGATTTTTTCCAGGTCTACATCAGAGAAGAATGTAGAATTGTAGACATCTACATCGAATCTTTATGTAGAAATAATCTTTGTGTAGATTAGATTTTCTATCTTCATATAGAATCGATCTTTAAGTAGAAATTTCTGTCTCAGAATTTATCTGATTCAGACAAATCGCCAGAATGCAACACTGCTCAAATTTAAATTCTTACCCTAGCGACTCTCCTTTATTGAAGACACAAGCAAAATCGACATGCACAATTTCTCCTGAATGAATGTCAATGAGAATATTCTCCATATGTCGATCTCCAAGTCCCATAATATAGCCAACCATGCTCATAACAGCAACAGATCGAATATAATTTGTTCTTGCACTAAAATAGTTTTGGACATTCGAAAAATGGTCGATATACCATTTTCCAAGGATTGGTGGAAATCTTTTCTTCATGTCATTGAAAAATTGGTGTTTTTGTGTGGTTTTTAACCATGAATCACTCAATTTTTTTAATTCAGCATTTGTGGGCACTTTGATTTTTGATTTTTTGTACTGTTCATTGACGGTGCCTTTGAATGTTGCGAGATTTGGAACCCATTCTGTAAGATTTAAAATTTTTGTTTAATATTAACGCATATGACAAATGTTAATAGATACTCACCAATAATACCCATATCCTCATTCCACGGAATAACAGAATATGTTCGAGCAGACAAGCATCTTTGACTTGCATCGGCATCTTTATTGAAAAAGTCATTGATTACTTTGAGGAACTCCATAAATCTGAAGTCAATTCGCAAATCATCTTTGAACTTAAGCAGCATTGGATACTCTTTTCCGTCACTTCCAATAAATGTGATTTTCTTTGGCTGCTGAAGCGATTTCATAATTTCCACGTTTTTATCAATTTTACAGATCAATACTTGACTATTGATGGTCATAAATGAGTTATCAGATGGTGATAGGACACACTGAAGATGCTTTTGGAGAGGCATCAAGATTCTGACATTTTTAAATAATTTTTCAATTGAGGTACAAAATGATCCCATAAATTCAGCATCAACTTGTTTCCTTTGTGCTAAACACATAATCTTTTCCATAACTCCATTAAAGTTAGCAAATCGAACTCGTTCCTTACTAAATGCATTCAAAATTTCAGTCGTTCTAGTTTTTCGGTAATCTGACTTGCTACTGGCATTTGGCATAATGAACCACATTGATTCTAGTGGATATTCCTCAATTAATTTCGTTATTATCATTTTGAGTACGATGTAGACATTATAGGATGGATGACAAAGTCTCGAAATGAGTTGTGAGAATGCTGTATAAAAATAGTAAGGCTTGAGGACTTTTACAATACTTTTGACATAGTTATTAATCTTTAATTCCATTTCTTCATCGTCTCGTGACTTGATCTTGCTGTTTGTTGATTTTCGTTCTAATGACGTCATTGCATCAAACCAAATTTGAAGGAATCTTGGCATTGACTGTAAAACATAATTAATTCCATATTTCATGCTACTCCCATACGCTTCCATTATTTCCAATAATTTATCATAGGCTGGAAGTTCATTTGAGTTTTTGCATTTTGAAAAATAGTGACGATCCATATAGTCAGCAAGTAGGACATAAATTTCTTCATTATGTGTGAATTGGACATCAAATGAATCTTCCAACAGTGCATCCTTATACAGCTTCTTATTCATATCAAAATCAACATTTTTAACTTCAGCATTAAATCTAGCAATCGTCAATCGACCACGTGACAGTAACGACTGCTTCTCATTATAATCAGGTGACCTATTGTTGTTCTTACAATACTCTTCTATCTCCGTGCAATTTAGTTGTAAGATTCTCAATGCACTTGCCTTTTCATCTCGCATCCAATAATATTTAGCTTTTTCAATAAACAATTCCTGAGGCTTATAAACATCAGCTTCCATAATAAAGGCATGAGCTTGTGCAAACATTTTCTGTTTACATGTTATTTTGACACTTTCGATCCACGTCTTGCCGACTTCTTCCTCAATAAATTTCCTTACTTGAACAGACTCAGTTCCTGTGAAATATTTGACAAGCTTCTTTTCCATTTGAAGCAGCATGACACGTCTTATGGACAATGAAGTGTCAATAATTGGAGTTGATGTTTGTAGAACCATTTTTCTCGAATCGAGTTCCTTAATAAGATTCTTTAGCACCTTCATTGTATTTGCAAAATCTTTATTAGCTTTTATGTCCTCAAATGAAATCTGGAATTTTTCAAATTCAGAAAGAATGTGCAGATGAAAGATCTCACTATAATTATCCTGATAGACTGCTTCCTGTGAATCAGAAATCTTAAAATTTGTCATGACTCTCATCCGAGCATTTTCAAGTTCATTCCAAAATTGATTAATATCTTCTTGACGAAATTTCGTTATTAACGATCCGCAAACAACATTCCAATTTGTCCAATCACTAACTTTACCACTATTCAGCAGGTCATCAAAATCATCAAATCTCGATAATCTCCAAAGTGATTCAGCTTTAATCTCATCACAATACTGATGCTCTTTATTTGTTTCGTAAAGCCTTTCCAATAATTGATCAGCTACAAGAATTGCTGTAGAATTTTGATTTGATTTAATATAGCAATTGATTATTGTCTGGATCTCTTCCTGTGAAAAACTTGATTCCTTCATCATCATCTCTATGAACGAAAATGTTCCTTCCAAGTTTCCAGTGATTTCGCTGATTAAAATCTTGTCTGAAAATGACCATTCAGTTATTCGCAGTGCCTTAACTCCTTCAATTAAATCTGGATCTTTTAATTTAGCATAAATGTTTACTAAAAATGGCAATTCATTCTCAAGTTGATCTTCATTCAAGGTTTTGATATAGGATTCAAAAAGAATCATAGCTCGTTCATATTCCCCACATTTATAGTTCACTTCCGCAAGCTTTCTGTTTTCAAATCGACTAAAGAGATGTGTTATTCGGTCGATTACATCAGGATTGTCTGTGATTTGTAGATATCTTGTAAGGAAGTCCCAAACTTCAAATATCATTTTAGTCGTCTTAATTGACACAGACGAGACTTTATTTGGATTCTCCTCGCTTGTTTTCCTATCAATTGGCGTAAAATCATACGAAGCAACAAACTTGTAGTTCAATTCATCTTTACTGGCATCCTGACATATTGAATTATCCAAGACCATTCTGAATATAAAGTCAAATTCATTGAAAATAGCTTCGTCATGGTCTTTTGATAGATTTAATTGTAAATAATGCAAAATTATTCGAGGCAATAAAATATTACAAATTTCTTGATTTTCACGCATTGATGGAAGTAAATTAAGTAGCAAGGCACGTGTCTCTTCAACATCAATACTATGTATTAATAATCCAGCAAGCATAAATGCCCAATTTGTAGGTGTTTGTGCTTGATTCCAAAATATTGTTTCATATTGTTTTGATGCTTGTGTTTCTCTTGGGACATAAGTTGATGTAAATAATGGCCGAAAGAGTTCTCTCGTGAATGCTGGAAGTGATTTCCATATGATGTGCTTCTCATTAACTCCTCGTTCCTTTAAAATACCTTGAATTGCTAATGCCATTGATTCCATATGACGAGTTTCTTTCATGTCTTTATAATAAGTACAATACACTTTAAGTAGCTTTAAAGCAAAGCCATCTGAATGAATTGTCATTTGATCTAATGGAATTTTCTTACTCAAATATTGTTGCTTATTCAGTGCCGGTTTTAAAGCTCCTAATTCACCAAAACATTTTGCTGTTTGGATTTGAAGTTTTCTGTTATGAAAACTCTTGCTACATGAAATAAGAACATCCAGCAAATATTTAACGGACATATCCATCTCTCCGTTTCGAAAAATTAAATTATTAAACTTCTTTCGGTTCCGTTTAATGAATTCCTCCAAATATTGAAGACAATAGATCTTTACATTCGAGTCTGCATGTTCATTCTTCAAGTGCCTGATCATTAGATTTAAATTGATGTCAAAATCATTTCCGTCAGCAACTCGTTGACTTTCAATTTGATTTAAAATGGCATTTTTAATTGCAATATCAAAACTTGTTTTTTCAATGAAGAACAAGTCAGACACGTGCATACTTAAAAGGTTTGAATTCTCAAAGATCAAGTAAATGCAAATTTCATCGACTTCTGTCTGAAAACCGTCAATGTAACTTTCTAGTGCCACTAATATTTGACTTAGGAATGGTCCGAGTGTTGAGATGTCACAGTTAAAAATTAAAATCTTCCAAACAGCAATGCTCACTTCCTTCAACTCTTTATTTGCTGTATTTGTTGTTCTCAACAGACTCATGATTTTGAAGCATAAATTGGATATTCTTCGACCACCAAGGAACCTTATTAAATCACCAAGACTCATCAAAACTGCCTTCTTCAATGTCTTTTCGGAATCTTTAGAGTTTAAAATTGTTTCGAAATTATTCAGTGGACCCAAAAAATCCTTGGCAATGTAATTTGCAATATTATCGTCATCCGTAAGATTTACATTCTCATCACCCAATTGTTTGATCACATCCATCACAAACAATGGATTTGCATTGTACTTTATCAATACAAATTGCAAAATTTCTCTCTTATTGACATGAAATAGTTCCTTGAACATTATTCGCATCTCCTTTTCGATATAATTAATGCAATTATCTTTCCTCTGCTTATCTAAATTGTAGATTCTTTCATAAAGTGTCAAGCTTGAAATTTCGAGTGCTTTTCTTATATCATATCCACTGTGATCAATAATAGCATATATGTAATGCATTTTGTTGCTGTGCTGTAGAATTAAATGAAGGAAATCAAGTTGGATTAAATTTAAAGCATAACGGATTTTCAGATTCAAATTTTTAAGAGGTTTTAAAAAATTCAAAATTAAGCGGTTTTCAAAAATGAACTGAAATGAAACGAATTAAAGTTTACTTACAACACAGAAGACAAAAATGGAAGTGATAATTATGCTGATGTTTGTCCTGATGAATTTTATTATATCCGTATAGTTAAAGTGCTTCAAAGTCTGTGAGAAACAATGATATTTTTGAAATTATCGATATTATGTCCTTCATTAAAGCATTATCATACTCACATTAATCAAAGAATTCAAGAACGTTGATAGATTTGAGTCTTCTAAGCTATTTAATAAGCACAATTTAGTAATATGCTCAATTATGCTCGTTTTGTACCAATTGATAAATTTATCCAGAACCAATCCATTATATTCTAGCATTCTGAACATTGAATTTACAGCAACACCTCTTACATCTGACTTTTTAAGCACCACGAAATAAATAAACATTTTTATGCATTTAAGACTTATTCGTTCGACATCAGGGATAAATTTGTTTCCATAAGTTGCCACATTGTTCCTCACAGTCATTCCGTAAGTTCCTATCATATTCACAACATGATATTGACATTTCATGACATCCGATTTTTGGCAGTAAATTGTAGTCAACTCGAATAGTTTGTCAAGTAGTTTCTCAAAAAATGCAGTTTTGACTTCTTCAGCTAATCCTGATTCCTGTATGTTCTTCATAATAAACTCAAAGTGATAATCAGTCTGTGCAAAAACGTTTTCGTCATGCCTGAATATTATATCGAAGAATCGATCACTTTGACAAAAGTCCATAAAGTTTTTGGAATGTTTGATGCATGCTGGAATGTTTTTGATGAATTCTACGTAAAACAATGTTTCCTGATCGTTGAATAAATTCGGTTGAATTTGAATTTTCACTTCCTTTTTGTCAATAAAGTCTGCAGAAACGATGCATGCCTTCTTATCATTTATAAGTGATCTTAATCGAATTTCTTTACTATTTTCATGATCTATTGGAATCTCTGGCTTACAACTGCTGCAGAAAACAAAGAAGTTATTTGATATTGTTTTCATAATCACGACATTCTTATCATGAAGACACAGGATATTTCTTAGTTCCTCTAATTCGAGTTTTGTGTTGTTTAACCGGATGTTTTGGTAATGCAGCAAATATGTAGACATTGTTTCAAAATTGGTCATTAATAAATTAATGAATCTGTTGGCATAAGCTTTTTTAATGAATTTATCTTCCTTCTTAAAAATCAGTTGCATGAGATTTAAGTTGAGCCATTCAAAAGATTTGCCTAATTTGTTGAATTTCATTTGTGTGACTGCAGTTATGGCAAGGATTTTGAGCTCATCTAGTACTGAACCATTTGGAGTTTCTTGAACTAATTGTTTAAGCTTTAAATTGAGAAATGACTGAATCTTTATGTATTCTGCTGACTTGCTAAAATTGTCAAATGAAACTGTGAATGGAGAAATGACTGTTGCTAACATCATAAGCCTTTTATCTTCCTTAATTAAAGTCGTTGATGGAATTTGTAAGATTAACGAGTATAGTCTAATTAATATTGACAGGATATCCGTTGTAAATTCACTTCTCTTTGAGACTGTTAGCGTTAATTTGTGTGTAATTGATGGAAGATCATCAAAGAAATCAAGATGGATATGATCATAGTCCCAGTCGTTAAATGTGAATAATTTATTAGTATTTTCGAATCTTTTACAGCTGCCATATTCACAGACATACTTCATACAATGGCTTATTTGATGTCTCCTTGTAAAATGATAATCAATGTCGAATGTTATTTGAATTGCATCCTTAATCCATTGAAGTTGATCCATAAATTGTTCGTTCGTAAGTTGCTGATTGTTGTTAAGCAGGAAATTTGTTTTGAGTGCTAAATCTGTTTGTATTTCTGACCACGTTTTGCTCATGTGACGGACTTTTTGATCAAAGTTTTCAGCACTTTCTAGTTCCAATATTATTTTATACTTTAATATAAGCAACATGTTGCTATTCTTTGAACTCAATGGCTTAATTATGTCTATATACTTAACAACACTGTCATCAAAATTGATTGCCAAAAATATTGCATCCAAAAGATCAACAAGCCAATGTGTTAATGGTGGAACAGAGTATTTCTGGATCCATTTTGATTCAAAGAAGATTAATCTCATTACTGCTGCAATTAACATGTCACTAGTTGCAGCATCCAGCACATTTACTGGTAACTTGAAATGATTAAGGAACATTCCGAGATATTCAAAGAAACCTTTAAGGAATATATCAATGAAATAGTCTGGATAAATCATTCCTGATTCCACATATTCATCTAAGTTCTCATAAATCGTTGACATGTAACTAAAAACCTTAATACTGACATCGATGAATTCAATAGAATGGATATTAACGTAATAATGTGAACAAAAGAGCAAAACTGCAGTTTTACATTCGGTGCGACGATAAATAAATACTTTTGTTAGTAAATCCTCAATAGAGACATCCTTCTGTACTTTAATTGATGCTGGAAACAGCTCAATACATCTTGTTAATGACAGGAATAGAAATGATATGAAATTATTAATTTGTGATTCCGTTTCGATGACAATCTTTGAAAAGTTCAAGGTGCCATCGGTGTCATGTCCAGGTATTTCGATTTCAATTGGTTCTTTTGACAAATCATGAGTGACTGTAGTATTCAGTAAGTCAAGTTGAAGATCCAGGAAGCATTTAAACCAATACATGAATGAATTGAGAGTTCTTTGCAGCATTTTTTCGAGCAAAAGGCGAATTTTAATCGAGTGACTGGAAGTTCAACGTTTTTTTTTAGAACAGACTTAATTAAAGAATAATAAATTTGTGCATATTTAGCTTACCGAGCATTTTCATCATGAATTGTAATAACAAGAATTTTATTAAACAACCAATTAAGTCTTCTATACAGAAGATTCTTTTGATCAGCACTAGTCACCACTGATGTATTTTCATCGAGAATCACAAAAGAATTGTGTATAAAATCTAGTAATCCACTAATTGTTGAATCCTCAAATTTGATCACTTTTGCACCTTCAATAACAATATTTTTATCAAAAACTTCACTTATGTTCACTATTATAGGAATCTCATCGTTAATAACCATGATTCATTAACTTAATCTAGCTAATTAATGCAATAATCAATGTCTTTAAAACATTAAATTCTAATTTTTACAATTTTTTGATTTTTAAAGAGTAAGTGAACTGAAGTAAACAAAATATTAAATTGCGGGAAAATTTTAACTGAAGATAACGGCTATAAAAAATATGAATTTTTGAACTTGCCACAAAAAAAGTTGAAGCTCTTTCTTTCCCTTCGATTATCTCACTAAAAACGTGTAGAGTGAGTAAAAATTAATTAATTTAAACTAGTTCTAAAGCCTTAATTCAAGTTATTATGATTGGATAAATTGCATAAACAAGTGTCCTATGGATATCCGCTGGTAGATTTTCCGTCATGGCTCATTTTCATGAAAATATGATAGTGAAAAAAATTTGAGTGCTCAAAAATTCAATTTTTGTATTGTTTTTCAACAATTTTGCATTTTTAAGCCATTTAATTAAGTTTACTGGTAATACTTTTACAGCAAACTATAAGTTGCTATACTATAAGTCGCCAGTGATTTAATTTATCAGTATAAAGTCTTTAATTATAGCGGAAAATAGTGTTTGTGCAATTAATTCAAGCTATTGAGGTTATGTGGAATCATAATAAATATTAATGTTCTATAATTTGTGTCTATTTTAGATGGCCGATACAGCAGTGAAACAGCCAAAAGCGGCTGCTCCAGCCAAAAAAGAAAAGAAAACAGAAAAAGCTGCTCCAAAACCAAAAGAAGCAGTTGCAGTAACACCTAGACCTTTCAAACGTTATGGACGTCTTTGGTCAAAGGCTGTATTTACTGGATTCAAACGTGGATTGAGAAATCAACACGAAAATCATGCCTTGCTTAAGGTAAGCTTTTATCATCTATTAATTATGCTTTAAATAAGCCTATCGTGATGCTATACATAGACATTTGAAAACTGAACTTTGAATGTGGATCACCTTTTTTGTACTGACCAAATTCCTCTTACTTTAATCAATATTTGACTATTTGTAAGCTTAATGACTAATCAAATTGTTGTCTATATGCAGGTTGAAGGATCACGTAGCCGTAAAACTTCCTTGTTCTATGTTGGCAAACGCTGTGCATTTGTATTCAAAGGAAAATCGAAGAAATCATCCCCAACCAATTCAAAGCATAAGTCACGCATACGTGCAATTTGGGGAAAAGTTACTAGACTCCACGGTAACAATGGATGCGTTCGTGCTCGTTTCAAGACAAATTTGCCAGCTGATGCCATCGGTCACCGTGTCAGAATTGTAAGTTCCTCAAATCTATAAACTTAACGTTGAATCTAATACCAATTCTTCTCTCTTTGTGCCTTTTTAGATGCTTTATCCATCAAGGATCTAAACATACTTCCTTAAATAAATGGATTTAAGAAATGAAACAACAAATTTGAATAAAATATCCATTGAATTCAGTTCCAACAAAAATTACTTGACTTTTTACTATATTCGTTTTACAGTGCAGCACTAGCGACTTTATCATAAACAAAACAAAACTTGTCATCATAAAATAGATAAAAAACAAAAATAACGTTCGAATTGATTTCAAAAAAGTAACGGGTTTAAAAATATTCAAAAAATGAGTGCAACAGTCAAAAAGTATTTTGAAAACAATTCAACTAGTTTTTGACAGTTAATTTTTGAATAGTTTCAAGTCGTTATTTTTCAACCCGTCATTCTATTCGTCAATGATTCTGAACATTCTATGTACGAATAAAATAACCACAACATTCAGTTCCAGCAAAAATATTTTTGACTCTTATTTTATTCTTAAGGATCGTATAAAAATTAGATTTACATTATTAAATACTAAGGTTCAATATGAAAGTCTTTTGGGAAGTGTTTTCCCTCAATTAATGGATATTTGACAGAGTTGACGCAATATTTTGATAAGATATATCCATAAGATCGGACACGTGATAAACAGCAGCTCCTTAAGACATCATTTTCTTCGTGAAAATCACATCCTTTTGCTAAATATCCGAATAGACGATCAGCACGTCTAAATGATTCGTCAGCATGTGTTAATGATGAGAACTTTTCATTTTTATCTTCAGGATACACTACAGATGTATTAGAAACCTCATTGAGGTAGTAAAATAGGTCAACTACAGAGTATAGCTTCAAATCTGAAGCAATATCGTACTCGCCAGCTTTTTCAAAGATTCTCACGAATGCCTTTTGAACACTTATTAACTTATTGTAATCATTCACTGAACTTCCTTCAGTAAAGAACAATGGTAAGTCGTCAATCGGTGCATCTTCAATTGGATCAATAAAATCGAGGATGCTCATCAAGATCAGAAGATAGCTGCTTTCTCCATAATCATAGTTGCTGCCTTCCTTTACATTTGGCAATAGATATTTGTGTGTTTTATTAGCCTTTTCTAAGGCTGGATAACTAGCTCCCAATGGAAGTTCTCCTGGATTAATCTTGATATGAAGTGTATCTATTAATCCCTTCCGTAAAGAGTATTTAGCTAGCGCAAATTCTGCTGGATAAACATCATTTAAGTCTTCAAAAAAGGTCGAAATGTTCACAAAATAAAATATCTTGTCATCTAATTCTCCTAAATCACTAGCCGTATAAACTAGGTCTTCAATCCTTTGCTTCTTATCTGCTTCCACGTCTACAAGCTTCAATCTCTTTTCTAGAACTTCTTCATTATTGGATGTTTCTCTTGTACGCTTGAATTCTAATCGTTTTGCATTAGCTTTTGCCTTGTCTTTATATCTTTCCTTATCTGTTTCAGGTAATTCATTCCAAAATGGACTTATTACATCAAGCAGCTCACGAAAAGTATAATACTGCACATTGTGTGTTCTCTGTAAGTTTTAATTTATTTTACGTGAGTTTTAATGGATTTATAATTAATTAATTTACCTTATATTCATTCGCAAAGACCACGAAACCATTGGGCTTGAATTTTGTCATCTTAAGTTGCTTAAAATAAGTTAAATTAACTAAATTACTAGAACAAAGACAGTCTTGTTCAAAATTGTAGCTAAAATGAATACAAGGGGCATCAAATTAGGTTTTGACATGCTGACAGTTCTGTTTGAATTTCCGAAAATCGGTTTAAATTTTATTTCAAGTGCTCTGATTTCGGACCTGCTGAAACGTCTAATTTAAAAGAATTAATTATACATAAAATGAATAAAAGAGATAAAAAAAAAGCGTGTAATATAAAGCATTTGAATTGAAAATTGCTTAAATCAATTACTAGGTTTTTATTTACAACGCTTTTTCAGCTTACTGATTCCTCATAAAAAGTTATGAGTCAAAAAAACTTAACTGCTTAATTTTTACAAAAAATTCCTTTTTGATGCTGAGGGATATCGCATAAATTAACTTAATATCCATCATTATTATTATTAGAGAAATCATAAATAAATCACGTCTGACTCAAAAATATTACAAACTTAGGTAATTAGTACTTATTATGAAAAAGATGGCTTAATAAAATTGGAAAGATAATATCCAAAAAAGGTGAAGGAACCACCAAAATTCTATGAAAAATGGAATTTAAATTGGAAGGGAGATCCTTGTTGAAACTGATTGAAGTGTTGAAATGGATTTCCGTTTCTGAAACCGTTTGATCTACCCTCTGGATCTAGTGGATCTTCGCCTGAAATAAATGATTAGAAAATAAATTTAAAATTTTGTAACGACTTTTCAAAATTCAAAAATAAACTGAGCTCATTTGAACTTTTTCAAAAATTTGTATTACTGAACAGATGAGTAACGTACCGTTATCGAATTGTGCTCGTTTTTCGGGATCAGTAAGGACTTCTTTTGCTGCGGCTATATCAATGAATTTCTTCTCTGCAATCTTTCTCTCACTCTCGTTCATTGCAAAATTATCAGGATGCCATTTCTGTGCCATCTTTCTGTAAGCTTTTGTGATTTCTTTAGTTGTTGCTGATCTCGTCACTCCAAGAATCTTGTAATAATCTCTTTTCTCAGCCTGCTTTTGAAGTCTTTTTGCTCTCTCTATACCCTCTTTGGCTCTTTGAAGGTTCTCGTCCAATTCAAGCGCATCTTGATAACTACGCACTGCGTCATCATACATTTCCTCGCCAAGCAGTGCTTCCGCAAGGTCACAAAGTATTGATGGATCTTTTTCTATCTTTAATGCGGCATTACAATGCGTGATTGCATCTGTATATTTATCACTCTTTCCATAACAACTACAAAGATATTGATTTGCACCAAAAATAATCATTGGAACTTCCTTTTCATTTTTCAAGACTTTTTCAGCAGACGATATACACTCCTCATAACTTTTAGCTTCTCTATGCGTCTCAGCATCATTCATAAATTTGTCTATTTTCTTAATTTTCTTATAGAATGGGAAACAAAGTTTATGCTCAGGATCTAGCTTAAGACATTCACGTACTTCCTTTAATGAATCTGCTGCATGTCCTAATTCATATAAAAGTTTTGCTAATTTAAAAATGTGTGTTGTAAGATCATCAGATCCATCTTGCATCAATCTATTAACAGATCTAAAGTCTGATACGGCACTTAATCGATCACCAATGGCAAGATTTGATTGCGCACGAAGCTCGCGTAATTCTGGAGACCAAGGAGAAACTTCTAATAATTGTGATAGTAAAGCAACGGCTGTTTGATGATCATTTCTTGATAGAACATCGTGTACTAAGTCTATTTGTTGTCTAGCTGGATTAATTCTTTCATACATGTAAAGTGCTTCCTCATTGTATGGATCTTCCTGAAGTACTGTATATAAGTCTCGTTCTGCATTATCATAATCGCCCATTTTAAGATAAACTGATCCTCGTTGTTGTCGTGCTGTTGTGAATCCACGATTTAGTTCTATTGCTCTATCAAGATCGCTTATAGCTAACTTTGCCTTTCCTAGTGCTAAATATACTGTGGCTCGTTTGAAATATGTTAGATAATTTTTATTATCACCCTCTACGGCTGCATGATAATGTGACAATGCATCACCTAATTGTCCTCTTGCTAAGAAATCTCTTCCCATTTCTAAATGTCTGTCTACTTCCGAAGTCGACTCAGCACCTACGTAAGTTAAAAGAAATAAGTATACGATTAATGTAACGAGATAATTAAGCACATATGTTCGAGTTTTCTGCGTTGTTGATAAACTTCATAATAATGTACATACAGAATGTATTGGGCACTAATAGAAATTGAACGAATATGCATGACGTGGTTTTTATGAACAATTTTGACTAGCTATTTATAAAATCCTTGAAGGTATTTCAATATAATAATACGTGTTTAATGAAGATCTCTCAGATTCTCTAATTTTCTCACAATATACTCTATTGAACATTATAATGATACATAAATCTACTTAAATTATTCATGTTGCGGGACTTTTATGATCAAATCTCAATGACATGCTTAAAACGTCACAGGATCAAGAAATTACAATGCAACATAGACTGTAGACAAAAGAAAAGTATAAATTGTAAGTTAAATAATTACCTTTAGTGAGTAATTCAATGAAAAAGAACACTAAATATGTAAAAAGAAAATTTTGATTTCCCGAAGACGATATTAGCTCCATTTTCGCTCGATTATTCTATATTTCTTGTTGTTATCCTTATTTATTTTGTACTCTGCTCTTATGACTGATTCGATGTGACAACTTTTATTATTTACTTCTCGTTCAACCGTTACTTAAATTTAATATAATTCATTCTTCTCAAATATTCACTTCTATATATTATTTTTTTTTGCGAATGTAACTCGTTCAGTATGAGACACGTCTGTTTTTCTCACGGTGGATGCGTTCAGTTATATTGTTCTTTTGAGTACACGCTCTTATTACTGCAATTTAATGTTTTAATTAATTTATTAAGAATCTTAATAATTATTTCTGCTTTATTTGTTTACCTTTTTTATCCAGTATCAATGATGTTTTGATACATTTTTTGAAAGTTCTCTTAAAAGATATTAAATCTCCTTTTATAAATTCTTAGGATAGAATAAAATAGTGGTATTTTTAATAACACAAACACGAATAATAATGTTGTATTAAATTGGTAAATTAGAAACGACAAAAACTAGAAATTATCATTTAAAGTCCGCAAAAAAATTGTTAAAATTTTTTTTGAAAAATTTCAAAATTTTAAAAACCCTTTGAATATTGAAGTTTTAGTGCTTTAAATCAGATAAGAAATTAGCCAAGTCATAAAGAAAAATCAAATTAATCTTTACTGTAAGTCACACTAATATCAAATCATCAGGTAGTTGAAAATTAATAGAAACGTTTGAATTAAAAAGTTTCTGAAATTTCTTTTCGGTTGATGTTCCCCTTTACATCTATTTTCAAATTCTTTTTAATAATTAAAAAAATTAAAATATATGCTTTAATTAGAGTATAATCACCAATATGGCACGACATAGAAATGTTCGGTCTATGCAGTACGATGGTAAGTTGTTATTTTCATAAGATTTAATTAATTAAGGCGTTTTTCAAGAAGAAAAATAAGGTTGAAAAAAAAATAATGTAATGTTATTGTAATGTTATTGTAATTTACAGAATTTGATGATGATTTTGCAGTCGGATCAGTTAATGATGAGCCAGAATGTATTTCACCGACTGATGCTCAACAATGGATATTTGATAGAGCTCGTGGACAATCTAGTTTAGATAGTTTTCTTTCAAACAATGAAGACATCCAGGAAGAAGACGATGACGAGGATGAAAATGAGTCTCCATCAAAGGAACGGCGTGATTCTGAGCACTTTGAATTTCCTGAATTAAATGAACTTGATAAAAGCAGATTATTGTCGTGTATGGATGAAATTAGAAATATAATTGGCGAAACTTACTCCGACAGACGATTAGTTGCAGCTATTATGTCCAACGATTATGATTTCAATAAAGCACTCGACACACTACTTAACGGAGAATCTAAACCACAAGTTCATCATCATCCACGAGCAAAAATACCTGATGTGGTCGAGAAAGGTAATTTCACAATTTGACTTTATTTCTTGTTCCTTTTTCATTTAATTATGAAATAATAATCTGTTCCTGTTTATATAAAAAGTCAAGTTCGAGTTGCTAATTTTATCATTTGTATTTTCTATTATTTCTATATCAAACGTTAATTTATGTGGAAAACGTTACTTCTCTGGATCTTGACAATTTTGGAAGGTAAGATTTTAAAAAGATTTCAATTAGTGACAATGAACCGAAATTTAATAATTTAACGGAATTGAAGAATTATCATTTAGAAAAGAGTTCTGTGCCTTTTACGTCTAAATTTAAATTGCCAGTGCTTGGTCAGAGTGCCTTTAATAATTCAAAACCAGCAAGTAGTCTCTCAGAATTTGCCAATTCACAGCTTAAGAGTTATCTTAATTCTAATTCGAGTGATCAAAAGCCATCAAATTTCTCCATTCCAAATATATTTGCTAATAAGTTAAAAGTGTCTGAGGCAGTTCCGAATAAAGACAGTGAAAAAGTGGTTATAGATCTCAAGGCAGCACTTGTGACTGACCAAGAACGAAAGAAATTACCAATTATTAATGAACAAAAGAAAGTTCAAGTTGAAGAGTTCGTTCCTCAATTTATTGACTGTGAAAATACTGTCCTCAATGTTTCAAAGCCACTCAATTTTGATGATTATTGTGAACGAATCATGTTAAGTGACTTAAAAAGTAGATTTAATTCAATTCCATCTGTGAGATTCAGCATGATTGGCAAGATTATTAGAAAAAAGTATCACAAGAGAATACCACGTCTTGATTATCAAACTAGGCACATTGAAAAACGCTTTAAATTCGACACTCTCTCGCCAGATGAACAAATTATGAAACATCTAAAGAAATCATAGACATTAATTTATCATTTATTATTAATTAAGGCATTAGTATTGTAAGGAACGATCAATTTAAGTATAATATTTAAAATAATCTCTCAGGCATCGGCGAAATGTTGCTTGAAAAGTCTCAACAAATGAAACATCAAAAAGAAGCAGTTACAGTCACAGTAACGCCAGCATCAAAAAATAAAACATCAGGATTTGAAGTAAATTCACCAAGAACATTAACACCAAACAGCTCAGGACGTAATTCGCCACAAGAAGATGAAAACAAAGGAAATCGTACAAAGGAAGCAATCAGAAATGCTCGAGAACTTTTTGAGAAAGAACGTGGATCAGAAAAGGAACAACTTCATCTTGTTGTTATTGGACATGTTGACGCTGGAAAGTCTACAATGATGGGTCACTTGCTGTTTGATTTGGGTAATGTTCCACAACGTTTAATGCACAAATATGAGCAAGAAAGTAAGAAAATGGGCAAGCAAAGTTTCATGTTTGCTTGGGTTTTGGACGAAACTGGTGAAGAAAGAAATCGTGGAATAACTATGGACTGCGGATATCAAAGATTTGAAACACCAACAAAGCAAGTGACATTATTGGATGCTCCAGGACATAAAGGTATGCTTAAATAATCTTGAACATATTTAAAATGTTTGACTCAATAATTTCATCAATTTATAGATTTTATCCCAAACATGATTTGTGGTGCCAATCAAGCAGATGTAGCTATTTTAGTTGTTGATGCAACACGAGGTAATATTACTAAGAGTAACAAAGAAATTAAACTTTGAATTATTTTTGTATGCTTACAAGTCAGTGGTATAAGCAAAAGTTAATTGTTTAAATATTTTTAATGCTAACAGGAGAATTTGAAACTGGATTTGAGCAAGGGGGACAAACGAGAGAACATGCATTGCTTGTTCGCTCATTAGGTGTTAGTCAACTCTGTGTAGCTATCAATAAATTGGACAATGAAAAATGGAATCAAGACAGATTCAACGATATAATGAATAAGCTCAAGTTCTTTTTGAAACACGCTGGATTTAAAGATTCGGATGTTCATTATATTCCTTGTTCAGGATTAACTGGTGAGAATCTCGTCAAGCCATCGACGGAATCTGAATTGATCAGTTGGTACAAAGGACCGACTTTATTGCAGGTTGTAGGTAAGTTTTCGGCATAAAAACCGTTAAATTTAAATCCAAAATTTTAATCAATCAAAATTTGCTAAAATTCAAATTTAAAAAAAAACTGCTAAAATTCAAATTTTCAAAAACCTTTATTATTCAAATTCGAAAAGTTCGTTATTAATGCTTACCATATTTATTTTGTAGATTCATTCAAAGTCCCAGAGAGAGCTATTGACAAACCATTCCGTATGTCGGTATCAGATGTTTTCAAAGGAGTTGGAAGTTCTGGATTTTGTATTTCGGGACGAATTGCATCAGGTCATGTTTGCACTAACGATAAAGCCTTGATCTGTCCAAGTAAGGAACAAGGCGTTATAAAGCATATAACAATTGATGAATTTCCAGTTCAAAGTGCTTTTGCTGGTGATCAAGTTTCGATTACATTAACTGGTGCCGATCCTACAAACGTTTCTGTAGGCTTTATTCTTTGTGATACTCATAATCCAGTTCCGCTCGCAACAAAAATCAAAGCACGAATTATTGTCTTTAACGTTAAATCTCCAATAACAATTGGATATCCCGTTCTTTTGCATCATCATTCTCTCGTCGAACCTGCAACTGTTTCGAAATTGAAGGCACAACTTCATAAAGGAACTGGCGAGATTATTAAAAAGAGTCCGAGATGTCTCACAAACAATTCGTGTGCATTAATTGAACTAAGCTTTCAACGAGTTATTGCAATAGAGAAATATTCAGATTTAAAGGAAATGGGACGAATCATGTTGAGAGTTGGAGGAACAACAATTGCGGCTGGACTTGTGACCGATATTATTAACTCCTAATTTTAAATGACTTAAATAAATATATTTTGGGAGTAGTGACATCTAATGAACTTGTAAGGTGGTCAAAAAAAAACCCAATCGACGTCACTAAGAATATATATATTTTTTCTTTTAAAACTTTTCAACCTTTTCGTTAAACGCTGATGCTTTCGTTAAATTCTTAATAAATATATTATATAAAAGATAAATAAAACTGAAAATTTGATAAAATAGAGATTTTGACTTGATTAATTCCTTATAAGTTGTCCATTTGGTTTTAAGATACTGAGGGTCGTCGATTTTAGTACATTCTATTTGAACTCACGGCCTCTAATAAAATATAGGAAAAATATAAATCTCTTTCAAATTCAAATTGGATCTATTTTGGGATTGCCCATGAATGATGCCTAATAAAAATGGTGATTTAATTATTCAAAACAAAACAATAGAATGCAAAGGAATAATAATGTTTTATTCTAAAGCTTTTTGACTATCAACGACTCCTTAATTTGAGAACATACCTCTAGAAGATTTAAACTTATTAAAAGTAAAAAAAATGGTTTTTCTAAAAATTTAGAGTTTTTAAAAAGGTTTTGACACTTTTTGATTTTTTGAAATTCAAATTTTTTAATAGATGAAGAAAAAAAATCAAATTTCTGAACGAAAGTTTGAAATCTTTAATTATTGTATAAAAACATTGTATTAAAATCAAGACTTTAACTATTCCATGTGCCGTTAAGTCGTTAGGAACGGAACGAAAGTCTGGTTTAAAATTTTTTCTTTGGATAAAGAGTGTATTATTAACCTACCTTTTAGACCCCCCCCCATGTTAATCGAAAAAGTGAAAAGTTTGTCAAAAATTCAGCTTATATGCTTATGTTGTAGACATTGGTCCCTGGTTTATGAGAAAAATAATTTTTTCACCTGAAAATGTCTGGTCCACGAGAAAAGAAGGTTTGAACTTTTGTACTTGATGTAATTTTTAAAATGCTATTGTGCTTCGCCTACTTATCCGTTTGTCTTCAAATATTTTTTTATTTGATAGGTACAAGATAGAGCTTTCTTATGAATATCCACATGATATACTTTTGATGTATTTTGGTTCCCAAAAGTTGAAAAAAGAGCGAAAAAACTAGGTTTTTTGTCATTTTTTGGACCTCATGACTATATAAGGCTTTCTGAATTTTTTTTGATTGTAGTATATTGTAGATCTCATTTATATCTACAATCATCACGTACATAATCTACATATTTTATGTAGTTTGAGCAGTGAAAATTAACTTTGAAGTCAAAAATTTGCATATTTTTTGCTTTGTTCTCAATGGTCAAAATTCAAAATGAATTTTCACATACCAGTCTTAATGAAAGGAACTGAAATTTTCAGGTTTTATTCAAAAAGCAATGTACTTAACATCCACAACAAAAGTTTTTTAATTAAAAACACAATTTGTTGAAAATTTAGGCAAAAAGTGATATATGATGTTATGAAACCATTAAATGCTCAATAGAGCTACTATAACTAGTTTAAATCAAAACATATCTACAATTTTCATATAGTTCATTTAAAAAGCTTTCTAATGGTATATAATAAGCAGAGTGGGGGAGTTTTTTGCGATTTAAATCAAAATCACAAATCAAATTGTGATTTTTGATTTAAATCTCAATGAAGAATGATTTGAAAATGATTTTTGATTTAAATCATTTTACCCAAGTGATTTTTTTTTTTTGATTTATGATTTAAATCATTTTGTTTGAAAGGATTCCCTATTAAAATAACGAATTTTAAAGTTACGAAGCTTCATTTTTCCGAACCTATCATTTTTCCGAAAAATTCTTAATGCAATTTCATATACAATACAAACGTATACCTCTTTGACAATGAAAAATTTCCAAAAAATGCTTTAAAGGGACTAAAAGTGACTAGTTCTTCATATGATGCTAGATCCATTCATGCTTTATCATTTAGAGCTATACCAACATCTGCAATATCCTACAATATATTACAATATCCAAAAGCCAGAAAGGATATCCATGATTAATGTTTAATGTTTTCTAATAATCTTCTGAAAATTCCCAAACAAATTTTCACCTTCAAGACAAATAAATCTTTCATACAAAATGATTTAAATAATAAATCACAAATAAATCTTTCATACAAAATGATTTAAATCATAAATCAAAAATAAATCACTTGGGTAAAATGATTTAAATCAAAAATCATTTTTCAAATCATTCTTCATTGAGATTTAAATCAAAAATCACAATTTGATTTGTGATTTTGATTTAAATCGCAAAAAACTCTCCCACTCTGCTTATTATATACCATTAGAAAGCTTTTTAAATGAACTATATGAAAATTGTAGATGTGTTTTGATTTAAACTAGTTATAGTAGCTCTATTGAGCATTTAATGGTTTCATAACATCATATATCATTTTTTGCCTAAATTTTCAACAAATTGTGTTTTTAATTAAAAACTTTTGTTGTGGATGTTAAGAACATTGCTTTTTGAATAAAACCTGAAAATTTCAGTTCCTTTCATTAAGACTGGTATGTGAAAATTCATTTTGAATTTTGACCATTGAGAACAAAGCAAAAAATATGCAAATTTTTGACTTCAAAGTTATTATGAGATCTACAATATACTACAATCAAAAAAAATTTAGAAAGTCTTATATAGTCATGAGGTCCAAAAAATGACAAAAAACCTAGTTTTTTCGTTCTTTTTTCAACTTTTAGGAACCAAAATACATCAAAAGTATATCATGTGGATATTCATAAGAAAGCTCTAACTTGTACCTATCAAATAAAAAAATATTTGAAGACAAACGGATAAGTAGGTGAAGCACAATAGCATTTTAAAAATTACATGAAGTACAAAAATTCAAACCTTCTTTTCTCGTGGACCAGGCACTTCCAGGGGAAAAAATTATTTTTCTCATAAACCAGGGATCAATGTCTCCAACATAAGCATATAAGCTGAATTTTTGACAAACTTTTCACTTTTTCGATCAACGGGCCCCTCTCTTCTCGTCATTACAATAATTGTATAAATTCTTTTATTTATTTCATATTTTTATAAAGCTATGTCATCGTCTTGCTCCTTGTTTGACTTGAATAAGTTTCAGTTCAGAACATTCCAATCTACTTCCCTATGAGTAAAAGAAATCAGAATGAACTCGAAAAATCCTTTAAAGTGCCTCGTAAAAGGTAGATCATGTGTCTAGAAATAACGGCAACAAGAGATTCAAGGCAGTATAGAAAAGAAAAAAAGAACCACACAAAAGCTGTGTCAGAAAAAAAATTCGTATGTATATACGATTTTATTAATCAATCAGAACGGGAAGAGTGGCAAAGAAAATTTTAATTTTCACTATGTATAAGCTTGAAAAGATTAAATTAAACAACAATTTATTACATTAATATAGTCAGTGCATAATCAAATCCTTAATTCTAATCAAAAGCGAGCCGAAGAAGCACAAAAAAAAGTCTACATGAAAACGAACGAATCTGAAATCATAAAATAAAAAAAAAATAGGAAAGGAATATTTTTTTTTCTAAAATACAAAAAAATCATTTTAAAAAAATTTTATGCACAAGAGAAGCACACAAGACGATCGTCAGTGCCCAAAAAACATAATCACCAACAATTGAGAATCAACATGTTTACGGGTACATTGAGGGTGAAAATATGTGAAGCGAATGATCTACGACCGACAGACTACCAGAAAAGACATGAACTGAATTTTGGCAAGAATAACGACAAGAAAGATCTGGATCCTTATGTATCATTAAATGTGGATGAAAAATTCATTGGTGAGTACGAGTGTGTCCACAAGATGTCATTTAGAGCATAAATTTTTGTAAAAAAAAATATTGTGAAAAAATTGGGTCGATAAAAATGGGGAAGGCAAGCAAAAAAAAAGGCAGGCAAAGGCATCCATTTTCCATTTCTCTCTTTTTCGAATAGGGCGCCAATCTTCAGCAATGTTTCGTATCGCATGCTCAGTATGGATGTTAAATTGAAAGGGAAATTTTTTTACACATTTTCTTTCATCGCATGATACGTAGTTTCTCGATTGAACCTGCTTTTCATGTACGATGATAAATTTCCAAGGATGAATTTTTTTTTTCAATATTTTTCCTCTCCTCACAATCTTTTCTTATTTTTTTTTCTTTCTTCTTTCGTCTCTCAATTACCTCCTCTATACCTTCCTCTATAAGAAAAGAAAAATGATGAAAAACTTGAGAATTTTGCCTGCTCGCTAAACAACAGATTTTTCATACTTTCTCGAGCATAATCACTGTGAAAATCTGTTTTAATTGTAAATGCAATTTTCATCACGTCTAGTTAGTTCCCTCTATGTCCTTGAATCTCACACTTTTTTTATAGGTACATGTTATTATTATTATTACAGACTATCTTGTGATTATGATAAGTTCTCTCTCTCGTTATCTATTTGCTCTATGACATGAGATTTATGGTCCACAAGACTTTTGTCATCGTCACTAATATTTTTTTTATCTTACTTCTATCTCCAACCGTGTGTAGATCGTTCAACAATTAAGCAGAAAACATTTGATCCTGTATGGAATGAAACATATATTCATGAGGTGGAGAATGCAAGTACTTTGGGCATTACTGTTTTTCATAAGGCACCACTTGATGATGTATTCAATGCAAATGCAACTATATCATTTGAGGATTTGATGGCACGTAATCAACAAGACCAGACTGATTTTTGGGTTGATTTAGAACCTTCCGGACGGTTGCATGTGAAAATAGACTTGAGATGGTCTCAAGGTAATTTATTGATGGCTAATATTCAGTGAAAGAGTTGTGGATGAAATACTTCAATTCAGTGCTGTTTGAAATCATAAGAACTGTTGGAATTTGAATTTGAAGTAATCGTTAAAATTTGAATAATCAAAATGTCAATTATTGCGACGACGAAATTCTTGGCAATCAATAATGCGCTCTGATCGCACGTGTGCAAAAAATTTCAACATTCCTTCACTCTCCATTCCTCTTTCTCTTGATGATTTTTTTATGCCATATGATTTTTTAATACATGAAATATTTTTAATCCCAATTTTTTTTCCCTTTTCTCTTGTCTATTTTAGAAACCAATCAAAATCAACAAATGACATGTCGTCGAACGAACAAGGAGCAACCGTTTTTGAATCGCCGTCGAGGGGCGATGAGAAGACGAGTGCATCAAGTAAATGGACACAAGTTTATGGCTACATTTTTACGTCAGCCAACATTCTGTTCGCACTGCCGAGAATTTATATGGTGAGCTATTTGTTTTCTTAAGGAACTTGCATGGTTAAAAGAGTCACTAACAGTATTGGATATATCAAGTTTTAGGGATAATTTTTCTGAGTCGGTTTTAACTTAAGTCAGCAGATATGCAGCTTTTAATACGAGTTCAACTTTGATTATGTCTAAAACTACTAAATTAATTTAAAAATCAGATTACGTCTAAAACCATATAACTTATTAAATTATAAAATACGTTAATAATTGAAACGCAGTCTCGTATAAAAAGATGCATGCATGCTGACATAAATCAAACAGAATAATAATAATTATATTCTATATATACTCTCATGAAGTAAATAATAATCAATAGATAGAGATATTTTCTTAAACTACTAGGTGACTAATCGAAACACAAATTTTTCTCTTTTTCATCCTGTGATTGCTTCGTTATGTAAAATCAATTAAACAGGGGTCTAGGTAAGCTAGCCGCATTTATCAGAGTTAAAAAATGAACTTTTATTATTTTATTTATGTCCTGTCATGACGATTCAAAATTATCATGACTTGATTTTTGAAATTGTTAAATTGATTTTAAATTTAAGGAAAAAAGTGAAATAATTCAATTTCTCTGTTATTTCAATTTTTAACTCTGTAGGCAAGCAAGGCTATCAATGCCAAGGTAAGAAAAATAAACAAACTATTCAAAACACTCTAAAAAGCAATCATATTGTTATAATCTGCTTCTGTTCTTCTTTTCACCTAATTTCAATTATTATATTCACTTCCTAACAATACATTAATTTATATTTATTATTATTATTTAGAGCATATCGAGTTTGAGGGTCATGTGTGAGCCTTTTTGTGAGATTTTCATATAAACTTCAATATAGTAGACTATTACACAATGTGATCTAATTTGAGCTTGTTGCTTGATGTTTTGCAATTGTTCAAGCTAGATCTCATGTCCAAAATGTAACAATACCTGAAAGTCTCTTCAATAAGGCTCAATCTTTGATTTTTCTTTAGTTTACTTTAAGTCACAAATCTTCATACAATCTGTCTTATGATTTTTTCGGTAATCTGAACATTCATTTATTGGTTTCTATCTAATAAAATATTATTTACTCTATCTTAATATTTTTGCATGTATCATAAGTTATTCAGAAATCTTTAACTAATCACATTCTTAATATATTCCCGATAGTGTGCACTTGCGTTGTTCATAAGCGATGTCATCAGCTGGTCGTGACAAAATGTCCAAAGAAGAAGGATGAGGAGAAAGTTAAGGAGAATAGAGAGGAAGTTGTCAATAGCCAACGCTTTAATGTCAATATTCCTCATCGCTTCGCCGTTCATAGTTTCAAAAGATTGACATTTTGTGATCATTGTGGTAGCTTGTGAGTATATCCTATAAAAATCCAGGGCATACACGTTGAGCCATAAAAAATTAACGGTTTAATTGACTTTTAGGTTGTATGGAATTATTCGTCAAGGATTGAAATGTGAAGTGTGCAGCATGAACATTCATCGACGATGTGAAGAGAATGTTGCCAATAATTGTGGAATTAATACCAAACAATTAGCTGAAATTTTAAATGAAATGGGAATCACAATGGATAAATCAACACCACCACGTCGTTCGAAATATATCAATCAAGCGCCAAGCGACTCATCATCAACAAGTGATCGAAGCAGTGACGATACAATTTCAATTGATTCATCTGTGTCAGATACCAAGCCATTATTATCATCATCAGCTAGTTCTAGTCGTCAAACTTTACAAGCTGAAGATGGAAAAGGTTCATCGCAGCTCATTGGCAAGCTAACACTCCTTGATTTTAATTTTGTTAAAGTCTTGGGTAAAGGCTCATTTGGCAAAGTCATGCTTGCTGAACGCAAAGGAACTGAAGAAATTTATGCCGTAAAAGTATTGAAAAAGGATGCCATATTACAAGACGATGATGTCGACTGTACAATGACAGAGAAGCGAATTTTAACTCTAGCTGCTCGTCATCCATTCTTGACAGCATTATATTCATGCTTTCAGACGCCTGATCGCTTATTCTTCGTTATGGAGGTACAATTTCAAAAATTCAATACCTGTCAATAATCATTTAAATGTCTATGTCTTTATCTTTTTAGTATGTAAATGGCGGTGATTTAATGTTCCAAATTCAACGTGCTCGAAAGTTTGATGAAGCTCGTGCAGCTTTTTATGCCGCTGAAGTTACCCTTGCACTTCAATTTTTGCATCGTAATGGTGTGATTTATCGCGATTTGAAATTGGACAACATACTTTTGGATGCGGAAGGCCACTGTAAATTAGCTGATTTTGGAATGTGCAAGGAGGGTATTATTGGCGGCAATTTAACATCAACTTTTTGTGGTACTCCTGACTATATAGGTAAATATTCATTCCCTACATCAACAATACCCGACAATATTTTGATACCATTTCTGTCCATTACAGCACCCGAAATCCTTCAAGAATTAGATTATGGTCCCTCTGTTGATTGGTGGGCATTAGGCGTTTTAATGTATGAAATGATGGCGGGTCAGCCTCCGTTTGAGGCTGATAATGAAGACGATTTGTTCGAAGCCATTCTCCGAGATGATGTTTTATATCCAGTTTGGTTGTCGCGTGAAGCTGTTTCAATTTTAAAAGGTATACACTTCTCGTCTATTCCTACCACTCGTATTGATTTTTCGATTCATTCTTTTGTCTGAAGGTTTTATGACTAAAAATCCGGCTCGTCGATTAGGTTGTGTAGATGGAGAGGAATCAATCAGAAAGCATCCATTCTTTAAAGGTATGTAGACAATTGATGAAAAATATGAATATCAGATGAATTTTATAAATCAAACTTAATTTTCAGAAATGGATTGGGATGCATTGGAGCAGCGAAAAGTTCGTCCACCATTTAAGCCACGAGTTGTAAGTCTAATTGTCTTGAATATTTAAAAAATGATTTACTAAATGAGATTTTTTTGCAACTAGCAGCGAAACGCACGTGACGCAGTCAATTTTGACACAGAATTCACACGTGAAGATCCAGTATTGACACCAGTTCCAGCAGATATAATCCGTTGCATAAACCAAGATGAATTTGCTGGATTCTCATTTGTTAACAAAGACTATGGTCCGGAGCGAAGGGGTTGCAGTTAAAAAGCCTCTTAGCTCAATCCAAAGGATACTGCTTACATCCAGAGAAGAACAACCAATTTGAGATTTTATTTGAATTTTAAACGATAAATTCTACTCTTCATTCTATTCTTATTATTAATCGTCACGTTATACGAGGTAAATTAAACCACATTTCGTATTTTTTTTTGTTTTACTAATGATGTTATTATCGATGATGATGAAAAGGAATCGTATATGAAAGTTTAATTTATTTGAGTTTTTATTCTTTTTGAAGAGTAAAAATCTGAAAAGAAAAATCTCAGAAAAGTCGAGTCACAGTAACTGATTTGAAGATTACCAAAGATTACAATGGTTTTTATAATGAGATAGAAGAAAATCATGTTTATCAGGTATAAAACATAATGTATTTGCAGAAAGATTTTACTGTATGTGATCGTGGATATATATCTATTTATTTTTCAATTTTGAAAGCGATCAATGTTGTTTATGTTTTGTTTACTTCCGTTTTCTTTTTTAATTGAATCAATTTTTGTTGTTGCATCAGTATTTTATACAATAATTAACACAAAAACTTTTCGGGAGTATCTAAAAGAATCTTCTTCCTTTCAACATAAACAAGAACAAATTGAATTTTTGCTTGAATTATTTACAAGGTGTGTAGATGTTGGAGTATGGGTTGGTTTTGAATTAATCAAAACACTATCAGATAGAAATTTCTTAAATTAGTTTTGCACAATTTTACAATTTTTACTAAGATTTCAAAGTACAGAATCATTGGAAACATTAGAATAACTTAATATCTAAGTTACTGAATCGAAATCAAGTCATTTTTATGAAGATCTTTATATGTATTCTTTAGTATTTAATCCTTTACTTGAGATATACTCTCATCTGCACACCTTAACTCTAAACGATTTTTAATTAATTTTGTCAATTTTTAAAAGAAAATTTATTTACTGATTTACTAACGACACTACTTATGTTTGCAAAAGGATTATTTATCTCGCTAATGCAGAGTACAAAAAAATTACGTCTTTCGAATGAAATTCGACTTAATAGAAACAAAACAAAAAACACATAAAAAAATTAGTAAATGAAATTGATTAAAGATCTGTTCGCGCACATCTCAAAACATTTACAAAAGTATTTTTTTTTATTACGTTTAAATCTTTTATTTTATTTTTGTTAAACATGAAATGTTGATCTAATTTTAATTTCATTTTATCTAGTCACATGGTTTATACTTTCATAGGCTCACTTGTGAAAGTATTATCCATTAATTTATTACTTAATGTCATCACTATATAAAAAAAAAGCCAAAATGCTAAATTTAACTATTTACTTTTTGTCATGAATTTCATTAGTTTAATTATACTATACGCTAAGCTTATAAATCGTATTTATTTATTATTTACTGTTATGAATTTATCTGTAAAGTTTGGTTTAGAAAGTGCTGTGCAAATGAGTCAAGAACTTAAAGAACCCAGCAGCTTCTCGCCTAAAAAGAAATCCAGCAAAGCATTTTCTAAGCCAAACCATTATTATGAGAACATTTTCTTCCAAAAAGCAAAAGAAATTATCATCACAGATGCTTAAAAATTTGAAGAGTTTTAAGCTCGCACTATTGAAAAGTGGAACTAATTAAGGATATCGTACGCAGAATTAATCGAATTATTTTTCATATAAGTATACAAATTTTGCATTAATCTTTGATGTATCTCCTTTAAATGAAATTATAGCTTAATTTTAACATTGTTTTATGAATTTCTACGTTCCTAGTGCTAATTATCTACCTTAAATTATTGTTTTTTTTTCGTTGAACAAGCCATTTAATTGCCATGATTTATACCAAATCGTTCATTTTATCATTGACAACTGTTAAAAAAGATAATGATTGATGATTGTAAATGTAAAAAAAAATTATTAAGGATTAAATCTTTAAAGTTGTATCAAAATACATGCCCCTCTCATTTTGATAACAACTTGACAACATGCATAAATTATGAAAATTTAAAAAAATCTACTTGAAATATTATCAAAAGTTAATGAATTTAACATCTTTGATGATGAAATGAACATAATTTTAATTTTTGTTCTTATTAGTTCCTTTGAATTTATAAATTGATCATGACTTAAAAGGAGAAGAAGTCACACATCACTTTTTGATGTCTTGCGATCAAGTTCCTTCATCTCCTCTGAATTTAAGATCTTTTTGGAAGGAACTTGATTGTGACGCATTATCAAGGAATTCTCCAATCAACATCTATCCTCGTCCTAAAAAGATTTAAAGATTTAAACAATTTCCAAGGGATGATAATTACACTAAAAGTATTGAAGTAATAAGATTTATTATACTCAAAAAACACACACAAAAAATCACTTTCATGATGATGAAAATGAGACGAAAAGTTATTAATGATATGGAAATTTTCAGGTTGTAGTTCCTTTCGTGTAGCTTAATTGTTAAAATTATTCAAATTGTTGGGAAAGTCAAAAAAAAAACATTTGAAGGATTTTGATTAATTTTGGTTATTGCTGAAGAATCCTTTGATTCACATTAGGCTGAACATCAAAAAAAGTAAATTCCAAAATCTTAACGGTTTTTAAAATTGCAAATTTTATGTTGCAAAATTTTTAACTAAGATCAAGTTGTACTGCTAGTTTATTGAGCTTTGACAAATTCTGTATCATCAAATTTCGAACAACTTCCAAATTAAAGTCATAAACTACAGTTGACTTCTTATTTTTCTAGATAATTTCAAGAAACATAATCTTTGACATTTTAAAAACCGTTAAAATTTTAAATATTACCGATCGTTGAATTCTTGAGTTTCAAATGAATGTTAGAAATTCAAATATCAATATACCGTCAAAAATTTGAATTCAAGCTTACCAATTAACAAAATGAAAGCGAAGTCAACCTGTGAGATTTTTAAATAAAATGCAAAAAGTTTAGCGTACATGCATCATATAAGGGAAACATTAAAAGAATATGATGGAAAGAAAATTCGCTTCGAAAATCAATTAAAAATGGATATGAAATTCTGCAAAAAAACGTATTTTTAATGAGAAAACAAAATATTTAAAAGAAGTACATGTTTGGAATGTTTTTATTAGTTTCATCAAACCTATTTCTGGCGAAATTTTAATTTTGTGAAAGAAACAAAAGAAAAAATTATAAAAATGAAATGATGTTTAAAAAGATGAAAAAAATCTATAAAAATATCTAAAAAATATATTAGATGATGAGAAGGAAGAATAGAAATTAAATGAAAAAAAAAATGCTAATCAGTTCTAGATCATAAGAGTAATCATAATCCTATGTGTGTAAAACTATAAAATTATATATAAATAGCCAGATGAATTTTTTTTTGCAAAAAGTCGCAAGGTGCAATGAGCTTGATGAATCATTCCGTACATCATATCGAATATTCCAATTAATAGTGATTTTTATCTTGCATCCACATACATACAATCGTGGAATGGAACGTAAATTAAGAATTTTTCATTGATCCCATTGCATCGATGCCTCCAAAGTAGAAGAAAAATATCGTGGAAGATATAAAAACAAATGGAAATGCACAAACCAAAATAGAGCCATCAATAGAATAAATACAGGATTAAAGTTATTGTTTTTATCTCACAAATATATATATTTTTATGATTCTAAAATGATTAATTTTAAATTAGATCAAATCTTTTGTTAATCTGCAAATGAAGAAAAATGAATAATCATCAATGAGATAATGAAATAAAATAACCAAATAATGAAGCTTTAAATAATTTACAAGTATGGAAGTGGAATTAAATGAATGAAAATTTTTCATTTATCTCTAATGCTGTTGCTGATATAAATGTCATTTGTCAATTTATTATATATTGTTATCAAGAAATACATAATAAAATGGAAAAACGTATGAAAAATTCTATAAAATTTGAGTCTGTGCTGGAGTTATGAAGTGCCGTGAGTAGTCAAACAACTGTTTGACTGTTTATGGCACTTCTGTGGGTCATGAGTGACTTTAAAATTCTATGATCAAAAGATCATGAATAAATTTTGAGCAAATCAAGATCCACAATTCAAAACCCCACTCAATAAAAGCAAATAGGAATGATTTTAGTTGCCACACTCTCGTCTCGTCGTTGCTGGACACAAAAAAAGGATTAAATTACAATTTAAATGAAAGGAAATTCCACGTTATTTTTTTAATAAAAAGAAGGAAAGAAATGCAAATTACATAAAAGATATAAACATATTATAATATTAATGAAAAAAAGGGATAAATCTCCATCATCCAAAGAAGTAAAAATACCATTTTAAAGATAAAGAGTATATAAATAAAAAAAAAATGACTTCCGAGTTTACACGCGTGGAGGTTGAGAAATATGAAATTAAAAAATACTTATACCACCAAGAAATAAACTATAATTAAAAGAAGAAAAAAAGTGAAATGAATATCCTGAAAGAAGAACATTGTAAATTAACTGTTTAGGTAGTAACCATGAAAAATCATATTTATGAAAGAGTCGCATATAATTCAATGGATCAGAGATAGGACAATTTTATTAGGTGAAAATTATTTGAAGGATGGCATAAAAAAGAACGAAATCTTTGAAAAAAAAATGTGTACGTATAACATCTTGCCATCTGTAATGTTATTTAAAGAAATATATATATGAGGAAAATCTAAGTCAAAAAATGGATTTGAAAAGTAAGAAAAGATTGAAAAATTGAAAATTCGATGTTTTAAAAATAATCAGTAAAATTTTATGATTTTTCACAAAATTCCTTCTCTTAAAAAGTATGGAAAAAAACTTTCAGCAACTTTATGCAAAAATGAAACAAAACAGAAGATGGCTAATAAAATTGGATTTATAATAATATAAAAAAATTTAAAACCAACTGGCATTTGGTATCTTAATATATTTAAGTTTTTCAGGTGTATTTAGCGGTTTTTTAAAAATATAAAATTTTAACAGCTTTCAAAAATTTGAAAATTTCAACGACTTTCCAAAATTTTAAAATTAAAACGACTTTCCTAAATTCAAAAAAACTGAAATGAAATGAAATTTGTGTTTTGCTGAACGAATTTAATACAAATGCTCTCAAAAAGGCTCAAACGTGTTCTCATGCTCTCAAACGGCCTGTATCACTAAAGTGGATTATCCTCGATTTCGGATTATCCACTTCAGTTCTTTGGAAATGTTTGGAAATATCTCCAGACACTTAAGATTTTTTAGAGATCTAATTAGAGTACTCTGCTACTTAAATTAACATATAATTAGAATTTTTATATCTTCATTAGTTTGAGAATTATAGCAAAAATCGAAGTTAATCTACTAGATTTGGCTAGAAAATTGAATAATTAATACTTCTTAACGAAAAGCAAAAGTTTAAAATGTACAGAAATTTCAGGCATAGTTCACTCTATTACAATCCAAAATTAGAAATACCACACCTACCATAAAGTTTAAGATATTTGCAAAAAACTGAAGAGGATAACCCGAAATCGAAGATCATCCACTTAAGTGAAACAGGCCGATAATGCTTAATTATATTACATCCTATATCTAGTTCTTTAAACTCTAAATTTCAATAAATAATTTTCTTCTTAGTTGAATCTCTTTGCTGCTCATATCGTTTGATTGCTTCCGCTATAGGATATAGTAAAAATATCGTACCAGAAATCTTAAAATAATTCCAAAATCCATTTGTGTAGGTCCTAGTTATAAATTCCATTCCAAAATGTGTGCCACCAAAAAAGAAAAAGTTTGATAAAATTGCAGGAATCAGAATGTGAGCTCCAATATAAGCTCGAAGTCGATGCAAATTGTTCTCTGTTTTTATAACTTTAAGTGCTTTCCTGTTAAAGCTTTCACTTTCTATAAAGTCATATACAAATTTCTCAACAACAATGCAGACACAATTTGCAATTGACCAGATTAAAATGTAATCGAAGAATCCATGCCAGATATAAATGAAGAAGAATGTGATGAAGCTTGCAAAAATTTTCTTGATTACTGTGGAACTTCTTGTGGTCATTTTTGTGTAAATGTATTTAAATAAGAATTCATAGAGTCCATTATCAAACCATTTCCACATATCACTGTATTTATGGACTCTACATATGCATCTTGGAGTGCTTGGCATTGGAATATTTTCAAATTCTCCAAAAGCTATAGGGATTCCATATTGAATGATATATTTATTATTAAAGAACTGTCCATTGAGAAATCCAAGTCCAAATAATGCGAAAATGTTTACAGACTTAAGACTCTTGCTCATCACTATGTAATGGATATAGAAGAAGTGCAGTCCAATTTCTGTTATCACAAACCATCCAAAAAATCTCAACATTTGCAGCATAAAATGTTTTGATCGAGTCTTGATCATTTCGAGATTATATTCCTTATCAATTGATGCATTGAGATAGTCAAGCATGCTCATGTATCGACTATAAATAACGGTTGGTCCACAATGAAATGATGGGAAGTAAAACATGTATCCAAGGCAATGAATGAATGTAAATTTCTCTTTATCCTTTTCCTCGCATGATATCCTTTCCAAATTGAAGCTGACGTTCTTTAAAATACACCAAGCAAAAATCACAAGAAAGTCATGAACCTTTGATTCTTCTACATCCAGCGTATCCACAGCCAATTGAAAGTATGACTCAAATTTAAGGGAATTTAGTATCACAAGCCAGATAGAAGTAAGTACCCAAATGTGTGTTTTTCTTTTAAAAACTGTGCTGACCCCATAGCATATAACTGTTTGTGTAATTAAGGCAAGGAAGAATCGCATGTTGTAAATTTTAAAGCATGCGAATGCTCCAATAATAAAATAGAGTAATGAAATATTCTAAAATAAACAAATTTCAATGAGTAATCTTTATCAATTTGTATATACAGCATGTAGCTTACTTTGAACTTTGTAAATCTAAATATCTCTGTGCAAATTATGTGAATCGCAAACCAGTACCAATAATTTGCTATTAGTTCTTTAAAAACCTGCCATTCACTGTCATAATTGTCGACTTTTCTATTAAATATTTTCCATCCGTCATCCATCAAGTTATATGCTGATAAACTAGCTAAAATGATGGAATTTCCAGATTATTAATTACAGCGCAAATGTTTGATTGACCTTGATTGAACCTACCGTTGCTTAGTATCTGGATGTTGTACATCATTGTCATGTACAATACAACAGAAAAGATGAAATAAAATCTCAGTTCGATATTAGGAAGATATCCTTTCATCGTGACTGAAGATTTATAGATACTGTGTGGATCTACAGAAATAACGGTCAAATTTGAATTAAACACGTGGTGTGGAGACAAAATTTATTTTGAAAACAAAACATTCAACCGAAATATTTTTTTATTATTTTAATCGAGGATATAGCTCTTAACTCACCAAACTTGTGGCTTCAGCTGATACTATTTATCTAGTTGATTAGGTAAATATATATAGGATCTCTTATAATACTTTAGATTCATTTAAATTAACGAAAATAATTGTGTTAAAAAATTCTGATGAAAATTTCGATCACATTTTCTAGACAGCTCTGAATTCAAATTTGAAATTGCAGTTAATATGGAAGAGGAGTTTTGGAACTCGATAAATCTTATAGCTCCTCCATTCACGACTTACTCAGTACGGAGAAAGAATTTTGGAACTGATCAATTCAAAAAATGTCTGGAAAATGCTATTGCTTATTTTGCAGAACAGACAACCTTCTTTGAGGAAGTGAATCAAATATCTCAAATCATATATTTAGGCAAAAGTCAGTTCCGAATGATGAAAGGATTTCAGGAAATGAAAAAGACTCATCAGGCTGCAATAAGATTCAAGAGACTCAACATTGTGGATATTTTGGAAGCGTTCAATAGTTACGTCGCTGACGATTTCCAATCAGAAATTCTGTTACCATCTAGACAGAATCTCGATTATGTTCTTATTAAGCTTCAGGGTGTGTCCAAGATTCTAATAAGAATAATCACCTGTTCGAGAAAGTCATCAAGATATTTTCTAGGCCTAATAAAAATGGGAAGTTTTTACATTAAAGGGTCAATTTTTGTATCTACGTTAGCTAAAGTATGGGATATGTCAAGGGAAATGTGTCAATATGCAGTAAAGCTTTATAACGATTTGAGGCAGTTTAGAGATAAATTACAAGAAATCAAGAATTGTGAATGGATAGCCAATAATTGTGAACTTCCTGAGAAATTAGAAGACTGGCTAGGAGATGAATATGAATGCTTTGTGAATAATGAGACATATGACACGAAATTGTTAACAAAATCAGAGGATATAGAAAATTTCAGGAAAGAGATGCAGCAAGTTACAGAAATAATAAAGAACTTAAAAACCAATGAACAGGAAGATAAAGTTGAATCCAAAAGCATCTCTGAATTTTTTCCTGTAAAAATAGAAAAGATGGAATTAGAAATTGAAGATTATAAGCCAATACTTAGGAATGAAGTCACTCATTTAGATTACAAGCATTCATTAGCGTCAGTAAGATCAAAAGAAAATGTCAAGCTCTTTCTGAAATTTGAAGACAAATATCGCAAACAAGATCCACAAAAATCAATAACGATCAAAAGACTCAAACAAAAAGCATGGAAAGATTTTAAAAATGACTTTAAAAATAAATTGCTATTGATGCAAGAAAGTCCACTTCTTGAATACTTTCACGATAATCTTAATCATTATATGTCCAATGAATGAGAATGAATAAAAGGCAGTTACGTTTTTATTCGTTAATCTTTTTTGAATTTCTTTTCTTTTGAATCAACAATTGGTTTGTAGACATTTAGCAGCGAAATAACAATGATTGGGTGATATTTTAAGCACTTTGTAGCTTAATATTTTTTTAATTTCAGATTTGAGGGATTTCAATTTTTAACGGATTTTTGTGATTTGAAATTATGAAAAATTTCAAATGCTTCGAAAAATTCAAATTCTTAAAAACTGTATTGTAGACAATCTTATAAAAAAATAAGCTAATTTTAAAAAAACAATTAAAATTAAGCTAAATAAGGTGTATTTATTCACAAAAGTTGTAGTAATAAGTCAATAAAGTGTTGTTTCAAGTGAGTATCATGATAGTATTTGTTTATTTTAAGGATTTGATGAAATATCCAACATTTTATTTTTTATGATACAATTTTAAGATCCAATACTCAAATGCGCTGTTTTCAGCAGGCAAGCAGCTCACATAACTTTAAACTGTATCTTCTCTCTGGTTCTCATATTCTCTTTTCAAAAAATATTGTTCACTATAAGTTAAGAGCTCAAACGTGCAAGTCGCAAAAAACCAAATTATTTTTCTAAGGTGAAAGAATTGTTAAATGTTGATCATTTGCATATAATAAGGGTGGATCATTGTCGTTAATGTGCTTATTAGTTGTGCATATATGACCTTGAAAATTGTTGCAATAATAATATAAATGTATTGAGTGATGATCTAACTTTATTATCATATTTTATTATTAATTCTTATCGTGCTGTATTAAAAGTGTAAATTATCTTTACTACATTACAGTTACAAATTATATTAAAAAAGGATTAAAACATGTCAACCAATAGAGCCGCAAAATCAGGCAAGTATATACGTTAAATATGTTTTGGACGGTACGAAAAAGGAACTGTGAATCTAAATCCAACGTTTATTTCTTCTCTACTTAAAACAGGATTTGCCGCTGAAGCCCAACGTAAAGTAAGTATTAAACAGACAATTTATTAATTTCTTTGGGTGCGGCTTGCGATCACAATACTTACTTGGTTGATCAAAAAACGAAGTTCTTGCTGAAATGTAATAATACATTTTGTTGTGCGACAGAAGTCAAGGTGGTTCGTTAATAATTCTGTTATCATTCGAGTGTGTATTTTGGAACATGAATTGATAAACGTTTTTTTTTTTTTTCTTTTTCGTTAATTGCACTTATGTCATGATAAAAATCTCCCCAAACTGATTACTATTCCCAAATATAAATCTATTTCCTTCATTTCACTTCAATTCGCTTGCTTGCTTCACCATCAAACCATTCTGATGTGAAATGGAAAGAATAAAATTATTAAGTCTCTTGTAACATGAGTTCTTCATTCATTCCACTTCTTATTACTTGCTTGAACGTTCTTTTGGGAGTTTTATATGAAAATGAAGAACTGAAATGAAAGAATTATACAAGAGAAAGAGAAACTAGTATTAAGCTTGTCATTGATGGGTTGTTCGTGTGATGGAAACGCATTTCTCAGAAGAATTTTAAGCTCTTAAAAGTATTGAATTTTTAACGGTTTTAAAAATTTGAATTTTTAACGGTTTTCAAAAATTTAAATGAACTGGAATGAGACGAAGTTTTTAAAATTTTAGCGGTTGTCAAGTAAGGCAAAATTAAGTTAAAGTGCCGGCATCATGCCTTTAAAACAGGTGTTAATAAGACATCGTTATCGTTAAATCCATGAGATCCCAAATAAAACAAGCCAGACATAGAAAAAAACTTCATTCCTTTAAAATGTGCCTTGCCTGAGACGATCGATGAGTAAGTTGTGATGATGTCATTTGGGGCCATTCACTTATTACGTAACGCTTTTAGGTGGAGGGGGGGTCTAAGATTTTGTTACGTTTCAAACAAGGAAATTTTTTTTCATACAAATTTTGTTACGAGGGGGGGGGGGGGGGGGTTTAAGAAGTCATTTTTTCGCGTTACGTAATAAGTGAACAGCCCCTTTATACACGAACGATCTTCACTAAACAATGTTTTAGGCTCTCTTGTTTTGTAGTGTAACATGTAGGGAATATTTAATTCCACAAAGAAACAAATGAAGCTTAATTGAATCGCATGTTTCGATCACAAGCAAATACATAAACTTTATAAATTTCGTTAATTTTTGTTGCTTCATGTTCGACATCTTTCTTCTTCCTTGAAACATGACATCATGTTAAAAGAATTTGCAGATAATGACATATTTTTTTGCGGAAAGTGATCGCATGACAAAATTTACTACGAAAATAATTTATAGTATAAATCATAACTCATTCATTGATACATAACACGATTGTATTGGAGCATGTTAAGATTGAATGATCTGAATGAAATTGTGTCTATCACATTTTGATTTGTTGCTTTATATTTTTGGGTGAAATCACGATTCGCTTGCGAGCAAATTCATCATATACATTACATTTTATTCACATCACTATAAAGCCGCACAAACAAAAATCATGGCATTTTGAAAAAATAAAATAAATTGAGGGCAATTGACTGCAAAAATGAGGCACAAATGGCTTTTTCTTCATATTTTTATGCTTGTGCTGCGCTTTATCATTCACGAAAAATCACTTTAAGCTGTGATTAATTGTATTGTGGCTGGGTTTATGAGAATTTCCTCGATCTGCACTTATGTTACATTTAGAAAAGCTATAGAATTTGAGTATATTAGAGTAGATGAAGGGAAAGATCAATAAATTGTTACTACATGACGTCAGCTAATGTCTGAGTTCCATTAACGGCTTGATAGTGAAGAGGAAACAGCGTGCCAAATTACATAATTAAAGCAACATATCCTTGTCCATTTTTGGACTTTATTCGATAGAGTGAGAGGCAAAAAATTCTTTTAAATCGGTGCCATAGGTATCCAACTGATTATTGCTGATGTCATAATTGGAATGCGTGAGTAAACAGCCGATATTATTCTCTTATTTAGACATTTCTTAGATCATTTGTTAACGTAAGACATGATTCATATCGAGCTGCCAAGTATAATAATCATCCATAAGTATCCTCTTTCATGGAGTTTCTCTTTAAACTACATTTATACATACAGGCAGTTAAAAAACAATTCGCTTAACACAACCATAAAGAGAGAACGACCGTCGTCAGAAGACAGGAATAAAAGTAAAGAATCAGAAAGAGGTCTCTTGAAGTCGTAAAAAGCAATAAGAAGAAGAACACAATCGCAAGCACAAAAATATTGTTCGTTATAACCAAAAACAAAAATCACATCCCAACCGTACCAATATCTACAGAATTTTACCATCGCGTTTTCGCTTCTCTTTTTCTTATACTTCTTGTGTGCTCTGTTGAGGTCAACAATCCTCGCGCCGAAGATTATTATAAATTTTTTCTCTTTTTAATACATACGTTTATGTATAAATATTGGTATATAGTCACTCTCGGGAGAGTTTTTGGGGGTCTATAGCTTGTGATGTCCACAAATTGTTTTTCATGGTTTCAAATTTCAGCGGTGAAATGGCATCAGTGGCTTAAATGGTAGAGCTCTTCCGAGATGAACGAAGTTTTTGGTAGTTCAAAATTCAAATCTAAAATGACTGTTGAACATTCAAATTTCTAAAAACGGTTAAAAATTATCTTCATTTTCTGAATCTTTAAATTCAATGATATGGTACACAGCATCTGCGGATGAGCCCTTTATGTATTAATGTAAAACCTATTCATTCTTGTGAATAACATTTAACCGAATGATGATGATGATAAAGTGTATTTAAGCTTAAGAATTTCACTACTTAACCATCTGTTTTATGTTGCCTAATATTTAGCAAGATTCTTTTCATTAGATTCATGGAAATCTCCAGCTTTATATCATGTGAAAAATATTTCAGCCTCATGTCGATTACTTCTCGCATTGATGATTCAAGTTAAAACTGTTTTTTTCCCAATGTATTATTTTTATTAAAGAATCGCATGAAACCTTTTTTTACTCTCCTTTCCATTTTATCAACACCACTGACTGTATTATTTTCATATGTGTTGCAATTATTGTGGCCTTATATGGAACTTATTTTAAATAAATGCGCAAGTAGACTTCTTTTTTACACAGAAAAAGATCAGGATTTGAGTAGAGCATTCATCAAATGGCACCACACAACTTTCTGAGTAATTTATCGTTTCATTCACGATTCCACTTCTATGTAACCTTTGTGAAGGCGAAAGCGATAGAAGTAAAATATACTTTAAATGTACACAGATCAAAGTGACTCCAAAGTGCAAGTTTTTGTCGTGTTTAATCATCATGACGTCTGTGTTAATATTTATTTTAGAAGTTTGTTCTGAAATTGAGTCGCTTACTTTTTAACTATCATTTGAAATTTGAATTTTGATCTACAAAAATTCGGTCATCTCAGAAAATTTGAAAAAATTTCGTAACGGAAACTTCAGTAAAATTTAGTTCATCCGTCAATCAAAACGACCTGCTATCATAATTCAAATACTGTGCTAGAAAGAAATGCAGCTCAAGATCATATGTTAGTGTAAAGGTCAAAAAATTTAATCTACACTTGATTTAAGTAAATCATTTCCATAACAATAGCATATTATTTACATTGTCTTACATCCATACACACTCATGATTGGAAAGTACAGCACGCGCGTCATCAATAAAGCCATAGGAGAATATTGATAAAATGAATTCATTTCGTGTAATTATTGTAATTCATCTGATGGATTTTTGATTATTATACTCGTTTCGGAGGGGCTTGATTAAAATGTTTCAATTTTCTTTCATCATCAAGTTCTCAATTCAATTAGTAGTTTGTTGCTTGTTGCCGCTATTATTGCTATTATTTACCATATCGAAACGAACAATTACTTTGTGTGTAATTTAAGTTTATTGTGATGACGAAATATGATTTTTTATAACCCTTATCAGGAGCTTAAAATGCTGCTATAATTAAGTCATATGACGATACTTGAAGATATTGCATAATAAGTTGCGAATCGGAATTAGATTTGTGACATCATGAGACTGGAATGTGATGTGCATATCAACATACTTTGTAGAGACAGATGGATGAAGGAAATTATATTTTTATTGCATTCTTATTATACTTGATGCACTTTGTCTGGCTTGACATCAACCATGTCTGAAAAATGAAGATTTCTTTTAAAAACCGTACAATTGTTGTGTTTGAAAACCTTACAAATGTTAAAAATTTCAACGTAATTTGTAAGGTTCTGAAATTTGAATTGTCGAAAACAGTTATTTTTCAAATATTTTTTAACCGTTGAAATTTTAAATTTAATTTTAATCATATTTTTAAATAGAAAATGCGTCTTTATCAATCCAAAATTTACTGCATTCATTCTATAAATTGTTTATTTCAATTTTTTCTTTATTTTTAATTCTTGTTGTGCAAATTCTTTGATAACATTAAGCCTAGCAGAAAGCTTGTCGCAAGATATTCATTCTGCTGCTGTAATTTTGTTGTTTTTTAAGTTGAATGTTTCCTGCTGACAAGACAAAGTAGTTGCGGGTGTGATAAACAGTTTGTGTGCCTTGATATTTGTTAATTAAATGATCGCTTATCGGTCTTATTTGATCAAAAAAAAAAGAAGTGTAATTGAACGGAATGCTTAATCGGAATTGACGATAAAAAAACATTTTCACCTTAAATACATAATGTGTCACATACACACAGCCACAACAGTTGTTCAAAGAATAGTATATTTTATGCTTACAAAGACAAATTGTCACGGAATTCGCGGGAACGCTGATATGGCTAACCGAAATTCTATTGAATTTAAAATATCGTTTTTTTTTGTTCCATCGTTCCTTTGAGCCATGATTATTCTCTATTGTTCATTCTACAAGTTATTTATGTGTTCGCAATAACTATTTGTTTATATATTGTAGAGCTACACCTTTTTAACTAGAATCGCTTCTTTTAATTGTTTTAGTGTTGAAGAATTGAAGATTAAATTTCATTTATGTGAATTCCTTGCTGCTGTCTTGCTCGAAACAAGAAACTTTCCATTGTTCAAATATAAATTGGTTCCAAACGGCTGGACTGACTGTTTATCTTACTAATTTAATCATATCTATCCTCTTAATTCAGTCTGCATTGTTATCTTCAGCTCTTTCCAATTAATAATCACTTGAAAGTATTTATTGAAGGTTCTTATAGACGATATGTCTATTTAAAGGAATGAAATCATCAAAAGCAATTCTTATCACATGCGACAGTCAATTTTCAATTATATAGCAACTTCTCGTGAGTGACGTCGTCGATTGCAATCTTTTGACAAATGAAAAGTTATAGAAGCGCGTGATTTTTCGACTTTTCAAAGTGCTCGGCTATTGAAATCACTTTAAAGTGTTATGCATTTTTAATAAAAATGCACTTTAAGTAAACAGAATTGTTTTTGTGGTGCAAAAATGTGAAAAATATTCATAAACATGCCTGAGTATGCAAATAATGTATGCGACAAGTGTCAAGTGACGGAAAATTTTCCTGTGCGAAACTGAGCTTATTTAAATTTCTTTTTCATGTATTTCTAAATTAACTGTCATTTTAAGATTTGAATTTTGTAAGGTTCAAAAATAATTTGAATCTCAAACGACAGTTAAAATTCAAATTCTGAAATTCCGTTATTTTTTCAACAATACTAAATTCAATGTCGTCATTCCACATCTGCAATATCGTTTAATAATCGAATCGCATGATCTCATGCCGACCACAAAACAAATTCGTAATGACTGAACTTTTTCTCATTTCCAATAAATGCTTTTTAAACGTCAATATTTTTGCACACAGACCTCAATTAAGAGTTCATGAACTTCGTTAAGTCAGTTATCGAATAGATCGTCAACATGATGAATTGCTGAAAAGATATTTTTGGACAATTATTGGTTTGAAGCAAGTGAATATGACATAATAAATTGTTAAATCATGTTTGAGGAATTACAATAACCACTCCTTAATAGGAACATCATTAAGCTGTTATTTGTGTTGTGGATATGATTGTTGGAGATTTAATGTGCTGCATTTTGGCCGGTAAATTTCAAAATTTGCCCGTTGTAAATTTAAATTTTTTCTGACAGTTAAATTTTCAAATATTTTTTTCATCGTTAAATAGTTTCAAAAAACAAATTTACCTGAGTTAATCATTAATCAAGCCACAAACTGACCACAAGCCTTTCTATTTGCTGGTTGATAATCAAATTTAATAGCCATTTAAAAGTAATTTTCGAAAATATTTTAGCGATTTTATCACTTTAAAGCTAAAACATTTGAACTTCTTCTACTCAGTTTAACGCTGCAAAATCTTGACATTTATTGACGACTTTCAAAGCAATTTTTAGCCAGCACTCGTTAGTAGACAGCGAGTAAGAAAAAGGAAAGAAAAGAAAATAGAAAAAAATAATAATCAAATCATATCAAAATACATAGAAAAATATTGGCAGTAATATTTATGAATTAATGACGTCGATGTGTGTGCTTTGATGGAAAGGCAGCAACAAAATACAGTTTTATTTTCGACAAAGGGAAGCAATCTATCATCTGAATATTTTTGAGTGCTTTTTTTTGACATGAAATTTGCCAAATGAATAAAAAATAATGTTCGGGGGATCCATTTGAATGTTATGAAACCTGAATTGAATAAAGTCAAGTCACAACAAAAGAGAGAGACTGAAAGCCTTACAATGTTAATTAATTGTGGTTTCTCGCATCAAGACACTCAGTATTTAGTTTGCATCGTCATCAATTTACGAATTATGCAATTGTGCTGCGAGTTGCTTCATATGAGGTCTAACATCTCGTCTGTATGACTGCGACTGACATTTTTTCTTTAATATAGAATGAGTAAGCAATTGATTGGCTGTAAATGGAATTTCATTTTGCCTTTATAGGGTGAAGCTTACAACTACAGATCGGTCAAGTTCTAAAACAGCTAAAAATAGTCATTTTCTCATACTTTTATGTTCATATATGAGCAGCTTTTGTTGCTCTTTTTCTCAAGGATAACTCAGAATTATCTCATGCTACTCAGAATAGAGATTAATTTTATTATGCCGCCTTTATTGCTTTATTGTTTTGTGGACGATTTTTTGTCATTTATAACTAGGCATTCCTTAAAAATTTAAATTGAGTAATGTGATATTTTTAACGGTCTTTGGAGATTCAAATTCTTTAAATTGAATTGAGTTGAAAAGTGGTTGGATTACTGAACGGATTTTAAATTGTTTTGAATTTTAAAAAGTCATTAGAACTTAGAAATGAATGAATAACAGTATCTCTATGATCTAGTGTCAAATAAATTAATCTCGTGGAATTAGCACTCGAATTGAATATTCATAAAGATCCAGTAGCTTAGACACTGCAACTAATGCCTAAAATTCCAATGCTAATAACATTAAAGCACTAAATTAAGTTATCATCGGTACACAGACAAACAATAAATAAAGTTGCGCACAATTAGGCTAATTAAATGCATGAAATTTTAATTTGTTTCTTTCACTCAAAAAAATTAAATTTAATTTGGTAGAAATTCAGCCAGCGATCACGTGTAGTTCATTAAAAAGAGAATAGAAGATTCATTGTGGGTTGATTGAAAATTTCTTCTTGCTCTCTCACAGTTCGCAGTCATGACACATAAAATAAAGAGTTGTTGAAATTGAAATGAGGGAACGAGAGTTGAATGGACAAAATGTCACCATACAATTTCATTGAATTGGCGACAGTAAGCTTAATAGTTTTCATTTTACTCACCTCGCTCGTCTATCTCCCTCTCGATGTAGCTTTATTGATTTCCGGTTGAGGAATTAGTGCAATTACAGTTTCACTTAGGGGCTGTTCACTTATTACGTAACGCGAAAAAATGACTTCTTAGACCCCCCCCCCCCCCCCCCTCGTAACAAAATTTGTATGAAAAAAAAATTTCCTTGTTTGAACCGTAACAAAATCTTAGACCCCCCCCTCCCCCTAAAAGCGTTACGTAATAAGTAAATGGCCCCTTATGATTAATTGCTTTAAATTAATTTAAGTTAAATATCTTTTCAAAATTAAGTTCAATATGAATTAATTCATTAAGATTGAATGATAAAAGCAGCAAAATTAGAGTTTATTGTTGGTTAATTCATATCCTGCTGATTTCGCATTTTAATTGGATTTTGAGATTTAAATTTTTAACGATTTTGAGAAATCAAATTGTTACTTTTTTGCTGGATTTGAGGTTAAAATAATTATAAAGCAGTTCAGTAAAATTCAAAATTGGAAATTTCTTTCACTTTAGCTTGAATTTAATTTGAATTTGTAGATAATTTAAGTATTTTTTTTTTTCATTTATCGCTTCCCATAAATGGAGTTAAAATGAAAACTCTTTTTAAAGCATTTCGATGAAGGTCAATCTGTCTGCTTGATACTACTGACTGAGGCATAATTGAAATCACAATTCCCAATTTCCATTTCTGATTTTTATATTTTATTACAATAATATATTTTGCAAGCACTTCTCTTGCTGCTTGTTTTCGTCAAATAAGTAAACACAACAGTAGCAGATATGAATCAAAGTAGATCTTTCGATGATTATTCATCGACTTAATTACAGAACGCCTTCTTAAACACATAATGTTACTGTTATTTCTCTTTGCAATGCAATGTCACATGTGCCTTGTTATGTTGTTGCTTACATATTGAGAGATCTTATTTTGTGAAGACAATAAGAAAGCCTTTTTTTTACGAAAATAGTTATAACTTTAAAGACAATTAATAATGTTACACACGTACAATGGAGCTATATCTTTGTCAGAAAGGAGAGAGAACACAAAAAACGTAACATGAAAGAAGTAAACAATAATTAGCGGCAACTTTTAATCACGAATTTATTTATTCTCCATTTTTTACTGTATTATGTTCCTTTTACACAACATTTGTTGCCTATTTCAATTATTGTCTATTAAAAAAATCACAATGTGGTACTGAATATTAAGCAAATCTAGGCGAGTAAAGGAGTCAATGGGGTTATTGGGCATGAAAAGTTTAAAAAGTTCAAATTTCTAACGGGATAAAAGAATTTAAAATTTCTAATGCTTTTGAAGAATTTGAATTTTAACGATTTTTTAAAATTCAAAATTTTTAACGGTTTTGTAGAACTCAAATTTTGCATTTTAGGGGGGAGGGAGGGTTTGAAAAATTGTAACAAAATGTAACATAGGGGGGGGGGGTCAAGAAGTATGTACCGTTCTAACTGTCCACCATGTTAAATTTTCCACCTTTTTAATGATTTATGAAAAATTATCAAAATAAAATAAATTATGAACGTTCAGGGGGGGGGGGGGGGGTACCCGTTAGAAAATTTAAATTGCACAAAAACGATTCGCAAACCGTAAAAAATAGAATAATCCATAACATCACCATATAAAGTAAATTAATGCACCCATTGAACTCAAAAACTTTCTCTAAACATCTAAATGTCAAATTGTCGAGACAAAATGGCTACAAATAGCTGAATTGTTTGAAATTGTGAACAAAGCTGCACTGAATAGCGTGAAAAAGATACTAAAGCGTTTCAATACACATTCACATGAAGCTAGGCATTCATGATGCGTCTCGAATTTCATGAGATGCATATTGATTAATTTAGATAACTTAGCTTTCGTTGTATTGAGATCAATCATCAATTAATGCAATTCAATTAATTTTCATGTTCTTTAACTTTTTATTAAAGATTAATTCAAAATACAGTGATGAATTGGCAGCTGAGTGCTTAGAATGGATCAAAGAAGTAACAGGCGAGCCAATCAACACATCGGGCGATATGGATAACTTTTATGAGGTGTTGAAAGACGGCGTTATGCTCTTAAAGCTCATAAATTCTTTGGAACCAGGAAAAGTCAAGAAGGTTAACGAAAGCAAGATGGCATTTAAATGTATGGAAAATATTTCCGCATTCTTGGAAGTTGCAAAGGCATTCGGAGTACCGGTACAAGAAACATTCCAAACTGTCGACTTGTGGGAACGTCAGAACTTGAACTCTGTTGTAATTTGCTTGCAGTCACTTGGACGAAAGGTAATTTTCACATATTTTGTGACTTAATATTTATCTAATGACTGTTAAATGTATGTATATAGGCTCAAAACTTCGGCAAGCCATCAATTGGACCAAAAGAAGCTGAAAAGAATGTCAGAAACTTCTCAGACGAGCAACTTAAAGCTGGACAAAATGTCATTTCACTTCAATATGGTTCAAATAAAGGTGCAACTCAATCAGGCATCAATTTCGGCAACACAAGACACATGTAAATCCTTTAATTAAGCAACAAATCAAAAGTCACAACGAAATATACGTCATTCCATCAAGTTATGAAGTTCAACTATTAATTTCATTCCGATTTCTAATTTTTTGATAATTCCTTTTTGCTCTTAATCTGTAATTTAAATACTATACAAGAATTTTACAATTTCAATTGTATTCACTATAGTATGTCGATGGTGCTCAAAAACTGTCTTAAGAACCAAGCATATAGTAAGTTTTGAGCATCACTATGTTAAGTAATAATCGTTGATTGATGTAAGTGACAGTACTATAAACTAAATAATATATATTGAAAGGATGATCATTAGTGGCCTTTAGAAACAATTATAATGTCATATTTAAAAATTATTATAGTAACAGCATTAATGGAGAAATTAAATGTTTCTTTTTGGCACATATAATGTGGACATTTAGTGCCATTGTTGAAGTCTTGTTACTTAACTTACGTCTTTTTTAATTTACCAATTCTTCTTTCAATTTTTTTGTGAATTTAAGTTCATTTAAAAAAGATTCCACTGTGGATAAAAGACAACTTTTTGCATAATTACTAAGCATGTCAAAAAATCGATAACTATTACGAAATGAAATTTTTTATTTTTATTATTATTTTAATTTTATTTTTCCTGAAATTATTTTGTACTAATAAATTTCCGAAAAAGTAAGCTCCTAGTGCCTTTTTATTTTATGGGCAATTCTTTGGATAACTTTTGGAAAATTTTCAGCAAAAAATCGAAATTTTATTGATTTTTCCCATCAGAGACACTGATTTTATGATTATTATCGATGTAAAAATCTAAAATGTACACTACTACTGATATCATATACTTCTAGTCGCTGTATTAATTAAGTTATTTGGATTCTTTAGTCAATAACTCGATGACAGAAATCGGAATTTTTAATTTTCATCATCCGAAGAATCGAAAATTAGAGAAAACTATAGATATCCACATTGAATAACCTTTACTGAGTTATAGCACAGACAAAAATCTTTAATTAGGTTGCTTTTCTGTGTGGTTTAAGTCATTAATTAATGAAATATTTCAATTCTTTGAAAAATTTCCTTGTGTCATCGAGTTATAAAAAAGCTTTTTTTTGTCTTAATCCGTGAAAAAATACAAAATTTTCAAACATGTTTTTTCAATTTTTCACTTAATTTAGGTGAGTTGTAACATTTCAATAGATCACTTTTAAAGAATTAATTATGCTTTATGATCTCCGAAAGTTCTGTCTTATTATTCCTTCACAGTAATATGAATTTAAAGAAAAAAATTTATTGACACAAAACTCATTGACATTGGATTATGAAAGCTCTTTTTTTTAAATTCCACTCATGGGCAATTCTTTGGATGAGTGGAATTTAAAAAAAAGAGCTTTCATAATCCAATGTCAATGAGTTTTGTGTCAATAAATTTTTTTCTTTAAATTCATATTACTGTGAAGGAATAATAAGACAGAACTTTCGGAGATCATAAAGCATAATTAATTCTTTAAAAGTGATCTATTGAAATGTTACAACTCACCTAAATTAAGTGAAAAATTGAAAAAACATGTTTGAAAATTTTGTATTTTTTCACGGATTAAGACAAAAAAAAGCTTTTTTATAACTCGATGACACAAGGAAATTTTTCAAAGAATTGAAATATTTCATTAATTAATGACTTAAACCACACAGAAAAGCAACCTAATTAAAGATTTTTGTCTGTGCTATAACTCAGTAAAGGTTATTCAATGTGGATATCTATAGTTTTCTCTAATTTTCGATTCTTCGGATGATGAAAATTAAAAATTCCGATTTCTGTCATCGAGTTATTGACTAAAGAATCCAAATAACTTAATTAATACAGCGACTAGAAGTATATGATATCAGTAGTAGTGTACATTTTAGATTTTTACATCGATAATAATCATAAAATCAGTGTCTCTGATGGGAAAAATCAATAAAATTTCGATTTTTTGCTGAAAATTTTCCAAAAGTTATCCAAAGAATTGCCCTCATCCAAAGAATTGCCCTTATTGTTTTCAGCAATATTTTAACGGTTATTTTCAATTTGAAAATTCAAAACTAGTTGAGAGTCAAAATTCGAATTTTATGTGAACGTTAAATTTCAAATTTTATATGATGGTTAACTTTAGGACAGAACCCGCTATAACCAGCACCAACAAAAACATTTTTACAGCTTCAATCATTTTTATTTTAAAATATCCTAGTTTATCTAAAATTAATACAGAAAACTCAATTTACTTCTGGAACGGATAATATTTAAGTCCAGTATTTTGAGGATATTTCTCTTTCTGTCCCTTAGCAGCTACTTTCATCATTTGAATGACCTCCTTTCTATAAGCTGGAGGTTGAAGTTCATCACCGAGCAAACATTCCGCATTTGAAGGCTCTTCTATCTTGAAAATTTGTCTTTTTAGAACATCGACATCACGCGAATATTCTTCCATTAAGTCAGAAATACATTTGGGCGGTACATCAAATGTCACAACTGTAATTAAATTAAATTTTATGTCTTTAATATTTTTTATGGACTAATGGTGATAAAAAATCATTAGAATTTCTATTTGGAAGTAGTGCATGAACAGAAAGTATAATCACGCAGAGCTGATTATGATTCAATTATGAATTTAAAATAAATCTTAAGGTTAAAATAAATCCTGTTGGATTAAAAAACTAATCCAAAGAAATTCAAAATTTTGAAAACCGTTTAAATTTAAATCCTCAAATTTTGCAAGAATGTACTAATGATTACAGCTTAACAACAAACAAACCACTTCTAAGATAAATTGGAACCTAAAGAATCTTAAAAATCACAAAATAAACATCCAGCAGACTTCATACTAACCAAAAGCGGATCCAGTAAAATGTTTTTGTGAATTTTTATGAATTCTATATGGAAGCGTTTTATCTCCTAGAAAATCTAGCTTCCTGAGGAATCCTCCTCGAGAAAATATCGAGTCAGTCGTTCTCTTTAAGGTGCTAACCAGTTCAGGCTGAAATGAACAACATGCTCATAATTAAAATCAAAATTCAAAGGTACGATTATGAAATACTTTGTGTTATACTTACTCTAGCCATAGTTCTCAACATTAGTGCTAGCTCGTAAGTCGGCATTTCTATTGATTAGATTGAATAAATTAAGGAAATTAAATTTTTGAAAGAATTAATTTTCCAATGGTCGGATTGTAGAAATTGTAAACAAACTCGGATAATCGAGTTGTTTTTAACACAATTTTTCACATTAGTTTTATTTTGACGTTAAATGTCTGCCTGTCTTTGTGCCTGATTTAATTCTATATTATGAAGAGAAAAACATCGTCTAAGATCTGTTTGCTCTAAATTCATTAAGATTTTCGTAAGTAAGTATATACCCAGGAAGTAGCATACACTGATATTTAACATTCATGACAATCAAATGCGCATTTGACAGCCTCAAGTTAAGACTTTTAAACTAGCAAAATATTTTTTTTTTCAGAAATAAAACAAAGAATTTTAAATAATATATTAAACTAATGGATACGCCAATAAATAAGGTAAATACATATAAAAATGAATCACAACTCATCAGCTTATGGGCAATTCTTTGGATAACTTTTGGAAAATTTTCAGCAAAAAATCGAAATTTTATTGATTTTTCCCATCAGAGACACTGATTTTATGATTATTATCGATGTAAAAATCTAAAATGTACACTACTACTGATATCATATACTTCTAGTCGCTGTATTAATTAAGTTATTTGGATTCTTTAGTCAATAACTCGATGACAGAAATCGGAATTTTTAATTTTCATCATCCGAAGAATCGAAAATTAGAGAAAACTATAGATATCCACATTGAATAACCTTTACTGAGTTATAGCACAGACAAAAATCTTTAATTAGGTTGCTTTTCTGTGTGGTTTAAGTCATTAATTAATGAAATATTTCAATTCTTTGAAAAATTTCCTTGTGTCATCGAGTTATAAAAAAGCTTTTTTTTGTCTTAATCCGTGAAAAAATACAAAATTTTCAAACATGTTTTTTCAATTTTTCACTTAATTTAGGTGAGTTGTAACATTTCAATAGATCACTTTTAAAGAATTAATTATGCTTTATGATCTCCGAAAGTTCTGTCTTATTATTCCTTCACAGTAATATGAATTTAAAGAAAAAAATTTATTGACACAAAACTCATTGACATTGGATTATGAAAGCTCTTTTTTTTAAATTCCACTCATCCAAAGAATTGCCCTTATCAATCAAACAAAATTTCAGGCACACTTCTATGCTAGAAAGTCACTTCATTACATGGGAAATGAAAAGTTCAAGTATATAGAACAAGCAATCGAGAATTTTCAACTAGCATTGACTCAATCCAGTAACACAAAGGCAATAGACAGCATAGAATTACAAATAAGGTACTATGAGAAGCAACTTAAGCTGCTAAGTGCTCGAAAAGCTTTTTGTCAAAAGTCTGAAAAACACAAAAATACAGATGAAGATGTCTCGTTCCTAACAGTTAATGAGCACGTAGATAAATCCACAGAAATTCAACTTGATCTCCTTAAGAATTTAGAAGACAGTTATAATGTTATTGAAGAATTAAATAGGATAGATAATGTACAAGTATCGTCACAAGTTTCTCAACTTCAGAATTTAAATTCGCAATTAAATGTGATGTTTCATAAGCTCTCAATAGCTGTCGAGATGATTCTAAATGAAAATGAACTTCTTCGAGAGAAGGTCAGGGATAATCCAAAATCAGGCACAACGTGCAATACAGGCAAACCGGATGAATTTAGGAGGAATATTAATGAAATTATTGAGCAAAGAGACAGCGATGATTCATCACCGAATGAAGAAATACAAGAATTGCCACCTTTAGAATTACCTTCATTTAATTTAGATTCATTAGATGATAAGTGATTGTGGTGTTATAAATTAAATCTATTTTAATAAAATATAAAATGTTTATTGCGTTGATCAGAGCACTGTGTAATGTTTTGAATAATTATAAGTTTTAACAGATTTTGAAAATTTGAATTTTCAGTTTTTAAAAATTTAAATTGAACTGAAATCAAACGAACAGCAACAAGTCAAACAAAAAATTCGTTATAGCTTCACTTTATTGATGTTGTTAAGATAGAAAATTAATTAGAATGGATACATACATTGGAAACCAATAGCTTCCATATAAGTAACAGTATAGATCAAGCTATTTGACAAAATTTTATGATCTTCAGGATTATCATTGATGTCATCACGTGCTTCCTGCAGTGTCTTCTTTATTACTTTATAATTTTGCTGATAGATTGGAGTCGGATCAATTTTCATGGCTTGAGTAAATCCAGTTTTAAAATCAGCCATGTTCATAAATTCACTTCTGACGCAAGCATGACAATCACAATTAAACAAGTGCTGATCCTCTAAATCTTTCTTCAAAGATCTGTTGAATATCAAGGCACATCCGCTGTAAGTTAAGATTAATAATTAGATTAAGATATAAATTAATTATGGAACAAGTATTTACGGATAGCACTCGAAGATTTGATCACCAGCCTTAACAGGTTTTTCAATCATTGTTATGACTTTTCCTTCTACCACAAAGATATGAGCATTTCCAATGCATGCATGATTAATTAAGCTTGTGAACAATGAGACATAAAATCCAGTATTGAACTTAATACCCTTTCCATCGAATAAAGCAGAGTTTTTGCTATTTATCCAGAATAAGCTCAAAAGATGATGAACTGCCTTTTTTGAAATGTACTTTTCAATGCTGCTTAATATCTCGATTGGCAGTTTATTTGTGCATAATGACAGCAAGCAATTCATGCGATTTTCTTCATATCTAGGATCTGTTGGATCACTAAAGTCATAATCAAATATGGACTTGTTGAGTTTCTTTAAGTCTGTGCGATTGATGTAGTCATTAAACTGTTTATATCCACCAAAAAATTCAGAAACGTCTGACAAAATTTTGGCATCAGCACTTACAATTTCTTTCTCATCGATAGCTTTCGAGTTGAAATGTTCCTTACAAGCAGTCGAACAGAACATGATGGAAGCTGAATTATGATTTGGATCAAATAAAGTTCATAGATTAACCGTAGGATTTAATAGCTTACCTGTGTGATCACAGTGAATCAAATTCATTTTGTGTGCCTTAAAGCAGTTATAGCAATGATAATATCCGTTTTCGCCCTTTGTATAGTGAAGAAGTGGTTCCTCAACACAGATTATGTCTCCAGCTTTCAAGTTTTGCTTAGCGTAGATTCCACGACCGTACTTTTTTGTACGACGCATTTCAACACAGTCAACAAGCCATGGGATCTTTTCATTTGCTGGATATGACAATTTAAAGAAGTCCCATAGATTTTCAGACTTCTCATCTTTTGGTTTTGCCATAAATTGCTTACAGTTTGCTTCCCGTGTATCTAATTTTGACTGCTCTGCATATCCATTATCACGTGCCAACTGAATGTTTTCTAAACATTCCTCAAATAAATTAGTATGATAGTATACAGCACTTCTATTTCCATATCCAAGTGCTAAAGCTCTCTTTGAATGAGCATAAGCTATAGATTTATTGAAATACAGCAAGGAACGGAACCAATGCTTGTTTTTAAAGTAATTATTTCCAATTAATCGGTATTCATTTGACTTTACATCTGATTTGAACTCTGTCTTTGCCTTGAATATATTAATTGACATTTTAATACTGAATAATTCACTAAAAAGCACTGATAAATGTTAATTTTTAAAGATCCAGTAAATCTTGATTCTAACCAATCAATGTTGATTGATGCTTTCCCGCGGTTATTTGCATATTATTTTAAATCTGAAATTTCCGTTAAATCAGAAACTGTAATTTGATCACTTAAAATTCAAATTCAGCTATTAGACATGCATTAAATTTAGATTCGAAACTTTAATAACTTAATTTATTTAACATACTTTAACTAGCGACATTTAATATACAATAAAAAAGACATCACACGTTGCCAAATTCTTTCAATTCTCCCCAGTTTGTGCCTAATTTGACTTTAACTAGTAAAGGAACATTCAAACTCACACAGTTTTCCATGCTTTTGGACAAAATCTTTGCAATATCCTTCCAATAGCCGTCAGTAACTTCATAGAATAGTTCATCATGCAAATGTAGCACCAATTTACAGTGATCCTCGTATTTCATTTTCTTTATGTTCTTTTCCATCCTCAAAATTGCATTTTTGACCAAATCACTTGCTGATCCTTGAATTGTTGAGTTAAGTGCTTGACGCTCTGCTTTGCCTAGAAATTTTAATTACATAATTGATTAATTAAGGCATAAAATCAAGTGACTTAACTTACTTCTTTCAGAAGAATCATCAGAATTAATGAATGGCAAGTACCGTCTGCGACAAGTCACCGTTTCTATGTACCCAAGTTCCTTAGTCTTCCTGACAACTTGTTCTGTATATTTTCGTACATATGGATATGCCCGATGAAAGTCTTCAATTAATTTTGCGGATGTTTCTTCATCCACATTCATCTTCTCAGCTAAAGCTTTATTTCCCATGCCATAAATTAATCCGTAACACAATTGCTTAGTCTGATTCCTTTGCTCATCTGTAACTTTTTCTTCATCGACGTTATTCCATTTGGATGCTATTTTCCTGAATATATCCTCTTTTGCATGCTTCATGATCTCAAGCATTTTTGGATCCTTGCATAAATGTGTCAAAATTCTTAGTTCCAGTTGACAAAAATCAGCCGAAAGTAACATTTTACCTTTTTGACACTGAAAGACACTGCGAAATGAGACGAGTTCATTTATTGTTCTGTTCGTTTCATCTGAAATTGGAAAATAAATTTTAACGGTTAACAAATTATTGAAAAAACAACTGTTGAATAAGTATTTGAAAAAAAAAACCAATCGTTAAACCACGGGATTTATTTTAATCCTGAGGATTAAAAAAATAATTCTTACCTTTAAACTCAACATGAAAATCTTTCGTGACATTTTGTAAATTAGGCTCGTGCATTGATATTCTTCCAGTTTGTGTGAGACTAAAGCTGCTTCCATAAATTCGATCATTCTTAACAAGCTTCGTCATTGGCTGAATATTGGATATAGTTGTTGATAATGTTCGATATTGGACTATACAGTCTGCAATTGGAAGGTCTATTTTAGTAAGCACAGTCTTAGCTGTCGATATTTTTTTCTTTTCTTTATTTTTATGGATCCCGACGACTTTTGCGACTTCCTTTGAACTTGTTAAATCGAATTTTCTGCCATTAAGCCTGAATATAAAGCTTTCTAGCTGTCGTAGAAGCTTTGCGGCCCGTTCAATTGATTCGTAAAGCTTATCCTTATTAATTGGAAATCCATTTTGTTCCATTTTAGCCAAAGCTTTCTGAATTGGCATTTCCAGGTTCTCAAGAACTTTAAGTAACTTTGGTGTGCTTGCAATTGACTGAATTTGACTCTTTTTGATTTTATTCGTTAAATAGCATTCGACAGATGATCGAATTTTCGGTTCTACAGAATTTTTAAGGTTCAATCCCAAACTGCTGCTCGTTTTGTACTTGATTCCAAATTCTAAGATTTTATTGCTGTCTGGTGTAAATTTTGTCACTGCTTCTTGCCAGGATAGAATGTTATCAGGATCCATTATCCACGAACATAATCGAGGATCAAAAATCTTTGCATTAATATTGCTTAAATCCTGAATTTCAGCTAGTTCCAAAATCTTTAAATGTTCTCTTGTGTCATAGACATTCAAAGTGACGTCACTGCTCAAAAGCAGCTTTTTAAGTAAAAATTTCGAATTAGTAATTAATTCCTTAATTCCTTTTTGCAGGTCCAAGTAATATACTTGATTTGAATCATAAAAGCTCATGCAAATGCATGAAATACACAAATTATCACTAAATTTAAAATTAAATTTCTCATTTTCACAATTTTTCAGTAAATTCCCACCAATTGTCAGTGCCTTGACATGGATCCTTTCAATTCCAACAGACATTGACACTTCAAAGTGCTGATTTTTGGAAATTTCCTTTGTAAATCTTTCAAAAGCTTTTTTGTCGCTTAAAGCATCGACAATCTTAATGTGATTAGTCAGCTGATCAGGTTCCGACACATTTAATAGTGATACACTAATTCCTGAGTTTTTAAACAATGAAGAATTTTCATTTGACTTGTCATCTGTTGTCTCATCTACATGCTTATTAATTGAACTTCTAAGCTTCTTTTTATAATCAATACTTGCATTCATGTTGACTTTTTTGGTCTTTGGGGTGTCACGCTTATAGCTTTCATTGATTGAACTGTCTATTGGTAAGTATGAATCATCCTTGCGCTTTCTTTTTGTTGATATTGATGCCGGAGATTTTTCTAGTTCTTCCTTATCACTTTCAATAACTTCCTCGATCTTATCTGTATCCCATTTGATATCTTTTAAACCTAGTTCATTCTTTAAGAACGTTTGAGCATCTTGGATAAGAAGCTTAGCTATTTCCTGCACAGACATGTCTAACGCCTTTCCACTAACAAAGAATTTTCCTGTGATTTCCTTAGAATTTATTAAAATATCCTCAATTTGTAATTTTGTGCTATTCGCTAAGATTGTCATGCTTTGGATACCATTGTTATATAAAGTTCTAGCCACTCGTGTGCTGCTTATGCTTGGCAATTTCATTAAATCAATCAAGTCTGGATGAATTCCAAAAAACAAACGCTCTCGAAATTGTTGTAAAATAAGAACTAGTAGGTTCCATTGAAGAGATTGACAGAAAGTTGTGAGAATAGCCGCAAATGCTGATGCACTTTGTTGTAGACTTTGAAGCAAACCTCTTGGAATTTTATATTTTGCAGCGACATCCGCAATTGGTTCTTCGTTTACAAGCTCTTGGAGTGCTAGTGCTGTGTAAAATCTGTTGAACGAAATCAATTTAAAACAGTTTTTTGAAATTCAAATTATATTGGTTTTAAAAAAATTAATGAACTGAAATGAAATGAACATTTTTGAATTGTTAAAAACCGTTGAAATTTGAATGTCAAAAAACTATTTCGAAACTTTTACCTTTTATGAATCTGCTGAGAATGCCAATCACTATTCTGTCTTCCCGTGATAGCTTTAATGAGAAAAGTTTCAGAAATCCCAACTAATTTACCGACTCTCTTCATCATTTCTGGTAATTTATCATAAAGCTCAACAAAGTAAGTCCAATCGATTTGTTGCAATTGATAAGCAACTGAAAACGGCGTGACTAAGTATATAGCATGGAGATCACATTCTAGAACGAAATTCTGTCTAGCTTTTTGCAGTTCTGAGAGAAGCATGAATCCGTCTTTCGGTGGCATGGCTGATGATAAGCAAGCAACTCCCAACCGGGTAGGCACAAATTTAATTTCATCATTTTCATCATCACTGTGAAGTCGAATAAAATCATATTCCAAAAGGAAGCTCATGGAGTTTTTAATAGGATCATCATTAGTGGTCTTATTATCCTTAATATTCAGATCATTGACTTTCTTCTGCGACTTTCCTTCAACAAATGCCTTCAAATCACTATTTGTTGTATTTTGAAAAAAGTCAAAGTCAATATTGTGCTCTTGACAATACAGCGTTTGATTTATAAAAACTTTTAGTTCCTCTTTTGTGTTTGCGACATTTGCAGCTATAATTTCCAGAAGAGCTCGCTTAAAATGAGAGTAATCATCAATATTCAGGCACGACGTTATTGGTTTTAGAGGAATTGAGAGTAATTCCTGTCCCATTTTGGAGTTTGTATTGTTGCAGATTAAGATTGACTCTCCGAGGATGTCTTTTCCTGTATTAAGAGACATAAATTTAAGAATTTTGACGATTTTTAACGGATAATCTGAATTTGAAATTCAACAGAAAATCAAAATTTAAATTAAAGTTCAAAATTTGAACTGCGGGAAAATTTTGAAAATTATTCGCACGTTTAATAGACAGCCTTAATTTACCTTTTCGACCAGCTCTTCCAATCATCTGTCTATAAGTTATGTTATCCATCATTTTAGGTCCAAATTTTGGAGATCGAATGATGACACGCCTAGCTGGAAGATTAACGCCACTTGACAATGTGCTTGTAGCTACTAAAACTTTAATAATTCCTTCCTTAAATCCCATTTCAATCAAATCTCTCTCGTCTGTTGTTAGTCCAGCATGATGAAATGCACAGCCGTATTTTATACATCTTTCAAGGATTTGATCAATTCCAGTAGCTAGTGATTTTCCTTGTTCTAAGAGCATTTCAAGTCGTTCCTTGTTCATAAACTTTTGTATCTCATTTGATTCCTCTTTCAGCATTTTATAGATTCCTCGAGCTAAATTTGTACTGAGCTGTTCGCATGCATCTTTAGATGAACAGAATATGATCAATTGACATTTTTCAAGGATTGTCTCCATAGCTAGTTCACAGACATCATCAGAATCATTCATGAAGTATTCAGTCCATTTACACGATAATTCTCTAATAGGCTGCATATCTTTATCATAAATACTTTTACCAATTTTAATCATTTCCTTAAGCTCAATCGGACGAAAATCTGTTGTATAAAATTCAGCATTAAGCCATTTACAGAGTAGATCCACATTTGGTAGTGTTGCTGACAATGTGACTAGCTGAATATTATAATTAAATTTTTTGCACATAAAGAGGACTTTAGTGAGTAATAATTCAAGAATGTAGCCACGAGAAGGATCAGAAATTAAATGAATCTCGTCTATAACGATCATGCCTAGTTCCTCTAATTTATTCTGTTCCAGAAGCTTATTAATTATACTATTGGCTTTTTCTATTGTACAAATAATCAGATTAAGAGCATCAAATCCTGGCTGGTATCCACTAAAATACCCATCAACACGAATTCCACTGGATGACAAAAGATCTTGAAGGAAGTAAATCTTCTCGCGGACAACAGAAACAAATGGCAGAATGAATAGGGCCTTCTTCCTTCTTTCGAATATATTCTTAATCATTAAAATTTCACTTACTAATGTCTTGCCTGCAGACGTTGGTGCTGAATAGACTAAATTGTTGCCTTCAAACAGGACTTTTGGATTTTGGAGACATTCACATTGCCAATCAAACATCTTCTCAACACCTTTACGTCGATATTCATTAACAACACTTAATGGTAAATTCCAACTACTCATCAGATGAAGATCTTTACTGCTGTCGATCATTAATGACCGATTGACATCGATATTTTGTGATAAAGTCACTGCTCGTGAGTTGTTGGCCATGACAGATTCATTGTCGAATGCCAGTATCTTCTTTTGTGATAATTCATCATCAATGTATTGAGTTGCAACTTTAAAGACATCAAGATCTTTATGTTCAGGCATGATAAATGTGACATTGTCGATATCATATTTCTCATCAAATGCTTCATCTACTGCTGGAAGTGCATTTGATGTCTCGAACTTACTAATGTCTAATCGCCTGCTACTTCGTTGAACCGCTGGTGAATATAGCTTCTCCATAGACTTTTCCCATGCTGAAAAGTCCATATCATCGAAACTTTCTGATTGAATGTATCTACTTACAGATGAGATTTCAAAATCCTTTCTTGACTGAACTGCCGACTCACTCTTTGTTTTTGCAAGCTTACGTATCTCATTTTGCTTTTGTGTTGCTAATTTCATGCGATTATTGAGTGTCCTTTGATGGAATGAGTGAATATAATTAATTTCTCGATTTGGTGATTCTTCAATTATTGAATTTTCAATTTGCTTGTTATTGGTTGCTGCATTTTCTTGATTTTCAATTTCTAATAGTGTATTTTCACCTATTTCAAACGAAAGCAAGCTTGAATTCATGTTAAAACACACGGATTTAATTAAATTAACAATAAACTTAAAATAACTATCGAAAATTTAAAAAAAAACGAGCAGAACAATACAAATGTTTTCAAATATTTTGATAACGGTTTTTGCTAGAAATTTGATTGAATGGAAACGACGACTTCTAATGCAAGGTCTGGATCATCATCTTATAATCGGTAAACTTAGGTTCCTATACATATACATCCTATTCATATACATCCAAGAAAGAACCTAGAAAACAATTGACTATAGAAAGAAGTGTATGTGAAGCTCTAGAGCGGAGCACAAGCAGGAGTAGATTGCGGAAATATGAAGGACCTTTATAAGGGGCCGTTCACTTATTACGTTACCCATAAAAACGACTTTTCACTCCCCCCTTGTTACAATATGTTACAACTCACAACCCCCCCCCCCCCCCCCTTCAATATTTCTAGCAAACGACTCTTCGTGTTTGCTTATAGTCTTATTGAAAAGGAATCCTTTGAAGCAAATGGTATTGTGAGGCCTGTAATGAACTGACCAAATCAAAACTTGATGGTTTTTTCGAAGAAGCTGGAATGAAGGATAATAAGATGGTGTATGAGCCAAATCCAATTCACGAAGAAGATTATGAGCTAGGAAAGGAAAAGTTGAAGAAATACTTTGGTGATATGAATGAAAATCCTGGTCCACATAAGATATGCTCTGGACCTCTGATGTGCTGTCATACTATTTTGGAATCTGCTGCATACTTATATAATTAGTCAATCCCACTTTAAGATCCATTTGTCTTAAATTCAATCCCATAAATAATATTCTTGTTACTTTAAACTGAATATCCTTAATATTAAAACTAAAGTGAATAATGAATAAATTTCTGATATCTGAAACCTAAGATGCACAATCATGTTCAATTTTATTTCTTATTAATTATTCTACATAAAGCTTGATTAAAATATTTTGCATTTTTGATTTTTGACTCATTCCAGCCATTTCTACAGCGTGCCTTCGAAAATTCATTTGGTTCTTCAATCATATGACATTTATCATCCTTTCCTTTCTTGTATTTAATTACTTTATGGCGGTTCCTTTCGCCCCATTGACTTACTTCATGACTGATCTTGTTAATGTCTGTTGATGCTTGCTTGATTTTCGTTGATTCTTTTACATCATCTGGATCGACTTTTCTTCTCTTTATTGGAACTTTAACTTGCTGGATGTAGTCGTTATTGCCTTCATTTATAGTAATAACTTCATTGGTTCCTCTAAGAAGCTTTAAAGAATTCTCTTCTGGATCTTCTTTTAAGCCCTTCGTGATGTCAATGAACTCTATCGATTCCTCAATCAGCTTAGACATTTTCTTGCCAATAAACTGCTGCATACTTTCACTGACATTTAATTCACTTAGAAAGACATTTTCAGCATTATCCAAATATCTTTGAGATTTTAGTTCCTTTTTTGGTTCCTCAACTTTACTGTCATTTTTATCTTTTGGCTTATAAAACTCGTTGTTGAATAAACTTGGATCGACAGCAGCTGCAATTAGTTTCATGTCTTCGTCTTCAGATTCTGAGGAGGATGACATTTTCTTTTAGTAATGCCCAATGTTTGCTCGATGTTTTGTAAACAAACCTAGAATACACTGTAAAACAGCTGTTTGGAATGTTTCGATGCTGAAAATTTCTAACAGTGTATTGTTATTAAAAATGTTTGCATAATTGAATCTAGTAAAATTAAGTTTTTAGGCAATTAGCCATAGAGATCGAAAAGAATTCTCTATTAATGTTGGTCTTAAGGATCATTCGAATAAATCACAATAGGAGTTTAAGTAAAAAGTTTCGTCAAATGTGTTCAAAAAGTAATTTTAGTGATGATAAAACAAATAGTGTCAATGAGAATGAACTGAAGACTGATTCATCCATAGAAGTAAGTCTACATGCTTTAATTATCTACACTTAATTACAAAATCATTTAAATTGCGTTGATAATGACATCACTGTATCTTATAGCTCCCACCAGAACCTGATAACTGCTGCATGAGCGGATGTGAAAATTGTGTCTGGAAGCAATATGCTGCAGACCTGACTGATTTATACAATGTTAGTGGAGATAATGCTAAGAAAATAATACTAGAAAAGATCAAAGATCCGACTATGCAAGTCTTTCTAAAAATGGAACTGGATCTTTTAGATAAAAAGAAATAAATTTTTTTATTGTTCTTAAGTTAACATAAATATCATAAAATAGTATAATTTATTCTTCATGAATTGCTTTAAGCCTAAATAATCCTCCAAAGAGACCCTTTTTTTGAAGGAAGTTTTTCGATTTTTGGACGTCTTGTACAATATCTTCGTCCTCATCATCACTTTCATAGTCATCATCGCTCTCGTGGATCCTTCTAAATTCCTCTTTTGAAGGAAAACAAGCACATTGAGTCTTGATATTCTTACTAAATGGCGATCGATACTTTTTGCATTCAATGCAGTTATTAGCACAAATGTCCATCGTACATTTAGAGACATTCTCATCTTTGACTACAAAATGTGCCTCATTATCATCAATTGTAAAAATTGCCAATCTTTTAGCACATTGTTCAGGAGTTTTTGCATTCTTGCGGTATCTTGATCCATAGACATGACATGCTTCTTTTCCAACATTTGCACAATACCAATGCTCCATTTCCCCAATAATTATTGACACATTTTTATATAGCTTTCCATTAAGCATGAAAGCTTCCATATTTCCTGACTCAATGTGCCAATGGATGACTTTAATCTTGGATGCTTCCGGATTTGTCTTTATTTCGTGAGCCAGCATTGAATTATACCATTTATAATGGTGATAAGCTTCAGGGCCTGGAGATAAACTTTATTATTAATTTCTATTCAATTATCGTATCACTGGCTATATCTTACCCATCGAATCTTTATCTTTTCTCTTCATTTCTCGATGTCTCTTTAATTCCTCATATCCAACAACACAGGAATTGTCCTGTTTGACGACAGGCGTGTCTGAACATTTCTTTGGATCATACGTGAGAAATGCAACATCAATTGGAACTACCTTACTTTGAACCATCTTTTTTAAAGTGAAATAAATTCTTCCACAAACTTCTTTACTTGATAAAATCACAAAATGAACTGATCATGAAACCTTGAATAATTGTTGGTCTCTCCTTGCTGCTTCTCCTCTTTTCCTTCTCCTTCCATTTTTCTTACTGCACAAGAAAGTTGTTTGTTTTTACAGCATAAAAGGATCAATATGCAAAACGAAGTAGGTGAACTACCTGAATATATGCACAATGGACATCTCGGCACGTTAAATGCAAATTCCATTTTGTCTGTTCGTATTGGATCCTCGAATGATGTGGATAGAAAAGAATTGATGATAAGAAGTTTTTCAAGGATTTCTTAAGGCACTAATCTAGTCATCTAGTAAATGTGGATACATAAAAAGTGCTTTTATACAGGATTGCAAATTGATTCCGAAGAATATTACCAATTTTTAAACAGAACGAGCATTTCCTCACATAATGTACAGCTTTATAGGTACAATAAAATTCAGACCCTCAAGCAGAGACTGTAAAATTTTTATTAGCACTTCCAAAAATTTTACTTTCTCGTCTTCGTATCCATTTTATGCATAAACATTGCATCTGTATGGCAGATAATAAGCATAAAACAAATGCAAATTAGAAACTTTTTTTTACTTTTAATCCTTTCGTCTTTCCACAAAAAAATCTTTAAAGTATGTAGCCTTAAATAAATATGAGAATAATCCTTTCGCAATTAACAAAGAAAAACACACACATCAATAAGAATTTTAGTGCTCAAAACATAATATTTGGTCTTTAATAAGTGCAGGTATTTATTGAAATCATTATGCTTTATTTTTTAACGGTAAAATTAGACAAGTTCACGAGTTATTGCTTCTTTGAAAATAGCCTTAACTGAAGCAAATAGTTCCTCTCCTATTGCCTGAATCTCTTCAGTCGCTACAATGTGAGTATCTGAAATTTCATAGCAATAAGCTAGCTTTGGTTTCTGATTGATTGCCACATAATCAACTGATGTTCCAGCAATAAGTCCAAAGAAGTCACTCATAGATCCAACGCTGTATTCTGTTCCTCTAATTGCTGAAATTGCATCCTTTGCTTTTGCGCCAATTTCATTAATCAATTCAAAGTCATCAGCAGCATTTCTTGAGACTGCATAAGGTGTCATGATGTATTGACCATATGAATGGAATGAAATGTATCCAAATAAATTAGGAACAGTTGGAATAAATTCTGAAAACTGTTTCATTTCCACTTCTGAAAAGACATGATCACCATAATAAATAGCTGAGCATGGTAGGGAACTGCCACCAAAAGCTCCCCAAGACACATCAGAATTCCTATTAGGATCTGCTCCATGACAAAGTGGATTCTGTGTTGGCCTTCTGGTTTTACGCCATGTTCTATCGACATTCCACGTGTACTCGTATCCATCTGAAATAGATTTTTTACTTGAGTATGCACAGAGTTGAAACATGAACATTAATTACCAATATTTAGGATTGGAAGGAACCACCATTCGAATGATTCCAATAACGCCTTTACATCTGTAATTTAGAGTGAAAAGTTAATGAAAATTAAAATCAAACTAAACTGTTCCTAACCTTCATGCTCAGAAGTCAGTAGCTGATTCATAATATAAGTTGTAGCATAACTTCCAATCCATTCATTTGCATGAATGTTGCTTTCGAAGAAAATTGACGGCTTGCCAATTGCATTTCCAATATTGACTCTTAGCCCTTTGATGTCTCTTCCTTCATAAGATTTCCCAACAATAAAGGTTGAAATGTCATTAGGAAGAGAAGCAGCGAGGCTTTCCATCCAAGCATAGGTCTCATTCAATCTTCTGTATGTAGACCAATCGTAGACACCTGTACGACGTTGTCGTTGATTTGCTGCATCTTCTTTATCGATCATTCTATTGAAAATTCATCAATAGCTTTTAATTACAAAATTGATAAGATAGGAATAATTGCTACTTACTCTTGTAAGTTATTACTCAGTAGCTTAACCTCGATTTTAAAATTTTCGACCCACTCACTCCATTCTCCAAATTTATGGGGTGGTACAATAAGTTGTGCTGTTGATCCTATAAGCATTTTTGGGGTCGTCATGAATTTGTACTGAAATTATTTTGTAGCTTAATTTGTTGGTTCATCTAAAAAACAGTCTCGATGTTTAACACTTTGTGTTGCTTACCCCATCAGGATAGTCCAAAATTTGTTGAAAGATCTTCAAATGGATCTCATCACTTGCTGTAGCTTCATAAACTCGATAAAAATCAAATCTAGCTTTTTCTACACAAAATGACAGTGAGACAAGCACTGAGAGGTACAATGCAATCGATGCTAAGTGACCCATTATTAACACAAGACTGAGGATTAATTCTTTATAAAGAACAATTTATTTACTTCTTATATCTTATCCTTACAAACGTCCGATTAGATACGACAATATTGCAATTATAATTATGCTTGCTCATTCAATCAATGAATCTTTTAAGTGGCAAAATCATCTGCACAGAAGTGGTTTGATAAATTAGCAATATAATCAGACGAGTCCAAGATTTATTGCTTCTGTAAAAATAGTCTTAATGGAAGCAAAAAGTTCCTGTCCTGTAGCTAGAATCTCTTCATTTGGCAATATGTGATTATTTGATAACTCATAGCAATAAACCAATTTTGGCTTCTGATTGATTGCTACATAGTCAACAGATGATCCAGCAACAAGTCCAAAGAAATCACTGATTTTACCTAGTCTATAACTTACTCCTCTGAATGGAGAAATTGCTGCTGTTGCTTTTTCTCCAATTCCATTCATTATTTGTAAATCTTCGACAGGAGCTTGTGTGTAAGCATAAGGAGTCATCAACAATCGTCCGTATGAATGGAATGAAATATATCCAAAGGAGTTTGGAACTGTTGCGAGAAATTCTGCTAATTGCTTCGTTTCTACTTCTGAAAAGACAAAGTCACCATAATATCCTGATGAACATGGAAGGTTACTTCCACCAAAAGCTCCCCACGATACATCCCAATTTCTGTTTGGATCTGCTCCATGACAAAGTGGATTTTGAGTTGGTCTTCTAGTTTTGCGCCATGTCCTGTCGACATTCCAAGTGTATTCATAACCATCTGTAATAGATATTAGTTAAAGAATGCTTATGGCTGTTAATTTAAACATATTTACCAATGTTTAAAATCGGGAGGAACCACCAATCGAATGATTCCAATAACGCCTTTACATCTGTTGATTAAATTTTTAAATTAAGGCTTACTTTGTGTTTAATAATTTATGAACAACTCACCATCATCATTAGATGTTAACAGCTGATTCATAATGTAAGTTGTAGTATGACTTCCGATCCATTCATTGGCATGGATGTTGCTTTCAAAGAAAATTGACGGTTTGCCAGTTGCATTTCCAATATTGACTCTTAGCCCTTTGATGTCTCTTCCTTCATAAGATTTTCCGACAACAAAAGTTGAAATGTCATTAGGACGAGAAGCAGCAAGGCTTTCCATCCAAGCATAAGTCTCATTATAGCTTCTGTATGTAGACCAATCGTAGACACCTGTACGACGTTGTCGTTGAGTTGCTGCATCTTCTTTATCGATCATTCTATTTTTGGAAGTTCATCAATAACTTTTAATTACAAAATTGATAAGATAGGAATAATCGCTACTTACTCTTGTAAGTTATTACTCAGTAGCTTAACCTCGATTTTAAAATTTTCGACCCACTCACTCCATTCTCCAAATTTATGGGGTGGTACAATAAGTTGTGCTGTTGATCCTATAAGCATTTTTGGGGTCGTCATGAATTTGTACTGAAATTATTTTGTAGCTTAATTTGTTGGTTCTTCTAAAAACAGTCTTGATTTTATGACTTTATCACTTGCTTACCCCATCAGGATAGTCCAAAATTTGTTGAAAGATCTTCAAATGGATCTCATCACTTGCTGTAACTTCATATACTCGATAAAAATCAAATCTAGCTTTCTCTACACAAAAAGCAGCAGTGACTAGCACTGATAATACCAATAAACATGATGTTAAGCGACCCATTTCAAAATTAAGACTGAGAATACTCTCAACAATCAAAAACCATTTATTTACTTCATTTATCTTATCCTCATTCAAGTGCTTCAAAAGATACGATTAATTACATTAATTATACTTTAGTATTCAAGTAGCTTGGTTTAAGTGACAATAACTCTGAAGTGGTTTGATAAGGACATTAAATTGAGTGTGCCAAAACATAGAAAATATTTGTGTCTTAAGAATTAGAAAATTTCTGGTTTTGCCTGCACTTAAAAGTCTTCATCACTAATTTCAGCTTTTACATTCACTTCCCTTTTGAAGTTCATCATTCTCTCGTCATTCTTTTCCATGTCCATCACTGTAAGACATAATTGAAATCTAAAATATCTCAAGACATTGAATTAAGTCCAAACTTACTAAAATCAAGTTCGCCACTTTCTAGGTCCTCACTCGATGGAGATGACTCTGTAACACTGAGATCATCAGCAACTTTTATATTTCTATGCTCAACTTCGCTGACTTTCCTTTCACCGCGTGACATCAGACGATTTGAGACTTGCTTGAAGATGTCTTGATTTAACAATGACTGATCATCCTTAAAGTCAGTATTTTCAGAATTGTTATCATCGTCTTCATCTTCGTCGTCAGTTAAGCCTTCCTCTGGCAACACAGGAATAGAATTGTCATGTGTCTTTTGTATTGGTGAGTAGGAAGTTGGTGACTGATTGCTATTGTTGCTTAGCATATTCTTCAGTGCATCAAAGCTTCTTATACGCATTGTATATTGACTGTACATTTCTTTCATTTGAATCTCAATTTTCTCAAATTCCTCCAAATATGCTGGTCGAATTTTCTGCAAAGTTGCTAGTCGATGACTTGTTCTTTCTAGTTCTGACTGCTTTCTCTGAATTTTTGACTCCAAATTAGACTTTTCAGTCACTTGATTCTCAAGAGTTGCTTTGCCATTTTCAATTTGTCTTTTGAGATTTGATGTTGCTTGTTTGAGAAGCTTCTCGACTTGACTTAGTTCCAATGGTTTTGAAAATTGTGCTCGAGCATCTTTGTTAACTGCTTCTTTAGCTATCAGGTCGTACATAGTGACTCCGTGGTTGGTCTGTAATTGATAAAATGTTTGTATCTTGAAGCTTTAAGTAACAAGAAGTTTGAATATTTTTACCAATTCCGATGACAAGTTCCTTATCTTTCTTATCTCATCATTGCTTATTGCATCCTCAAAGTTTATGAGCTCACTCTCTTCTTGATGCACATTTTGTGGTGAATTAAGCAAGGCTGATGTGACTTTAAGCAGTTCCTTTGCAGTCGCGAAGTTGCTAGCATACAACTTTCTAGGATTCAACTTAATTCCAGCAGATACAGCCTATAAAATTTAAAATTCATGAGATGAATCTTCAAAATTGCAGAAATCATACCAAAAATTCAGTTGCCGTCCTAATCAGCATAACACGATCAGTCTCAGTATGAGAATCTTCATGTACCAAAGCATCTGGATCAAAATTTTTAATAAGCCATATTAAAATATTGGCATAAGCACGAAAAGAGTTTTCATTGCCTGAAAAAGTGCTTAAAATTGACAATGGGATGTTGTCTTGGTATCCAAGAAGTTTGAGATGTTCTGAAAAATCTAAATAAGATGTTTTGAGGATTAGAAAAGTTAATAAATCATGAACAATTTGCCAACTTTACCTCTTACACTTTTAAATGCCATTTTTATTTATCAAGTCTGACTTATTGTGACCACAGTTTCCATAGCTACTCATAACCACGTGTTACTCATAACCACGTGTTGCATACAAATTCAAATTATCTAACGGTTTTCTTTGTCGAACTCCTCGAAGTAGCTAGACAATTTCATCGAAAGCATATTCATCTCCCTTTTTTCGCATCGATTTTTATTTTTATTTTCATTTTGACGGCTCGAATTGATATATCCATAAGAAAAATAATAATTTCTTAATTCCAAAACCAAAGATGTTGTCGATTAGTCCATTTGTGTATTGGGCTCAGACAGCCGAGCAAATTTCATTGAAAATTGACTTGAAAGATGTCAAGGTACGCTGACTTTATATCGAAACATAATTTTTGTCTGGAAATTTCTTTTATCAATCAATGTCTTACATAGGAATACAAAATTAAAAGCGATAATACAAAGTTCAACTTTTCGGCATCAGGAGTCGGTGCTCGAGGACTTCAGGAATATAAATTTACGCTAGACTTACTAAATGAGATTGATCACGAGAAAGTCAAATCGATCAATACTGATAACAAAGTTGACATTTTTATACCAAAATTGAAAAGTGGATTCTGGCCTCGATTGGTAAGATAAATGTGAAAGTTACATAAAATATGTAAATTACATGACTGTCCCAAATGCAGACAGCATGTAATTGTTTTTGAATAATTTAAATTTTTGCATTTCCCAATCGTTAACAGCCATAAATCTAATTTTAGATATGCCAACAACAAAAACCAACGTGGCTGAAAATAGATTTTGATAGATGGAAGTCTGAGGACATGGATGATGAAGATGAGGAAGAAAATCATCGGAATATCATGAAGGACTATCCAGACATGTACGATAGACTTCAAAAAGAGGAACTGGGCTTTAGAAAAGAAAGTCTTAAGAAAGTTTATCTTATTTTTTACAACTTATTCCAATTTGTTGGATTTACTTATGTCCTTACTGTCATGGGTATTCGATATTATCGCGATGGTGAGGAATCAATGCCAGGAACTTATGAGGCTGTTGGAAATGCTTTTAAATTTATACAGCTATTGCAATATTTGGAAGTGATGCATCCAATATTCGGATATACAAAAGGAGGAGCATTAATGCCATTTATACAAGTTACAGGAAGAAACTTCATTCTCTTTGCTATGCTGGAATATGAACCGAGAATGCTGACAAAGCCTGTTGTGTTCTATTTGTTCATTGTATGGGCATCAATAGAAATCGTTCGATATCCTTATTACCTTACACAACTCTTCAAATTCGAGATTGGAATTCTTACATGGCTGCGTTATTCAATGTGGATTCCATTATATCCACTCGGAGTTTTATGTGAAGGAATCATCATCTTAAGGAATATTCCATACTTTGAGGAGACAAAGCGCTTATCGATCGAGATGCCTAATAAGCTTAATTGGACATTCCACATGCCAACATTTTTGTATCTATATTTAACATTCTTAATTCTACCCGGCATCATTTTTATCATGTCTCACATGCAAAAAATTCGCGCTAAGAAACTCGGACGTCGATCGAAGTTTGATTGATTTTTTTGTTATTGTGTTTCGAGTGAATTTTATGATTTTTGTGGATGTATTTTCAAGTCTTTAACTTTTATGTTATGCTAATGTAGTAGCGAATTTTTCTTTTATGTTAATTTCAAATCAGATGAGCACAAAGTATTGGAACTTAAAAATAAAGAACAAGTCGGGGTTATCGAAGCTTTATTCCACTTACGTCAAATTATATAATAACTTTTATTTAATTACTTTCATGCTTGAATATTTGCGAGATAAGGTCAGTGTCTAGTCTTATCAAGAGCACGAGATTGATTCCTGCTTGTGAAAGAAGAAGGAAAGGAAGATCCAAAAATGTCTTGTTGACGGAGGTCAATCTGGTGTGTTTGCAAATCTTACTGAATAAATGCGGTACGCAGAATAGCCTATTTATAAACTTTTGGTAAAAATGTGAATTTCAGCATGATTTGGTAGAATAACATTTAGGCAATGGTTGAATGACATTTTGGTCATGACCACATACTTCATTAATCTCTGCATTCACGTTTTTATTATCGGAATTTTATGGAAGATAAGACTTACCGTGTGTACGTGCGATTAATCTTAATGGCTCTATGATAATTTTTGGTTTGTATTGTTGTTTACTAAGGATAGCTGGACATAAAAGCTATCATTTATGTTTTTTAACTTTCAGATTGTTCTTATGGAAATGTATTAAGTCTAGTCATCTGAACAATCTTTCCTCGAACTTGATGGTGATAATTCAAAGTTCATTTGTTTGAAACAAGTAGCTATCTAGTTCTTTTATGGGTCGTATTATTTAAATTTTATCAACTCCTAATCCACAAAATCTAGATCTGAATATGTCTTATTTTTTGTATTTTTAAGTACGCATAAAGCTATTTGTTTATTCGTCTGCATCATTCTTTAGATTTAACTGTCTCTGTTTGTAACAAATGTCTTGTCGATCCCACAAGTACCAATAAAATGTATTTAAAATTCATTCAAGGTTTTAAAATACTAAAACCATGTCTATGTACATTTTAATCAGTTGCTTGCCAAAATTCCGTACATAATCTACAAATATTATGTCGAGACACTTTCTGAACCTTAAATATTTGAGTCTAATCTTAATTTTCAATACAGAGTTCATTAGCGAACATTGTTGTTGAAGTCAAGGGAAGTAATCATTGAATAATAGAAGTAAGAAGAGTAAAAGTCTCGTTGATATCACGAGCTACAGTTCTCAATTCTTAATTTCAGTTTCAAATGTTTTTGTTTTCAACATTCAGACCAAAGTCTCATCTGGAGCTCTTAATTAAGATCCTGAAAATAAACTGCAAACCGGTATCAAGTCTTATATAACAAATTAAAAGAACATTTTTTAAGATCGAAAAGAATTAAAATATTTTATCACTTTATTGTCCCATAAATTAGATTTAATGGACATTGAAAGCTGTCTTTATGAATTTTGTTTATAATTTTGATTTTTATTGTGCATCTCGTTGATATTTTGCTTGCAACATGCTATTGATATTTCTGTTTATTGGACTGCTGCAACTTTTTGTGGACAGTTTGAAACTTGACAGTCACTATCATGGGTATTGCTACGTGTGCGTGATTCATAAAAGTCGAACAACAAGGGCTTGCGGCAGAATTGACATGCCTATTTTAAAGGAAACACATATTCTATGTTTAATGTTATACATGATTAAGAATACAAGTTTGTAACTTACCTCTGGACATTTCATTCCTTTTAATGGTAATCCCAATTTGTTCCATACAGTTTTCATGTCAGCAACAAGAACATCAGCCATTTCAGGAACATGATATGGTGTTGGAGCCAAACGAAGTTTTTCATCACCACGAGCTACAGTTGGATAATTGATTGCCTGAATATAGTGTCCATAATCTTGCATTAACATGTCCGAGATTGCAGTTGTTTGTTGTGGATTTCCGAGTTTAACAGGAATGATGTGGGATGGAGTATGTTCAACTGGGAATCCTTCAGCCTTTAATTTATTGCGCAAGTAACGCACATTGTTTTGGTGACGTTCACGAAGTTGACGGCCCTCTTCAGATGCAAGGATTTCAACAGCCTTTCTAGCACCACAAAGTACAGTTGGAGGCAATGAAGTAGTAAAGATGAAGCCAGCAGCATAAGAACGAATCATATCGACCAAATTAGCAGTTGAAGCAATATATCCACCAACATTTCCGAAGGCCTTTCCTAAAGTTCCAGAGATGATGTCCATCTTATGCATAATTCCATCACGTTCACCAATACCAGCACCATGTTCACCATATAATCCTACAGCATGAACTTCATCAACAAAAGTAATAGCACCATGTTCATGAGCAATATCACAAAGTTCCTCCAATGGACAGACAGCACCAGTCATACTATGGACAGTCTCGAAAGCAACAATTTTTGGGGTTTCCTTGGGAATTTTCGAGATGAGTTCGCGTAAGTGAGCTGGGTCATTATGACGGAAGACGTGCTTGGGGACCAAGCTATTCTTGATGCCTTGAATCATGGAAGCATGATTTCCATGATCGGAGAAGATGTGGCATCCAGGTAAGAGACGTGCCAAAGTAAACAATGTAGAGTCGTTTGCAACATAACATGATGAGAATACGAGAGCACCTTCTTTCTGATGCAACTCAGCCATTGTCTTTTCCAAATTTTCGTGCATCAATGAGTTTCCAGAGATGTTACGGGTACCACCGGCACCAGCACCATGTTCCTCAAGTGCAGTATGGATAGCTTTCTTAACTTCTGGGTGAGCTGACATTCCAAGGTAGTCATTTGAGCACCAAACAGTTATTGGATGCTCACCTTTTGAGTATTCCTTAGCAGCTGGGAATTGACCCTCACCAGCCATACGATTGACTTTCTTAAAGACACGATAGGAATGATCCTTCTTCTTTTTCATGATTTGTTCATGGAAGAAGTCTTCATAATTGAAGGAAGCTGGAGTTTCACGCATTGGAATATCCTCAAGCATTTCTCCATCAACTTTCTTCATATGAGAGTTGACTTCATCCAAAGCTGGAACAGCATTCTTCTTCTCTTGAGTCTGAGCTGAGCTCAATTTACGATCTTGAGATTGGATTGTTGTTGCACCGGTAGCATTTTGCAATTGTGAGATTGCACGAGTTACGACTGGACATTGATTGCCAAAATTCTTTACAAGAATTGGAGCGTAATTACGGACATACGTCGAGCTGAGACGTGTTAGGAATGGGCAAGGCATCTTATTAATGTTGCTTACCGTACGAATTAGATTCGAGGTTGATTTGAAAATTTGATTCTGTTTGGGAAGAAAAAGAGGAATGGAATTTTTTTTTATAGAGATTCAGTTAAGGAACTTAGACGTCGAGCTGGTTCCAGAATAAAATTTATTTACCATTTTGGTAATAAGAATTTAATTTTTGAACATTCACTGATGACGAAAAATCAAATCCGTTAAAGATTCTTTGGTTCTATAATTTTTAATTATGCCTTAATCGACTTATAATTTTCATTAAATGCTTTGCGCAGGCAAAAGTGTCAAGAGTCACAAAAAAATGGAATTATAATTTCAAATTAAATTATTAGCAAAGGTATTTGTTCAAGGCAAATTTGCTTCTGAACTATACGAGTACTAACAGACAACTAAAGTCATGGACGGGATGTACGAAAATTAATAACGTGTCACGAGTGTAAATTTTAAATAAAATTTGAGCAATTGCTGTACAAAGAGTAAATTTGTCTTCTTCTTAAAATAATTTATTGATAATAGTCCTTTCCGTTGCTCATGAGAGAAGAAAGATCAGCTTGAATGATGATCACTATAGCATAAATATTATTATTATTATTGTGGCAAAAAGACTTCATTCAAGCTGATTTTTTTTGTAGGGAATATGAATGTGTTCGATGGATATACTGCAAACATTATGATGACTGAATCAACATTATTGGATAATCTACTTAAAAACAATCTGAGTGCCCCCGAACTGGATGACAGAAATATTTTTGCGTACATACATCAATTTATAATACAATCATCTTTATTATGCAATATACTCAAACTTTATTTTTAGACATTTAGTGTATGTTATGAAAACTAAGTTTGTTTAGGGACAAAAGGTAGGATTATTTTGTTGGAGATAATTTGTTATGATTAGTTCTTGTTCTAGAGTTTGATCCTTAATAGTTAGGAATACACAAATTGAGATAAGTGTCATGAAGTTTAAGTGGAAAGGATATCAAATTAAGTAGTCGAAGATATTTCTTGTTGAAGATGTAGTGTTGATTACTATCAGTTTAGACTTCAAAGTAAAAGTGAAGATCGGCTATTCTGACTATAAACATAAGAAACGTAGTTCAAGTGCATTTATGAACCGTCAGATTAAACTACAGTGAAAGATGATCATCAAAGATCCATAAAAATCCCAATTGCTTATCAAAACAATGATTTATAAAAATCCCAATTGCTTCTCAATTTGTTCAATAGAATATATTTTTGTCAATCAACTCGTGATTGAGACTTATTTGATTCACAAATAAGCCAGCAGTGAAAGGAGATTAAAAACTAGAAATTTCTGGAAAAATTGAACATGCAAATTTTGTTGCCACGTTACAAATTGCTTAATCTTCAGCTCTTGCATCATTCAATTCTTGAATGATCAAAATTAAAAACAACAGATGATATTTTGGACACAAACAAATAAATCCTAAATTTGGTGATGTCCAGTGATGATTTCTAATTAAAGAACAAGAAATTATGATAAGTGCTATCAATTTACTTTTTTTTCCTGTCTCAAATGGAAAGGTCGAGAAAGTTCAGTTTTGACGTAGTGCTATTAAATAAGCTTAATTTTGGAATTGATAGTAAATGAAATGTTTTTGGCAAATGTGTATGCATTCTAGATGAATCTAAAATTGTTGTGATTAAGGTTATTGACTCTGAATTTAAGGAACAATTTATACAGGAGATGGAAATACAATGTCTTTTTGTTGATTCTGCTTTTTTCTGGTTATTTAATAGCTTTTATTTGCAAGTTTATCAGATGAATTTATATTAATGATAAAATTGTTTAAAAACAAGTTTGTTATTTTAAGTTTTAAGGAACACGCTTAAGAGTTTTTAATGAAACTTGTCAAAAATGTGATTCTAATAAAAACTTTATAATTAAAAAGATTTTTTTTTGTCTAAATATAGATTTTTGATATTTCTATTAAAAAATTTGTTTTCTTGTGCTGAGGTTTAATTCATTAATTAAAGGAGACTTCCAGACGTTCTGTAAACTAAATTGATAGTTTTAAACAGAACGATATTCAGTCTAAGAACACTTTGAGATTAAATGTCTTCAAAACCTTCTTAACGAAGGATTTTCATAGATCAAAAGATAATAGTGAAAATCTAGTCAAGACTAGCTACCAATATTAAAATTTCGAAGAGAAAAACTTAATTTTCCAAAAATCAAAACAGATTAGTAATAAAATGAAGATTCAATGTGAACAAGAAAAGGTTGCATAACCAGTTCAAGTTCTGCAAGAAGAATGCACCCAAAGGCAAATAATTTTGACGATCCTCATTCCACTTTTCATTTCATTCGCACGTTTTTAATAACAGACGTTCCGATCGCAATGTCATTTTAATTAAACGCTATTCAACTTAATAATATCATTTTAGATTTGACTTTACTTTTGAATTTTTTTAAAAAATTCAAAACATTTTGAAAGATTTTAAAAATTCAAAATATTTTGAAAGATTTTAAAAATTCAAAATATTTTGAAAGATTTTAAAAATTCAAAATATTTTGAAAGATTTTAAAAACTATTATTTTTCATTAATTTTTAAAGAGATGCGACTAGTTCAAAAAAGATCTAAGTTTAATGAAAGTTTTACTTTACATTGACACTTCCAATAGTTATTCACATATCCATAAGTAACTTTGTTTTGATAAATTCAAATAAATTGGCAACAATCTACATAATAACAATAGTTCACGGACATTTTTTATTCTATTATTTTTTTTTCTAGTAAGTTTACAAACAAATCAAACTAACCGTCATGAGTTCACACAAAATTATTTTCTCCTTTTTTCAACTGATTCACTTCTGCTCGTGACTCCTTGTTAAACACTTATAACCTGAATTCCACATTTTAACTCTTTTATATAATTTTTTTAGCATCTTTACTGCCATGAAAAACCAGCACGTTTTTCTTTTTATTCTCGTCTGGCTCAGAATGTGATAAAATATTTGAATACAGGAATATTATCATTCTTGTTTACTGATCTTAGTGGTGCTTTATTTTTGAAAAATGTCGATTGCTGCAAGTTTTTCTGGATAATAATAAAATCATTAAGTCTGCTTTGGGATTCAAAAATCGTCAAACTTCGTTGACTTTCTAGAAAAGTTCAAACCTACGTAAAAATATTTTGAAAAGGCAACAACTTTCATTTCTAAAGTTCTTATTACTCCAAAATAAAATTTGACGTCGGCACGGGCTTAAAGAACATCATTCAAAAGAAAGAACAGATTAAGAATCATTTTTCAAACTCGTGTGTAAGTATTCAGCATATTAGACATACAAACAAACTTAATTATACGTGGCTGAAGTCACGTAGAACATTATTTTCCAAAAAAAAGTTCCATCCGCCATGCAAAACTACAGAAATTGACCTCAAAGAAAGCCAAATTGCATTTGACCGAATTTAAATAAAGTCAATAAATTAATTCATTGAGTAAAATGTTATGTTATCATTGCGAGTGACGGCGATAAGCGAATTTTTTGTTATTAATGGGGTTGTCCATAAATGACGTCAGACTTTTTAATAGAGGATGTAATGGTTGAGCTTGAGATGAAGCTGGTATGAGACAGTTATGACCCGAAAATTTGAGCTTCATGAGATGGCATCAACGTGATGTAAGTGGAGGAGAGGGGGAGGGGGGGGGGGGGGGTTGTGGCAAATTCGAATATAACATGACGTCATTTTTGCACACACCCCTTTCAAATGTACATTATGATATGATAGTGTTAGATATCATTTTTGATGCTCCATACTGATAAAACGCGTGCAATTCATTAATTTTTATCAATTTAACCAATTTAGGAGTTCAGCCTTCAATTTAAATTCACTAAATCTCTCTTTTCAAGTCGCATCTTATCAGTCTCGAAACCCCCTAGAAGGCAATCTTGTTTTTTTACTTTTGCTGACTGCCCTCTTGACTCGTGAAATTTATTTTTTATTCCAATTGCCTCACATTATGATAATTTAGATTACCGGCTTTAAAGTATGGACACACATAAGAAAGAAGAAGTTTTGATTTAAAATCTGGAATGATCTGGTTTGAAAAGGCTTTTTTGTGAAACTATTAAGTCCTCGTTGATTTAATCAATTCAAAATACGAGTTTTAGTTTTTGTAAAAATTAATTATCAACAATTTGAGCATTTGACTCGGCTAATTTGAAAGATGATGCAACACTTGTCGTCCGATTTTTGATTTTTATTTTCACTTTAATGAAATTATCAGTTTCTGTTTGACAAGCTAGCGAAATAAAAAAAAATCATTGACATGTCTCACATTAGGCACATAATCTTCTGTGTGTAAATAGTGATGCGGGATACCCAAAACACATGATTATATTTATTTTTGTTCATCTATTTAAGTGCGTATGTATGAGTTATGCAATAAATTTTCATTTCCGTTATCAGAAAAGTGTATGGATGTGCTGAAAAAATTCTATCACGAGAATGTCGCGTCATCCACAGACCATTCGGGTTTGTTGCATTTCCATTTTCTTTCTATGCACAGTTGCATAACTTTTTTTTTAACATCTACGAAGTTCCAAGGATTCGGTTTATGACTTAATGAATTAAACTTTCTATTGCTTGCATAGCTGTACATTTGCTATGCCCACTTGTTAATTTCCTCTCACTATTAGCCTAATTTATTAGAAATTTTAAGGTTAAATCTCCTCAATATGCAATAAAATATTTGCAATGTTTACGCACACATTTTCTTCTATTTCCCTTCTAATTTATTGATTCCTCTTATCTTTGCGACTTTATGTTAAATTTTTATCTATAAAATAATAAAATTTCACTTACATGCGATCACTTTGTGTTATGTTTCACAAATGACTTACTCTTCTTCTCCTTATATCTTTTCAACTTTTATATTTTTCGTTAAGATATACCTTTTAATACAATCACAACGATTTGGAAGGTTATTCAGCGGTTTTCAGCTATGTTGATAAAGCTTTTTTGCTTCAACTGTGAGGAAATATTTGAAAAGCAGGAGTTTGATTCGAGCGGGAAATTGATATGCTGAAAAATTATTAGGATTGTTAGGAATGAGAAGTGCATATGGCTTGATAAATGCAAAGAAAATATAATTTATGGTGAAGGGAAATGCTGCTTGCATAAGCTGCAAGGGAAGTTATTGAATAATTTAAACAGTGTGATTTTTTAAGCTTTGTAGAATTGTTATTCAAAATATTAATTGCTAAAAATTATAGCTTCGTAGTTCATATCAAAACTGGTGCAAACCTACTCCAAACTTAGTCAATTAAAATTTGGCGCTTATCTAGTTCAACACTAGTGATAACCTATTTTAAACATAGTTCAAACTTAGTAAAAACCGTCTTTAAATCTAGTTGAAACCCACTTTGAACTTTGTCAATCCAACCTAGTTCAAACCTAATAATCTGATTTAAACCTAGTCTAAACCTAGTTCAAATGTTGTACTATGCACGCGTTCAATGCCACCTAAACTATATGAACTTTATTTGGGCACCAATTACACAAAATTTAATGCAATCAATTGAAATAACACAACGAAAAGCTCTAAGAGTCGTTTTAAAAAAAAGCTGGCATTGTAGTAGAAGTGAACTATATAGTGTTAAAATTCTACCAGTATCGGCACTTTGTAATGTGAGCACATGCTTACAAATTTTCAAGATCTCAAAACAATTACTTAAAAATAACATTCAAATACACACAGCCAGTCAATTCCACCAACATACAACACGTCATCGT